AACGACCCCTACTACCATTAGGATATAAAACAAGATTATCACTAAGCACTTCGGTCATAATCCACATTATAAGCCAACGCTGTGATATTGTAATCTATAGTTATCTAAGTTATCTACTAGTATTTGAATATGATTAATTAGATTTAGAATAATAAAAATGATATCTCGAAATTATAATCTGTATAGACTTTTTTATGCTAGATTACAATCCTTGAAAAGAGCTCACGAGATTTTAAACCACTAAATGATTGTGTAACCATACTACATGCAAAACAAAACCACGCATGTATAACGATTTATTCTGCAACTTAATATTGACCATGAAGAAACGGTCTGCCACACAAGTTAAAATCATATTCTAAAACGATTTTAAATGCGCCAGTAGTTTGTAACTTTTGCAGTGAAAACTATTATTTTCAATATACCTACATGCAGTATTACCGAGATTAATCATGAGTATGGTATAATTATCAGCAAAACAGAAAATTACTTATTTTAATGATTTGTATGAAAGAAAAGGCGGCAATTGTAATTACTTGCTGCACCTTTTGTCAAAAACAAAATCTCGTAGTCAAATGGTCACTAATCAACTTTTATGAAAGTTATTTGTTAATATCGTCGAGAGAACCCATCTTTTTGTAATTGCATGAAAAATGCAATGAAAGTGACTAGATCGTACCTAACAAGTAAATACTAAATTAATTACCCATTAGTAATTATTAGCCTCAAACAAAAAACAATTGAATGCAAATGTGCACATCAGTACATATGTGCCATCAGTCATGGGACCAACAAATATTAGATTAAGTTTCTAAAACTAATGGTTCCAAAGCTTGGTTTACAGCCAAATATATAATAAACATACCAAGACAAATGGTGATTATGGTTTTTAATTATAATACTTTTGCAATAGTCACTTAAATATATGGAACAAAGTTTGGTCGGCATATAGAGAAGAAATGTCCACCTTTTAGGAAGACCTCCAAAGAGTAATATGAAATTAACTTACATTATACTATTACATGGAATGTCGTTCTCTAATGAATAGCTGACACACTTATGTTTTACACCGAATTATCTTAATGGTAATTTTTTTTCTTAGATTGCATGCTGAAGTAAATTTTTTGAAAGCTCCAAAGATTGTTCAATGTTAAGCTTTCTCTGGTAAACCACATGTATTTTCGCTAGTCACTTTCACGTGTATTGAGTTAAATGTTTTTACCAAATCCTCTAGCCAATTGTCTTTCTCAAATATCCTAAAGGATTGTTTATTAATAAAAAAACTGAGGAAATATCTTATAGATCTGCGGCCAGTATCATCTACAATTTATGTTATTATATGTAGAGCTCAACTTGCTAAAACAATTACATACACTTGCATCACTTGCTTAAGAGTAAGACATTAGATGCTTTGACATAATCTGAAACATACATGGTCATACTCGTATCTGAAAAAAAATTGCATAAACTGAAATTCATTATAAGATTTTTTTTGTTAAACCTTTACGTTACTGTTTTTAAATACCAATCATATATTAAGGTCGTATCTATCATCCCTATATTACTTTTGTCAAGGGGCATGTACATTTGGAATAGCTATTGTAGTATAGTAATACTACCATGAAAACTTTTGTAACCTGAGATTTTTATTTTATTTTTAAGTACACTAGTGAGATAATCCATACTCAAGACAGATAGAACATTGTCCTAGCACCAAACTATACAAGTTCGACAACTGTCTTATATCCATTTATCAGGATTTACCAGAAATGAGAAGGTATTGTGTACTTTAAAGGAGTGGAGATCGAGTCATTGTTCCAATTACATTGGCTTGGCCAGAGTGAACATTTCCAAAGGTCTTATTTTTTTTTTTTTGATAAAAGGGAAGATGTTGGATATAAAATGGCCTCTGACATCCTCATATAGATCTTACTTTCGACATTCTGTCTCGCAATTGCAAACTATGTACTACTAGCTTATAAATGTTATCAAAATGATAGGTTTTTAAAAAATTTATCTTTTGATTTCCAAAAGAGATCCCCATTATGTAATGCAGTATACGTACTGTCGATCTCTAATTCGTTAAATGTATTCGCGACGTTAAACTACAATCAAGAGGCCCAAAAAACTTTCTTCACCATCAAACTAAAGTAATGGTGGAAAACTGGGAATAACAACCACGAGAAAGCGACAAATAATGGAATTTTCTTTCATCAAGTGGTAGCCAACCCCACTACTTGCATCGGTGGTTTCGAGTGTGGGGTTTAATTATTTGATTTTGTATATGACGCGTAACTAAGTACTTGGATAGCTTTGATACATGTGTATTATATTTTAGATTCTAAAACTAAATTATCAACTTTTCTAATCATTTTGATAATATGTCGCACCTAATTACTATCAATTTTGTAATTGAAAACCCGAATATATGGTAAAGTTTATAAGCAAAACAATGAAAGGTGCAGAACTAATAATATATGTTTTACGTTAATTTGTGGCCTAGTCGGGGTTTCGATACCCATAACTACAAAATTACGTATAATGAGAAAACATTTGGGGATCTAAATTTTCTATTACAGAATTATATGCAATTTTTTTTTAATAAGATCTAAGATAGATCGATGATATATTTCTATTCTTCTGCTTTTTGTAGTGTCTCATATATATGTTATCCGTAAGTTATACTTATACGTAGCATGGGATACATTCATATATATCATACTTTTTATATTGTAATTATGTAATCTGTAGGATAACACTTTTACATAACTTTTGTGATCACTAATCCCAGCATCATTAAAATAATGCACCGAAAAAGATATGTAAAAGTGTTATCCATATATAACACATCACAACGAGTATCACTAGTACCTTCCTTGTTTTTTCTTTCTCTTTCAATTTTTTTGTTTGTTTGGTACATTTTCCTCTTTTTCTTCCATTGATATAAATGAATATTGGTTTCCCTCTGGCCTCTATTAAATAAGTGCCAGTGTTACTGTTTGGTCGAAATGAGCAATATATGACCAGTCTTTGACTAAAAACTAAACTGATCAGTACAGTTTAACCCTGATTTCAATGATTTGGACAAGTTTAGAAGCTTTAAGGCACCATTAACATCCGATCAGAAGAGACTCAATATATACCGTACGTCTTGATGCATGAGAGATTTATCCAATGCGCAGGAGAAAGTGTCTAAGAAGTTGCCGTTAATAGCTATTCCAACGGTACAGGTACGATTGACGTGGAAATAACTATTGTGTTTCTTGACGTAAATAATAACAATTTTAACCTAATGCCAAATACAAACAAATATCTTATTATATACTCTTTGCACACAAAAAAAAAAATCTTATTTAATACTCAACTTTTGTTTTTCTTTCAACACATTTTTTTTGGTCAAACCTTTTTTTTTTCAAATTCAAATTCGGTAAGCAGAAGTTGACTTTAAAATATTGGATCGCACGTGGATAAGTGTAAGAAAAACACAATGTTCCCCCTCACCGGCCAATCAAGTCGACATCTCTACCTTCTACACATAAATTTTTCTTTGTATAATATTAATTTCATACAATCTCATTGAAAAAGGTTTAATAAACCACAATGAAAAGATCTGAGAATTGATTATTATTATATCTAGATTGCTTTATTATCTCAAATCTTTTCTAAGAGATATATAAACCACTCTTGCAATTCAAGATGGAGAACAATTGTAAGAAATTTCCCAAAAAAAGAAACATTTGCAAGATTTAATTTTTTAGTGGTTTAGATCAGAAAGTTGCCCAAAATTTAGAGTAAGAGGACAAGAGAAGGTTATATTCGTCTTTTTGATGTAAAGTAGAAACCTTGATTTTTTTTGTGGAAAAGAGTTTCTGAGATAAAAGAAGCTGTTATTGTGGCGCTCACTGCTTAGCTTCGGGATTCGGTCCAATCCTCTCTTTAGGAAAAGATTGACCAAAAAAGCCCCATACCATTAGAAGCTGAAGAAGACGAAGAAGAAAGGAGTCAGAAAGGAGAGAGAAGAGCTTTTTAGTCTTGTCCGTACGGTTTGTACAACTCTTACTTTCGGATCCGGTTTCGTTTTCGAATTCGGGCATTTCTCGGTTTTTGCTTATTGCTTTGTTTTTCTCTCTTTGGGTTGCTCTCTTTAGATTGAAGTCTTTTAACCGGGATCTTCGATTTCTGTTGCTTTCATTTTGTCTTTAAGGAAGATTGAAATGAAGAACCTTTGGTGATTCTGATGATCACCAAGTTTTAATTTTTGTTTCCATTATGGTCTCATTTTGAACTTTTATGAGTATGGATTTCAAATTCAGATTGAAATTTCGGGAAGTTGTGAACTTGTGATGAACATTTTGGATTCCTTTGATAAATTCTTAAAAAGTAGGATTCTCTCTATAGCTTTTGGTTTGGTGAATTTGGCATACTCTGGCTTTATTTGGAGTCGTGAGAGGAGGAATCTCTTCTTTATTGAGGATTCTTAAAAGATTGATACTTTGATATAAAAGTTTTGATTTTCCCTTTTAAAAAAAAGAGTTTATGATTGTAAATTCGTCTTCTCCCCTTTTTTGAGAAAAACAAAAAGGGGTTTTTGTTTGCTCCTCTCATTCATTATCTACCTCTCCGTGAAATTGATCAGTTCTTTGTTCTTTCAAGTGGGGGACCAAGAATTCAAATGCGTGTCTGAATTTTCTTATCTGATAGAGATTTGCAGGAAGTCTTTGCTTTTGTGACCATATATTACTATTTTTACATGTTTTCCTCATTAGTTGTATTCATCAAAAAGTTAGTTAATTTAATTTTCTTCTGATTCTGATTCTTAGGTTCATACATCGTGACTTGGAACCTGATTCTTCATTGACTGAGTGTAGCTGAGCACATTCCATATCCTCTGCTTGCCATTAGAGTAGCCTCATGCTTGTGTTGAAAGAGTATTCTCCTTGAAGCTGTGACGCCTTTTGCTCTGCTGTTTGTCTGAGCGTTTAGCTTCTTTGGAGATTTACATGTCTGGCCTTGAAGTGGGACGACCAGTTGCCACTCCTGAAAGAACAAAATCCGTTGATGCACTCACCAAGAAAGAGATCTTATCAGCGCTAAACAATGGAGAGATTTCAGAAACATCAGAGGACGCTAGGTTCAGAGTTAGGGAGCTCCTACTCCCCAACGCCGAATCCTACTGCGGTTCTCTCCTTGGAAACGTTCCCGAGGGCTCAGGGAAGTACGTGTGGTCAGATGGTTGCGTCTACGATGGAGAATGGAGGCGTGGGATGAGGCACGGCAATGGGAAGATGAGATGGGCTTCAGGAGCTTGTTATGAAGGTGAGTTCTCAGGCGGTTACATGCACGGCACAGGGACTTATACGGATGCTAACAACTTGACGTATAAAGGAAGATGGAGGCTTAGTCTGAAACATGGCCTCGGTTATCAGGTTTACCCTAATGGAGACGTCTTTGAAGGTTCTTGGATTCAGGGGATGGGAGAAGGGCCAGGGAAGTACACTTGGGCTAACAAGAACGTTTATCTTGGGGACATGAAAGGCGGGAAGATGTCAGGGAAGGGGACGTTGACTTGGATCACTGGAGACTCCTATGAAGGGAGCTGGTTGAATGGGATGATGCATGGTCTCGGTGTGTATACGTGGAGCGATGGAGGCTGCTATGTTGGGACGTGGACAAGAGGTTTGAAAGACGGGAAGGGATCGTTTTACTCAGCGGGGACACGTGTTCCGGCTGTGCAGGAGTTTTACCTAAACGCTCTGAGGAAGAGAGGCGTGTTGCCTGATATGAGGAGGCAGAACCAGGTTGCTTCATCGGTGAATATGGAGAATCTGAGAGTTGGTGTGAGCCGTGATAAGCTCTCGAAAGGGAGCTTGATGAACTTGGAGCAGTCACGCAACGGGAGGGTTTCTTTGGAGAGACGTTGGAGTCTTGAAGTGTCGATTGAGAAAGTGATTGGACATGATTACTCTGATTTGTCGGAGGCGGTGCTGGATGGTGGAAGCAGCGTGCAGTATAAAGCGAACATACCGATCTTGGAGAGGGAGTACATGCAGGGTGTTCTGATCAGTGAGATGGTGGTGAACAACGGGTTTACACGGACGTCAAGAAGAGCGAAAAGGAAGCATAAGAGACTTGTGAAAGAAGCTAAGAAGCCAGGGGAAGTTGTGATTAAAGGTCACAGAAGTTATGATTTGATGCTTAGTTTGCAGCTTGGAATCAGGTATGCTTTGCTTTTTTGTAATCATGTGTCATGTGAGAGAGTGTTTTAGCTCTGTGTTAGTGAAATAGTTTGAATGTTAGGTACACAGTGGGGAAGATTACGCCTATACAAAGGCGAGAAGTAAGGACAGCGGACTTTGGACCTAGGGCTAGCTTTTGGATGAGTTTTCCTCGAGTTGGCTCCACCATGACTCCTCCTCATCGCTCAGAAGATTTTAAATGGAAGGACTATTGCCCAATGGTATTCAGGTTAGTATTGATGGAACTTATTAGCTATAGTAGTTGTTTCCATGGTGTTTACATTTCATTGTAAACTCTTGTAGGAACTTGAGGGAGATGTTCAAGATCGATGCAGCTGATTATATGATGTCCATTTGTGGAAATGATACCTTGAGGGAACTTTCTTCTCCGGGGAAGAGTGGCAGCGTCTTCTTCCTGTCTCAGGATGATCGGTTCATGATTAAAACACTCAGGAAATCTGAAGTCAAGGTTTGTGTGACAACTTATGCATCCATCTTCCTAGTTTTCTCCGTTGTGTGATGTAATGGACATTGAGATTTTGAAAATTTTAATGTGTAGGTTCTTTTGAGGATGCTTCCAGATTACCATCATCACGTGAAGACGTATGAGAACACTCTCATTACTAAATTCTTTGGTCTTCACAGAATCAAACCATCAAGTGGTCAAAAGGTCCTGATACAATGAGTCTTTTATGATTTTGATTTGTACTATCGTTAGCTTTGAGACTGCAACATTTGGAAATCCAAATCTAACTTTAAAAAAAACTCTCTCTTGCATTTTCAGTTCCGCTTTGTGGTGATGGGGAACATGTTCTTTACAGATCTAAGAATCCATCGGAGATTTGACCTTAAAGGTTCGTCACTGGGACGCTCTGCAGACAAAGTGGAGATAGACGAGAACACGATACTTAAAGATTTGGATCTCAACTACTACTTCTTCTTGGAACCTTCTTGGCGGGAAGGTTTACTAAGGTATTGCTCTCTGCAAGACCAATTTGAAAGATATATGATACATGTTTAACAGTTTTCTGGTGATGTAACAGGCAACTAGAGATCGATAGCAAGTTCTTGGAAGACCAGAACATAATGGATTACAGCCTTTTGCTCGGTGTGCATCATCGAGCTCCAGAGCACTTAAGGTCCCAATTGGTCCGTTCTCGAAGCATAACAGCTGACGCGTTAGAAAGTGTAGCTGAAGACGGTGAGACTCTCTACTCATCGCCCTCTAGAATGTTTCATACATATTTGTTAAAGCTTGTTTCTAAGTGATGATGATGAAACAGATACAATAGAGGACGACATGTTGTCTTACCACCAAGGACTAGTTCTTGTTCCTGGAGGAAGTGACAACATTGTAACTGGCCCTCACATTAGAGGCAGCAGATTACGAGCATCCGCTGCTGGCGATGAAGAAGTCGATCTCCTTCTCCCTGGAACAGCCAGGTAACTAACTCACAACGGCAAATGAGAAACCAAGAATCTCTTGGTCTGATTTGAAATCTCTTGAAAATGCAGGTTGCAGATACAGCAAGGAGTGAACATGCCGGCGAGAGCAGAGCTAATACCGGGAAGAGAAGAGAAAGATAAGCAGATTTTACATGATTGCTGCGACGTTGTGCTCTACCTTGGGATTATAGACATCTTGCAAGAGTACAACATGACCAAGAAGATCGAGCACGCTTACAAGTCTCTTCACTTTGATTCTCTTTCGATATCAGCCGTTGATCCTACTTTCTACTCCCAACGTTTTCTTGAGTTCATCAAGAAAGCATTTCCACAGAACAACACATAGAGAAAGAGAGATACACAGAAAAATGTTTTTGTTTTGTTTTGTAGAGAAAAAATATGCAAAAATTGCTGTAAACTGTAAAGTACTCTGTAAACAAAGACCTTGAGAGAGGGATTCAGTAAAGAAACTATTTTTCTTATTTTTTGAATCGCCGCCGCAAACGCAAAACGTAGTCGCAACTGTAACCGCAACTGCTTGATTGATTGCATGAGAGGTTTGGTATTATGTCAAAACGCAAGGCAGAAGAAGACACGTGGACACAACTGAAGACGGACTTTGGAAGAAAAGTTGAAACAGAACCGGATACGTGTCGTGAATCGAACTGTCGGGAGAAAGAAATTGACGTCTTTAACTGTGTGTTTTGTACAATTTGTCATAAGACGTTTTCTCATTGATTTTTTGCTCTGTAAATTGATAAAGTTTCTTCCTTTCTTAATTTGTATGAATCATAGATTTCTCTGTACAGAAAAAGTTTTCTCCTTTTTGGATTCATTCTTACAAAGTGAAGAGAGATTAGAGAGAGAGAGTTGATATAAACAAGAATTCACCATCATTACAATACATTGAAAGAAGACAAAAGGCAGTTTATAAGTAGGGCCTGGTTTAATTTGATTTGATCCCTCCTGAGTTTTTGTCGTTTGGTTTCTTTTTGTTATTTTTTCAACAGTAGTATCAGATCGACAAAAGAGAAACAAATCGAGAGATATTGTAGAAAATGGGATCTTCTTCAGGGCAGAGTGGATACGATCTGTCTTTCAAGATCTTGTTGATTGGAGATTCTGGTGTTGGTAAAAGTAGTTTGCTTCTCAGCTTCATTTCCAGCTCTGTCGAAGATCTTGCTCCCACCATCGGTAATTTCTTGTTCTGTTTTCTTGCTGGGATGTTTCTTCTCCAAGAATGGTAATTAGCTATATCTGTCTCAGAGCTAAAATCTTATCTGGTCAAACTTCAAATGAAGTCAACTGAAACTGAGACTGAAACTTTCTTTTTGATTTTCTGCTGAATTCCTTAGAAATATGAACTGTGAAAAGGTAGTTTCTTGCTGTGACCTTGTCTGATAAGTTACAAATTGATAATTGAAGACTTGAAGCTCATTCATCTCTTTGAGCTTAGTAGTTTCCATAAGTGGAAGGAAGCTCATGAATCTCTCAAAGCTTATTGGAACTATATGTTTTGTTTCCTCTTCTGTTAACTCAAATTTGACCAGGTAGACTTGTGTCCATTACAAGAGTATCATAGCAAATATGTGCTTGAAGATCAGATCAGTCTGATAAAAATTGTAAAACTGAACATTCCTAGCTTAGTTTGTTTGATTTTTCATGTCCCTCTGGCATTTTTTTTTAATTTGGTTGGTCTGATGGGTATAACACACTGTAGGTGTTGATTTCAAGATCAAACAGCTGAAAGTGAAAGGGAAAAGAGTAAAACTTACTATCTGGGACACAGGTAAGCTAAACCTTATAGAGGAAACCGAGAGAGAGTTACCGCAAAACTCATAGTTAATGTGATTCCTTGGTTTGTTGTTGTGTAGCTGGACAGGAAAAGTTCAGAACATTGACGAGTTCTTATTTCAGAGGCTCCCAAGGAATCATTCTCGGTAATGATATGATCATAGAATTGTCCCCTTGTCAATTACTGTTTTGGTAAAATGTTCTTTAAGACTTCTAATACTGTCTCCTGGTTTTCTGGATGATCGATGATGATGCAGTTTATGATGTGACGAAAAGAGAGACATTTCTAAACTTAGCTGATGTTTGGGCTAAAGAGGCTGAGCTCTACTCGACTAACCATGACTGCATCAAGATGCTCGTTGGCAACAAAGTCGATAGAGTGAGTAGTAGTAATAGTAACACTTGTTATCAACTTCAACTTGAACTAGGTTTCGCTTAGAGTTTCAAATTGCAAGTACAGGAATCGGAGAGGAGGGTGAGCCGAGAAGAAGGAATGGCTCTAGCGAAAGAACTCAAGTGTTTGTTTCATGAATGTAGCGCAAGAACACGAGAAAACGTCAAGCAATGCTTTGAAGAGCTTGCTTTGAAGGTAAGAAACAATCTTGCTGATCCCTTTTCACTTTCATAGTGCTAAAAAAACAGAGGAAAGTGAATAATGATGGGAATGTAACAGATAATGGAGGTACCTAGTCTTTTGGAAGAAGGATCAAGCTCTGTCAAGAGAAAACCGGATTACCAAACTCAACAAAGCCGGTGTTGCTCCTGAGCTGATTCGACTTTTCAGTAGCCTATTTTGCGTGTAAATTCTACAAGAAGATGAAGCTTGGCTTCTTTGTAAATTTATCCATTCCTTAGATCTCTTTGTTCTTCTTGCCTTGACTAAGATTGTGTAATAAGTTAATAACCTCACTATACAGGAAAAAAAGAAGAAGTCTCATATTTCAAACCTTTGAAACCGTAGCTTACACACATTACAACACATGCATTGCATTAATTCAAGATTTTCTTAACACTAAAAACATTGTCTACCACTTCAAGTGGTTGGCCAAGGAGAAAGCAAAGTAGAGATAAGATCACATTCACTGTACATCAGTGAAGTCACTCTCTCCTAGTCGTTCTAAGTAACAATAACAATAAGAACTAAGGACGTTCTCTGAACGATACAGAGAAGACAAAGACGAAAAGAGATTAGAAACCGGTCCATGGAACTTCTAAACATAACTTCAGAAAGCTGGTTTCTCAATTGTAGAAGACGAGGAGGATTTGTTAGCATCTTGTCTAGTCATCTTTATCCTTTGGGGCTGCAAAAAAAAAAAAAAAAAAACAAAGACAACAGACGTTTTCCTCAGCAATGTATGGTCAGTTTGATTTTCTAATCCAAGAATGGAGTAAGTAGTAGAGATTCCATGGTCAAGATTGTGAACAGAGTAAACAGAACTATAGTTACCCTTTTGCTGCCGTACACAGAACTATAACCTTGATAATCTTCATGCAAAATAGATGCAACTAATCGCCCTGTGCCTTTAGTTTTGTTGTTGCTTGTACTCGCACTAGCACGAGGGCATGTATGCATCTTCATGTACGCTCTAACCGAAAAATAAGCTGATTTCTTGACTTTCTCAACGTGAACGTACCAGTCACAACCGTTTTTCGCTTCACGGCATTTCACCACGAGTAGCTTCGAATCCGACTTCACTGTAGAGACCCCAAAACACTTCTCATGTGAAGCCCTATCAGTTACATCTCGCACTTCTTGCTTACTTTCATATTCTTGACCTAATCCCAGACTCATACCATCTTCCCATGCATCATCAAACTGACGTCTTTCTACAGCATGTGGAAGATCAACATATCCATGCATACGAGACCTATCCACATATTCAGATTTGTCACATAATACATCATCATAAGCTCTACCACTTGAAACCATGTCGCCATAATTCGCACCAAACGAACTTCCTCCTGATATTTCTGAAAGTTGCTCGCCCCACTGATTTGTTTCCGAATCTTTGATGGCTTCCACATTCAAAAGACATTTATATAGCTTTTCATCCACGGACTTTAGGAAACCTATAAAACGTCTTCATCATCTAAAATGTGTACTCTTCTCTGAGGTTTCGCTATAGAAATGTAACTCAGTTTCATCTTCGTCGTAGCTCCATCTATTTTAATCTTCTTGCATATCCTATCTACTAACATGGAATAAGTTATCTCCTCCGCAGATAAAGCTTCGAATAATAAACTGTAGAGGCGTCGGTCTTTGGTTGAAATCCAACGCTCTCCGATCTTTGAATCATATTCTTTGTAATCAAAGTATACGATTGTGAAAGCGTCGCTCATTGTCTCCTGGTAAAAATAGTAAAAAGTTCAATTACCATATATATTCAGTTATATTAGTAATAATAATAGTTTTGCCAGTCATGTCACATTATACTGTCTCAATAATAATACTAGTTGTTATACCACTCAATTATACAAGAAAAAGAATAAAAAGTTCGGCTTGTAACACTTATATTACTTTATACCACATTGGCTCGGTAATACTAGTTGTTATATCACTAGTATCAGTTGTACCAGTTGTACAATTTAGGTCGCCGAACAAATTATAATCTAGTTACGATTCACTATGATTCTCTATCACTACAGTCTATTCATTACCAATGCAAAGTCCTAGTCGACCCAAAATAGTATTATTACTAGCCCAATGGTCATACAAATATAACAATTTTAAAATCCAACTGAAATCCTAAATCCCAAAGCTTTTACAGCATAATAGACTAATCCATATGCATTCAAGCTAACTTGCTAAAACCGAGCAATAGTATGATAGATAGTATAAGAAGTCACCTTGATTTTCAAGCTTCACTTAAAACGGTGAATGAGGAGCTCGGTGGTGTGGTTCTTGTCGCGAAACCAAAAACGTGGATGGGAGAGATAATGGGCCAAAACATTGTTTTATTTTATTTTAAGATTTCAATTAAATTATTAAAATATGTTTCAGGCCAAAAGAAAAATAATAACACAACTTAATTTAATGAAGAAAAGTAGGTAAATGATAATCCGAATGTCCTCACTCCTGGATATTACAGCTTTCAACAGCGTAGTGTCAAATAAGTTCTTTAGCTGAAACAAATACTTGCAAGTGTTTGTTTCAGCTAAAGAACCCGAGAAAACGTGAAGGAATCCTTTGAAGGTAAGAAAGAATCTTGACGATCCCTGTTGCTGTACATTTCTCAACAGGATAAAGCTTGGCTTCTCTGTATATTTCTCAATTTTCTTAGATCTCTATTTGCTTCTTGCCTCGATTGAGATTTTGTGATTTTTAATAACATCGTTATAGAGGAATCATCTCATGTTTACTTTTAGTCTCACAGTATCAGAAGGAAACACCCTAAAGTGAAAAGAAGAAGTCTCTTATTTGGAGCCTTTGAAACCATGGCTTACACACACTACAACACCTGCATTGCATTAATTCAAAGTCTTTGAACACTCAAACACATTGACTACCATTTCCAGTGTTTGGCCACGGAGAGAACACAAATAGACATAAGATCACAGCACATCAATGAAGTCACTCTCCCCTACTCGTTCTAAGTAACAATAACAATAAGAACTTAGGACGATCTCTGAATGATACGGAGAACATTAAAGAGGACAAGAGATTAGAAAACCGGTCCATGGAACTTTCTAAACGTAGCTGCAGCAAGCTGATTTCTCAGTTGTAGAAGACGATGAGGCTTTGTTACCATCTTGTTTAGTGATCTTGATCCCTTGGGGCTGAAAAGCAACAAAGACAGCAGACATTTTTCTCAGTAAGTTTCATAATCTGAGCATCAAGGAAGTAATAGAGATTCCACAGTTGCTTCTTTACCTCAGCTTTTGTATCGCTTTCTGTGAGTCTTTGTTTGATGTCTTTCGCGATAGAAAAGAACACCTGCTCGACATTCTGGTTTGTTTTTGCACTCTGCAACGGTTTCCAATCACAGCGGTTTAGAAAATGAATTCTTTAAACAAAAGAATGAAGGAGGAGACAAACATGTTAGCTCACCGTCTCAAAGAATTTGATTCCATACTCATCAGCCAGAGCTTGTCCCTTTGATGTTGGAATAGCCTGTACAAGAAGTTGCAGTATCGGTATACTACGAAATGTAGGCAAAATATGGTCAAGGTTGTGAACAGAGCACGCAGCGAAATTTTACCCTTTTGCTTTCGTCCATGTCAGCTTTGTTACCGACTAATATTCTGTTGACACTATCTGATGCATGTTGCTCAATGTTCTTCATCCAGTTCCTAATGTCTGGAGCAACAGTTTGTGTTAGTTTCAGCAAGCGTATTATAAGAATATTGTTTCTGATACAAAGAAAAGCCAGAGACATACTGTTGAAAGATGACTCATCTGTTACATCATAGACGAGTAATATACCCATTGCTCCTCTGTAATATGCTGCAAGAGAAAAATAGTTCTAAAGAGTTTCAATAAAATGGCATTTGAACGTTGATAACATGAACGAAAGAAGATGAATCGACTTTTTCATCTTTCAAAAGTATGAAAATTTCCCCGAAACTCGAGTACTTCATCATGAGAAATATACAGATTCATACAAAAGAAATCGAGTATCTTTCAGTTCACTAATTCACTTGCAAGTAAAATTGTAAAATTTCAGAGCATTAACGACTTTTTACCTGTAGTTATAGTTCTGAAACGTTCTTGTCCAGCTGTGTCCCATATCTGCAATTTGATACGCTTCCCATCAAGTTCGACTGTTCTTATCTTGAAATCGATTCTGGAGAAGAGAAAGAAGACGAGTTTAGACGCAATCTTCAAGCAGAAAAGAAAAGAAAACAGCTAAGTGAAGAGAGACATACCCAATGGTAGTAATGAAACTTGTGGTGAAAGTGTCATCCGAGAAACGCAGAAGCAAACAACTTTTTCCCACACCTGCTTATACACACACACATAAGCACGAAAAGAAAATAAGTGAAGTTAAAAACCAAAAGGTCCAAAACTATAAATTGGCACTGAAAATGCTGAAGTATACAAATTTATTTGAACTACTTCTATCATCCAAGTTCTAGAAATGTTTCAGTAGATCATCACAATTTTAGCATGAGATTTTTTTTTATCCTAAAAGTTTTCCAATTGAGCCAAATTTACCAAAATAGAACAACATCGATGCTTAAATTAACAGTGATTGTTTAGTGTTCCTCATCTAGCATGTAGATATAAAATAATAAACACGAAAAACAAATCCGCATAAATTCAAAATCACAAACCCTAATTGAGATCGCAAAAAACAGGCACGGAAGAAGATTCTCAGATAAGAAAATCAAACAGTTTCTGAAGCTGGATTATTCATTACGTCTTACGAAGGAGCAAGAGAGAGAGATAGAGATTTAGAGACTTACCGCTATCGCCGATGAGGAGGAGCTTGATGAGGTAATCATAGTCTGAGCGAGCTCTTGCCGGCGCAACCGCCATCGGAGAAGAGACTAGTAATCGCTTCTCTATCCTCTTTCTCAACAAAAACTTAAACCCGAGCTCTGCTATTCTCCCCCGGAAAAAAAACTCTTCTCGCCGGAGAAATAAATATTCCTGGAGACAGCCAAAAAGGAGAGAAATGAAAAAGGAAAAAAGAAGATTCTGTGTGCTGCTGCTATGCCTGTGAAGTCGAAAGCTGCTAATTGGTGGATCATATTTTATTATTTTTTGTAGTTTCAATCTTCTTTTTTGAATTCTTCACACTTACATCCACTAACTTATTAAATTTCACAATTTCGTTCTTTTTATAACAAGTAGGTATTGCTAAGGTGTCAAACAGTAATTGGCTATAAAGAAAATTGCCAAGCTGTATATGTACTTTGTACGTTGGAGCAATCCAGCAAAGTATCCAACCATGACAATGATAGCAAAGGTTAACAGTCACATTGTAAGACAAACTTGAAGATCTTGTTCAGCCTCTAAACGCTTAACGAAAACACATTCAAATCTATTAATCTGATGATAATTTCATAATTGAAACAGACAAGAGGTTCTAAATTCATAGGTATGAGATTAACAACCTTTTTGTTGTATAGAAAACCACCAAAAATAAGATTCAAGAAAAAAAATCTTAAACATTTAAACCCGTCCTTACTACACTGACTCGCCAAAAACTGACTGAAGAATTTTGCAGAATCTCTAGGAGATTACTGAGTCGCCAATAGCAGCTTCGAGGATGCTCCTGGCATCAGTGTTTACATCAGCTAATTCAGCCGGTGTCTGCATAATCATCACAACATTTGTTACTGCTTAATCATAACATACTTTCAACAGCCAAAGATGAAAAAAGCGTTTTCAAAATGTTACCTTCTCGTAGGAGTTTTTAATCGTTGGTGAAGCCCCGGAACTCAGCAGAAACCTAATCACATCAACATGTTCACCTCTCGCTGCGTGATGCAGAGGCTGTAAACAAGAAACACTTTGGATTAGTCACAGTTTAGAGAGAGCGAGAGAGAGAGAGAGAGAGAGAGAGTCATTTGTGAAGAATACTTACGGTGTCGCCTTCTATATCGATTGTTTCGATCATTCTCTTCACACAATCCGGACCACTAGCTCGGCTAAAAAGAAGCTCTACTATTTCTAAGTACCCTGCAATCCCCAATTTCAGCAAGATTTAGAACTATAAGCCATAGAATGTGACCATGACGTGAGACAGAAATACCGAAAGAATGGTAAAGCTATGACCAACTTTTACCTCCAGCACAAGCATCATGTAGAGGAATTGCTTCATCTTCATCTTTGACCTCAATATCAGCTCCTCTTTCTAGGAGAAGCTGAGATTAAAAACAAAAATGATTGGATGGTTTAGTGATTTACAAATATTGAGGTCAAAGATGAAGATGATTTAATGACAAAGCAGTGAGCAGCAAAAGCAAAAGGTAACCTGAACACAAGGGAGGTGGCCATATAGACACGCCAGGTGAAGTGCTGTGTCATTATCCTCAAGTGGCTCGTCCACTCTCCCATCCAAATTGTCTATCAAAGTCAATGGCAGATTAGTAAACCATCAAAAAACGGAGCATATCAGCAAAGTCCTCTCAACAATGGCTAAAAGTGCACACATTAGGACATATCAACCAATAACAAATCTGATAAATTTATTTCTCCCAGTAGAGACTAATCTAACTTTAATAAGAGAATGCAGATCTTCTGTCAGTTCATTGCAAGCCTCAAGCAACAAACATACAGAGAATACACATAAGGCAAAAACTACAGTCAAGTGAAACTGAAAAAATGCGGAAACAACAAACATACTAGTGAGGTTGCTAGGATGGGAGTCAAATGGAAGAAGAACCCTTGAGGAGATTGAAAGATGAGGCAAATATCTAAGTAAAGGATCTTCTATAATGGCGTGGGAAGATTATGTCTTAGTTTTGGGTAAAGCTTTGCCAGACAACTATACACTTTCAAAGCTCAGGTTTTGAAGATGGCAAATCTAATGGTTCCACTAAAAGTTTGAGGCTTTACAATCCTGACCAGCTTAAGCAATACGCAATTGGAGTTGAAATTGAGATTGTAAATTTGAACAGAGTAACTTGAGCGTTGACGACCCACCAGGACTTTAAGAAACTCGGTTATGAGCATAGTAAAAAGTGAAAGACGTACCAATCGCAGATCCCAAGGCGACAACGTCGCCGGACTGAGCTGCGGCGGCTAAGTCGCGGAGTTGCGAGGAGAGCTCGTCTTGGTTTTCGTTGTCAAGACCGCCGTTTTCCTCAAAAAGAGCGTTATCTCCGTCAACATCTTCTTCCTCAATCAAACCATTGCCTCCTCTAGGAACTGCCATTGTCGTTGTCAACCTCTCTCTCTCTCTCCCCTTTTTTCTCCACCGCCGCCGTGTAATAAAATTTTCTTTTTAACAACTAATCGGCGCCGTGCAATAATCTCAACACTCTATTAAATTTAGGTTTTCTCGTTTTGTATAGTATTGGCTACTATAATATATCGTCCATATATATCTAGTGTCCTGTGTCCATAATGATTTAGTTATACCATACGTAGCAGTAAGTCTCTGAACCAACGGTTTTGCCATATGATTTAAGTCACATCCTATTAGTTATTGTTTATAGCGTTTGTGTTCACTACAAACTATCCACAATCAATTACTATCAGATATAATTAAGTCATTTTCATTCTTAACTTTAGATGATTCTACTGGCCATTAGGCACGACTGAAAGCTAATTTCGGAATTAGTTGCTCAATTGAATTGTATTAGTTGAAATATTCAACCTTGTTAACAAATTCTACATAAGTATTTTTTGGTTACAGTGAATTTACAGGTCGTGTAAAACTAGTTGGGTTTAAGTTCCTAGAAGCTTGTTGATGACACGATGCAAGAAATAATCAAGATAGTGGCACAAAGAATACAAACCACACACTATACTAAAGGACCATTAATTTGTGCATATGAGGTTGTCCATTTGGATGTAGCCAGATTTTTGCTATATTGGTTCATTTACACTTTCAAATGTCCACATTAGTGTGTCCATACGAAGCTTTCCATTTGGGTGTGTCCATTTTGTTATATTGGTTCATCATGATGGTTCTTGACATCTTGTAATGCGTTTGACAGTACAAAGCACAAAGCACCACATCGGTTATAAAATTTGATGTTCATTGTATGAACTCAAAGCACTTTGTATATGTAAAAAGAGAAACACGACAATCTGAGAAGACTTTTAATGGCAACGACCACAATCAGAAAGTCAGAGAGCAAATTTCCTTCACCAGTATTTTAACATACAATTTCAATTTCATTTGGATCATCCACAATATCCCGTCCATAAGTTTCTATCCACACGCCTACATCGTACACACAACCTGCATCCACAAAATATAATTGGTTGTATATAATTATGAACATGGATGTATGCAGGTGGATGACATAAGCATGGACAGATGCGAGATTAAGTCGGTGGAATCAGTGATCCTGAAAAAAGTGTGCAGACGAAGAGAGACCATCGCAGGAGAAGAAAAAGGCGGCGAGATATGAGGTGGCTCTCTTACTCCTCCGTTATAGACCCAATAATTTTCTGCAAAAAGGTTGAGAAATTGGAAAGAATTAAAACCAGTGATAGAATACAATTCGATTTGAACATACCACACGATTCTGATATCTCAAGAGGTAAACAAAATTAAAGAAAGAGTAGCAGATATTCTAGATCATAGATAACCGGAGTATGGTGGTGTTTCGTGAAGCTGTAAGGATTTCTTCTGGTATAGATCGAAGTTGTTGGAGTATCGTGATTGAGTATCACGGCGGAGTAACCCGTTCGCCGGAATTATATTTGATATGACGGTGGAAGCATGGATAAATATATCCGATGAGTTATGGTGGTAAAAAACAGAAAGTTAAAAAAAAAGTGAATTTGTGAGTGAATTGTGAATAAGGATATTATAGTCATTCGTAATGCTGAAAGTGCATCAGGAGTCACAAGTGCCTTTTCTTGTAATTTGAAAGTGCGAAAGTGTCTATGAATGTAAATATCTCTAATAATAATATTAGGCACATCTTATATATAATAGGAGAGTTTGCTCTCTCCATCTAGGCTATCCACATCAGCAAAAAATTCATTAAATTGTTTTTAAAATATTTAATACATGACTATTCATATTTCTTTACCTATATTTATATTTTTAAATATAAATAAAACTAAGAAAAATACACAACTAAATTACTTAATTAATATAAAGTATGTGATAACTTGATGTTAAAAGTTATCAAAAAGTTTGGATATAAGTAAAAATATATTTATCTTGAAATGGTATATATTTACCTTTTTATTAAAAGGATTTATCCTACTTCAAAATGTTATAATGTGTTCACAAGTTAAAAAGTTGAATATAAATTAATTAAGATAATAAAAAACCAATGAGAAATTAGAGTTAGAGTTTGCTTTTTTAAACAAATAGAAGTCAAGTTTTTATATGTAAATTTAATTGCAGTGAAAAACATGAAAATTTTAAGGATTGTGATATGTTTGTTTCCAAATATATTCAATTACAAAACTAACATAATAGAAAATAATCAATGGTCATGAGGCTCATATGCTACCACAACAAAGTAGATATGTATAAAAGTATATATATTATTTTTTCATCCTATTTCGGTGCAAATGCGATTTTACAATATACTTACAAATTTTAACGCTGAGTCAAATTATACATATGCATGTTTATAGTCTAACAAAAGTAAACAAACATAATATTTATAATATGCTAAAATGTTAGAAATAGAAAATTCGAGATAAAGTGGGGTGTTAACATCCTAATAAAATAAAATAAAAGGACGCGCGATGTGAGATAAAGTATAAACAAAACTAAACAGAAAACCATTGCAAACAACCCCGCGCTTGCGCGGGGCTTCAAACCTAATACTAATTCAAATAAGACACATATAATAAGTAAAAATCTATCGGCACTCAAAATGATACTTTTTTTTTTTACTGTATCAATTTTTGATTTGAGTCCCTTTTTTTCCCCTTTAGCCATCTCTCTCCTCTCTCTAATCTAGTTCCCTCTCTCTCGCTCTCTTCCTGATTTGATCGCCGGCAAATCGTAGCCGTCTGAACAATCAGCGTTTTCTCCGAGAAGATTTGCTCGACCACTCCAATAGTCTGATTTTCGCCACCTCAGATCTCCGACAACATTCCGGTACCATTTCTAGCTTTTTTGCCATTTCTTTATCCGCGGGATTGCGAAACTGAGGAGCTTTGATCCAAGAGAGCATAGTGGAAGCTATCTGTGCAATCCGAGGATTCGAAATTCGAATACTCTGGGTTTTGATTCGTCCTCTGTTGCATGTGCTGATCCAATTTGAGCTCCTCTCCTAGTGAATCTCCTCGTCCCGGAAACCTAGGGTTCCTAGATTGGTGGAGAAAAGTGTGTTTCTTTGGAGTCCTTAGCCATGTTTAAGAAAATCATGAAAGGTGGGCACCGGAAGCCCTCTAAATCCGAAGCCAACGAACCATCTAGCTACGGAATTGGTCCTCCGAGTAGGTCAGGTCCTAATTCCAATGTCGTCGTTAGCCACGCTTCTCGCGGCGGGCTGGTTCCTTCTTCTCCGTCGCCAGCGACGGCCACTCCGCCACCTCCGCCGATGGGGCCGGTAGAGCCACTCCCGTTGTTCAGGGACGTTCCGGTCTCAGAGAGGCAAACTCTGTTCCTGAGGAAACTTCAAAACTGTTGCTTCCAATTCGATTTCACTGACACGATTAAGAACGCGAGAGAGAAGGAGATCAAGAGGCAAACGCTCTTAGAGCTGGTGGATTTTATACAGTCTGGAGCTAGTAAGATCTCAGAGCTTTGTCAGGAAGAAATGATAAAGATGGTTTCCGTGAATATATTCCGGTGTCTCCCTCCGGCGTCACACGAGAACACTGGTCAAGAGCCTGCAGATCCTGAGGAAGAGGAGCCTTATTTAGAACCTGCTTGGCCTCACTTGCAGCTAGTTTACGAGTTGCTGCTTAGATACATTGTTTCCACTGACACGGATACGAAACTCGCCAAACGGTACATCGACCATTCTTTTGTTTTGAAGCTGCTCGACTTGTTTGATTCCGAAGATCCGAGAGAGAGGGAGTATTTGAAAACGATTCTTCATAGGATCTACGGGAAGTTTATGGTCCACAGGCCGTTTATTAGGAAAGCGATCAACAACATTTTCTATAGGTTTATATATGAGACAGAGAGACACAGTGGGATTGGAGAACTCTTGGAGATTCTAGGGAGTATCATAAACGGGTTTGCTTTGCCTATGAAGGAAGAGCACAAGCTGTTTCTGATCAGAGTGTTGATACCATTGCATAAGCCGAAGCCAATAGCTATATATCATCAGCAGTTGTCTTACTGCATCGTTCAGTTTGTGGAGAAAGATTATAAGCTGGCGGATACAGTGATCAGGGGGTTGTTAAAGTATTGGCCTGTGACAAACTGCACTAAGGAGAATCTCTTCCTTGGAGAGCTTGAAGAAGTTCTTGAGGCAACACAGCCTGTTGAGTTCCAGCGTTGCATGGTTCCATTGTTTCAACAGATTGGTCGCTGCCTCAATAGCTCTCACTTTCAGGTTAGTAAATCTTGCTCACATGATCACCTTAAATGTGGAGACTTTGTTCTTTAGCTTCTTCTGCATAGTGATTATGTTTCGAAATTAATTTAGACAATGGACTTTAGATACTGTGTGCTAGTGTCCTGTATGCCTATCATCTCATGTTGTTGATAGATACCACAACTGAAAATGAATCCTTGGATTCTTAGATTGTCTCATTACTTCTCATCACAAGTCTATAATTGATTTCACTGGATGCTAGCAATTACACAAGTTTTTTTTGTGTTATATCTTTGTGCAATCCCTCAAACATTTCTACAATGTATTGTCTTTATACTTGCATTGATATCTTATACATCTGATACAGGTTGCAGAGCGAGCACTGTTCTTGTGGAACAACGAGCACATCGTGGGACTTATCGCACAGAACCGAAGTGTAATCCTTCCAATCATATACCCCGCACTGGAGAAGAACATCCAGACTCACTGGAACCAAGCGGTTCATGGTCTAACTGCAAATATAAAGAAGATGTTTATGGAGATGGATCCTGAGCTGTTTGAAGAATGCCGGAGACAATACGAAGAGAAGCAAGCGAAATCCAAAGAAGTAGAAGATAAACGCCAATTTACATGGAAAAGATTAGCCGAAGCTGCGGCAGAGCGTGAGCGTGACCGAGTTGGACGAGGAGAAGAAGATCACATGATCATTTCCTAGATCATTATATACTTGTATTATAATTTTTTTGTTTTTTTCTGTTATCTCAATTTAATCAAATCCTTTTTGTTATTGCAATTTATAAACTTCGATTTGTTTTTGTTTTGAGAATCATCGATTCTGATTTTGGTTGCTCAAAGAATAGTATAGAGAAGTGAGCTGATCACTTGTAATCATTTTTGCAAATTAAAATGATGAGGTCTATCTAACTCTTCTTTACCGGCCACTCTACCGTTATTAAGAGACGGCAATGGCCATTGGGTTCCCATACGAGACTGCATAAGTGACTATAAATAATAATAAAAATTGAATTAGTGAAATTACAAATGAAAAGTTGAAAGTAGCTCATAGTTAGAAGAAGCACAACGGCATAGACATTATTATTATGATAAAAAAATAACCAAATTCATATTGCTTTTCATGTTCCAATAAAATACATATGTTACATTATTCTCAAAAAAAAAAAAAAACTTCTCCTAAGGAAAACCTAATGCATTAGATTTTGTTTCTCATACTAAAATGAAGATAATGTTTGATATAAGTGACACTGGATCACACAATATTCTCCATTTATCCATCATTTAAAAACAAATGTGGAAGAAAGCTTTTAAACATGAGAAGTATTTGTTAAGAAGCTTTCTGTCGTTCTCCACCAAGAGTGATGAGACAATCCCTACTCCTTCACCGTCCAAGAAGAAGACAACATGTGATAAGAAGGCCCAAATTGATTGTGCTTATATATAACTTATTTTCATTTCAATAACTAATGATTTGTTGCTTCTATATTAGTTTCTCATTGATATAATTAATTATTTTTGGATTATTCCCAGTTTGCGGAAAGGTGAAACGTAATTGATAGATGAAGTCTTATGATTCACTAATGTCTTTGTTTTATTGGACTAATGATATTTGTCAACTTACTGATTCGAACGGCTGAAACTACTCTCACATTGCGAAAGAGCTTATTGCTGAATTTGCAATCCCAATTATCCTTGGAGAATCTTCAGATCAGATTCTCAAGATGCTTTGTGCAAACTTTGATCAACTCTGACTTACCTTTCGGCAGAGATGAACATTTTAAGTTGTTGCTAGTTCATTTACAAACATATCTTCAAGATTATTCAGTCAATAGATGATCTTTGAACAGATATGATATTTAATTTGTTGAACATAATTTAGCCAAACAACTTTAAGATGCTCATAATTTGAATCCATTATCGAAAGATAAACCTCAAGATATAAAAACATTTGTATTCAATTGCATTGAATGGAGAACTAAATTACTACTTTAACCGGAAAAAAAACGAAATTACTAAAGTTGTCAAATTTGATATTATACAAGTACAAAAAAAAAATTAAAAAAAATAAAACTGGGGATAACTCAGTTGGGAGACTGTTAGACCGAAGATATGAAGGTCATGTGTTTGATCCACCCTCACGGCAAGAGGCAAGTTTAATATTAGTTGCAAATTTAGTTCTAGAGGTTTTGTTTCGCATGTAGAAGGTTTTTTTTTTTTTTTTTTTTTTGCCAAAAGCATGTAGATTTAAAATCTTGTGAACTCTTTTCGTGGATTATAATCTACCATATAGATTTCATTTTTGAGAGATCATATATAGTATTCTAAATCAACGTACGTAAACGAAACATTTTCCATTTCGATGAACCATATTCTTGAGGAACAAAAACACAAGTATACTTTTATTTTAATCCAAAGATTCGAGTATTAAATAATCTAGTCTGGTCAGCGTGAGTTGACTTTATGGTTGGAATTTCAGATCCAAGTACTAGTTATCTTTCCGGTCACCGACTCATAAGTCATAAGACATATTCCATGCAAATATCCATTACAAACTCGAGCCACATCCTTATTGAAAAACGAGTCTTATGTGGCTTTTACGTTCAGGAGATTAGCAATGCCTTTGTCGTTTTAATCCAAGAATTTTAGTGATTTGCTATATATGTAACGTTTTCGGAACAAAAGTAAACCAAAAAAATCATAGTTTGTTGTAGTCATTGGCTCATTGCTGATTCTAGTATAAATTGATGGTAATCACACTTACTTCCTAAATTCTAACATAACGTTTTTTACTTACAACTGTTATAGTACATTACCTCTGTATCAATCAATAATAGATGTTGTATGTCTTTGTTGTCATAGACAATGAGTCTGGTAGGGCGCAAATAAATAAATAAACGAAAAATTGAAGGAAGGATCGAACACAGATATTGAAGTCGTACGATACGGATTACGGAACGGTGTTAGAAAGTTTGAACTTTGAACAAACATTTAATGTTTCCGTACCGCACAGTACAGACCAGACCACGAGGTAGTTGACACAATACATCACTCTAGTCTAAACAATGGCTGTATTATATATGTCGGCCACAAACAGTACGACGTCTCAAATCTCAATATTACAACTACAAAGTATTATCTTTGACCATCGTAATACATACAAAGGTAAATAACCAAAGCCCTCTTGTATTGGTAACTTTGCTTGTGCGGCCACTACACATGTCTACTCTTTGGTGAATAATTAAGTTACAATTAGAGTCTTATCATAGAAACAAAGATTGAAGCAGAGATAATCTTAATTGAAAGAGAGCGCTAAAAAAGGAAGCTACAGAGAAAGAGAGCTTGAACCGTGTTCTTGTGAGGCCCTACTATACTCCGTAGAGCAAAGAAAGAAAACACCAAAGAGGAATGCATTAAATGTAAATAATCAAGAAATTTCTCGGCAACTTCCTAGCCTAACCATGAGCTATAATTCCTCGTCGTTGACGTCGCATTTTGTATATAAAGGACTTTCTAACTCAACACAAAGCAACAACTCCACCACAGAAGAAGAAGAAGAAGAGAAGAAGGAAACAACACACAGAGAGCTTTGTTTTAGCAGTTGCTTCCTCTTCACAGGTTTTGAAAATGTGCAAAAAGTTGAATCAGTTCATGAGAAAGCTACAAACTTGCTGCTTATTCACAAGACTCTCCAAAAGGGTAGAGAACTGTGGTGAGTTCGAGGAAGAAGGTAATGCTGCAACATTGATTCCCAGCGATGTGAAGAAAGGGCATGTGGCTGTGATTGCGGTTAAAGGAGAGAGAGCTAAGAGGTTTGTTTTGGAGCTCAAAGAGTTGAACAAACCAGAGTTCATGAGGCTGCTTGAACAGGCGCAAGAGGAGTTTGGGTTTCAACCCAGAGGTCCTCTGACCATTCCGTGCCAACCAGAAGAAGTACAGAAGATTCTACAAGGAAGTAGAAAGGAAAAGTCTTGATTATTTTTTTATTGTCGATAACCATATTAACTAATTTGAAATTCTTTTCTTACAATCATCATTCCCTATTCTTATTCTTTCTTTTACTAAGGAGACATGTTATGTTCACACAGATTTATATTTGTATTATGCTGGAGATAGATCATATTTTTTACTGCTTTTCCTAAGTACTGTTCATTCAATTGAATTCCCAACATTGAAATTTCGATATATATCTTGCTCAAAAGACAGTTGTGAGGAGAATTCTATAATGCCTTGCATAATCATACCAACAATCAGACAAGTTCTGGTTCTCTACTTAAAAAGAGAGTGTTTTCTCAGTTTAGCCATAAGAGATTCAACCAGAGTAGAAGAAAACAGAGAATAGTTCAAGTGATCGATTCCAACAAAGAAAAAAAAACTTGAAATCCAACAGTAGTACAAGAAACAGAATGAGAACCACAAGTTTATTGTTGGCTTTGGCTTCTCTTCTGGTCACGAGGCAGTGCAAGAGATTGCAAAGCAGAGGCTTCTATGGGAAGTAGACAGGCCAGTTGTAATAATAGGAGTCCCTCACTTCTTTAGGTATCTTATTCCACTGAGAAACGAAATCAAAGAATCAAATAAACTTGTGAGCAAAATGTTGTCAATGTCATGAAAAACAGAATCAGTTGTGGAGACAAAAGTATGAACCTTGAATTCATAAGGCTGTTTCTTTGCCCTTGCCTTTTTCCAGTGGTGCTGCTCAAACAGCATCCACTTGTCATGATAGCTGCCATTTTAGAGACTAATGAGAGAACCTTACAAAGATCTTGCCTATGGATCAGCCACCAAACTAACTAATCCAAATGAAAACACAAATTGGAGACACATTCTTACATATCTACCTCTCGTGCAACCAATCTAATTGCCAAATGCCTAAAGGTAACAACTTCATGAGCGAAATGCGTAAAGGCAACAACTTCATGAACGAAATCAAAGAACCATGAGCTAACACCTAACCTAATTCTCGCTGAACCAAGCACAAGAACTACAAAATCCCAATTCGGAACCCAGACATTCGCATTCAGAGAGAAATCCAACAGACAGAAACCGGATTCCCCAAACCTAGAATTCGATTACTCAAGTGAGAAAAAGAGTGAGAGAGAGAGAGAGAGAGTATAGGATAACGGTACTTGTATTGGCTGGAGAGCTGCCACATGTAAGGATTGAACCAGGTGAGAACGGAGAAAGTAGCGGAGCCAATCCAAATGTTGACGAACCGGTCAGCATCTGCGTGCGGCACTCCTGGATCTCCCCTGTACGCATTTCCAAAGTACTTCTCCATTTCCTTCTCTCTCTCTCTCTCACTCCGTCGCTCACTGTGTCGTTGTTTATCTTCTTCTCCGGCTGTTCTCGGATAATAAAATCAAACCTTTCTATCTACTAACTTTCTGTTTGGTAACAGTGATTGTAAAATCCTGTCTAAGGATCGGATATGAAATGTTGCCAAAGAGTGGCAGTGCCAAAACACATCGTTTTAGCTACATAGAAATGGTATGAAATGTTAGGGTCAATTTAGAGAAATACAGCTTCTTCGGGCCACATCTTTCGAATATCCAACAGTTGATTCCTCCTCGATGAAATGAAGTAAAACGACACGAAACCCATCGTTCTAACTACGTGGCCCAGCAGTTTTCTTGGGAAGAACCAGAGACCCAGAATAAGACTCTCTGATTCATCTTTTTGATATTTCATCGTCTTCCCCGATCTAGGGTTTTCTGGAATTAGGGTTATTAAATTATGAGGGGCGGTGGCAAGAGAAGATCAAACGGTGGTGGTTCTGGGAATAACAAATCTAGATCTCCGGTACAGAGCTCGAGAAAGAATTCTAATTCCGCGGCGGGATCTTCGTCCGGTGGTCGTCGCCGACGCACTAATACGCTGTTTGTAGAAGGAGGGGTTCTCTCGGATCTCCCTGCTTTTTCGACGCCATCTCGAGGAGGAGGAGGAGGAAGCTCTTCCGGTAAGGTCTCGAAACCCAGGAGCTCAGATCGTGCAAAAGCTTCTGCTTCCACGAGTGATCCCAGGAAATGCAGTGGCCATAGCTATGGGTTTCAGTACCCTTCCGTTCATTTTGAGGAGGGGTTGGAGCGAGGCGTCGAAGGTGATCAAATGGATGGATCGAGTCCTATAGTGCTGGGGAAGTCAGGGTCGACACAAATCGTTGCATTTCTGGATCAAACGCCGTCTTCATCGAAAGAGGTTAAGGTAAATTACGATTACGAATACGAACAGAGCTTTGTTCTGGGTGATGATTCTCATAGAGGGTTAGGATTTTGTGATGATTCTGATGCTGCACCAAGTGGTGGCCTGAAAGCTGGTGAAGAGGCTGCTGCTGCTGCAACTGAAGATGAAGCGATGCCTGATGTTAAGAAACCATCGAAGAGGAATGCAGGTTACATCTCTGTAGGAGGGATGAAATTGTACACTGAAGACATATCTGGTGAAGAGAGTGGCGACGAAGAAGGCTTGAATGGTGAAGATGATGGCAGCTCAGGTGAAGAGACTGAATCATCTGAGAGCGATTACTCGGAAGACATGTTTGGGATTGATTCCGAGATTGATGACGAAGTTGCAAAGGATTACTTGGAAGGTATTGGAGGCAGCGAGATTATGTTGGATGCTCATTGGTTAGCAGAAGAGTCGTTGGATAAATTGGATTTGTCAGGCAGTAGTAGTGACAGTTCTTCAAGTGATTCTTCTGATGAGAAGAAGAAGAAGACAGGGAAGTTGAGTGGTTTTTCTCTGCAGAAAGCATCAATGGATTATGGGAAGAAGAAGTTTACAAGAAGTCGTTCCTCGGGGCATGGTACGGATCCTCATCCAATGGCAATGGATGATCTTATGTTTGTGAAGGATCCGAGAAGTCTTTCGGGGAGGAAGAATAAGAAGAAACAGGAGACTAAGTTTCCACAGTCTTGGCCTTCAGGAGCACATAAGAGCAAGAACTCACGCAATTTCCCTGGTGAGAAGAAGAAGCACCGCAAAGAGTATATCGCTGTGAAGCGTCGTGAGAGGATGTTGCAGCGTGGTGTTGATCTCGCTGAGATAAACTATAAACTGGAGAGGTTTGTTCTGGAGAATGTGGACATGCACTGTTTCCAGCGTATGCATAATCGAGATTGCTCTCAGGTAAGAAGATTAGCAGATGTATACCGCTTATCAAGTAGCTGCACTGGTTCTGGAAAGAAGAGCTTTGTGACGGTGACACGAACATATCAGACGTGTTTGCCATCCGCGAGCGATAAACTTCGCATTGAGAAGCTTATAGGAGGTGGAGATGAGGAAGATGATTTCGCTGTCAGCAGCGGAGGAAGGGGAAAGGTGAAATCTGGTGGCAGTTTAGATAGGAAGAAAGTAAAAGACTCAGCGAAAAAGCGAATGAGTAGAGAAGAACGGGAGAGAAACAAAAGCAGCGGGAAGAAGAGTTCGTTAGCTGAGCAACCTGTATCGTTTGTGTCAAGTGGTGTAATCGATTCTGAGATCGCTGTTGCAAAGACCTCTTTTGATGTCAACGACGCTAAGCAGGTTGGTGAAACTACTCCAGGAGCCTCTAATGGAGCTGATATTGGAGCGTTTGAGGTACACACGAGAGGGTTTGGATCGAAAATGATGGCAAAGATGGGATTCATAGAAGGAAGCGGTCTAGGAAAGGATGGTAAGGGGATTGCACAGCCGATAGAAGCTGTTCAGCGTCCGAAATCTCTTGGGTTAGGTCTTGATTTCCCGGCGGGGACGGAAGATCCGAGTCCATCAAGCAGTAACGCTAAAAGGAACAGATCTTCTTCCGCTGGGAAACATGAGAAACGCATCTCGCGTGACAATGGTGGTGGTGGCTCTGGTTCAGCAAGAATTGTAGACAAAAGATTGGGAGCCTTTGAGCAGCACACAAGAGGTTTTGGTTCGAGGATGATGGCGAGAATGGGTTTTGTTGATGGCTCGGGTTTGGGAAGAGAATCACAAGGCATTCTCAATCCGCTGGTCGCTACCAGACGTCCTAAAGCACGTGGACTAGGCGCTGAAGGCTAAAGCATTTTTAAAACTTTGTATCCAGTTTGTTTTTCTTTGTGTTCACCATGAACTTGGACATCTGTTGGTTGTCTTAATCCAATAATCTCAATTCAAGATGTTGCTTTCACGATATAAGTTTAAAACATTAGCACTAAAATTATTGAAAATCAGTTTTAGATGAAGTTAATAGAATTCTTCTAAAGAGTTTTGAAGTTATAGTAATTTCATGATTATCCGGTCTGACAAATTTTTAGATGACAGATAATTGGAGCTCTTTCCAGTTCTGAAAGATCCAATCATGTTTGTTCTCGGTTGGTGAAGATAAAAAAATATAGCGAGAGAAACAGCATATTTCCATAGTTAAATCAGAAAAAATTTGACACTATAAATATTTGGAATGTTGTTGGTGTATTACATTATCCAAATGATATTCTTTTATATGCAAAAATGCAATAAGATGAATACTATCATTAATAGCATAAATCACATCAATATCTAATTTTTTTTTTTCCACAATCCGACAAAGTGATACATAAATAAATCAACACACATTTGTTCTGGCTAGACCATCCCAATTCTCTTTAAGATCACGGGGACATATGTTCCAAAGTAGGCCTTAGATGTTCTTTTGGCTCATGATACTCAAAGACAAGTGTATCAAGAATTGTATAATAATCATTACAAATCCACATCTTCAGTAGTTCATGTATTTTATCAATGGTCAACATCTAAAAGTTTAAGGATCTTCTTTTATAACAACCTCTTTTAAACTTGAGTTTAATCTTAAAAACTAAGCTTCAATACTATGTTCATTTTCTGCACATTTTGACTGAGATAGGAAAGTTAGAAGTTACAATTGTGACCTCATCTTAGCATTAGGCCATTAGCGCATAGATGAACTTTTAAGTATTTGTTATTTGATTTCTTCTAGAGACGCTCTTTCCAGTTCTGGAAAATCCAATTATATGCTTGTAAAAGACATTGGTTGAGATTTTTTCTGTTGTTATTAAATTGTCATTATTATGAGTTTATGATGTCAGCATATTACTTCCTCGGAAGGATCAAACAGACGAGAATCATGTCCGTGTTTAACATGCAGAAATTTTTGGTTTTTTCTAAGACTAGTTGAAGCCATACGAAATATGAAACAACTCAAAATAAGAGAAACTTTTACTAAAACGAAGTAGCAAATTCATTGTACGACCAAAGAAACCAATGGCGAGAGAGATAGTGAAGCAGAGTGTTAAACTTAAAAGACATAAACTTAGGAAAACATAAAGCTTCATCTTCATAGATTATCATTAACTGTAGAGGTCATCATCGTCGGCAGCAGCAGCTGCAGACGTGGCAAAAGGATCAGCAACTCCAGTGGTTGCACCTGAGCCAGCAGAGTTCTCAAACCTGAACTCAGAGCCAAACCCTCTAGACTGCTGCAGCGTCTGAGCAAAGGCCTGGTATTTCCTGATGTCTGCATCGCTCACACTCCTACGCGCATACTTCATCGACTCCTCAAAGTGCGCAGCTTTTATCTCTGATACTTCATCCTCTCCATCTTCCTCCATCGCCTCTGGGTTCTCGCTCCTCCTCTTCTCCTTCTCAATGTCCTGAAACAAAAACCAAAGAGGCTATAAATATAGGTGTTCGAGACTCGGGTTTAGAAAATTTACAAGCCTAATGAATAATGATCTCTGACCTTCTCGATGTTTTCTCTAATGGCGTACTTGCAAGCTCTCTGGCAAATCTCAGTGATATCAGCACCACTGAATCCCTGCGTGTACTTGGCGAGTGCGTTGATGTCCACATCTTTAGCGATAGGTGATTTCCTCAAGCAGGCCTTGAAGATGTTGAGACGGGAATCCTCGTCTGGTAGTGGAATGTAAATGAGCTGGTCGAGCCTTCCTGGACGGAGAAGAGCAGCATCAATAATGTCGGGTCTGTTGGTTGCTCCGATGATGAAGACGGTTTTCTTGGCGTTCATTCCGTCCATCTCAGTCAACAGCTGGTTCAGAACTCTATCCGCTGCACCGCCTCCATCACCTCCACTTCCGCTTCCTCTCTGAGTTGCAATGGAGTCAAGCTCATCAAAGAAGAGGACACATGGAGCGGACTGACGTGCCTTGTCAAAGATTTCACGAACATTCGCTTCACTCTCTCCAAACCACATTGTGAGAAGCTCAGGACCCTTGACACTGATGAAGTTGGCTTGGCACTCGTTCGCTATAGCCTTGGCCAAAAGGGTCTTACCACATCCAGGAGGACCATAGAAGAGGACTCCCTTTGATGGAGACATCCCGAATTTCTCAAACTTCTCAGGGTGCTCCACCGGGTATTGCACAGTCTGCATATGGACAAGTACACAGCTTAGTTACAATCAATGGACATATCACATATCCAAACAAGAATGGAATTAGCAAATTTACCTCCTGGAGCTCTCTCTTAACATTCTCAAGACCTCCAATATCTTCCCAAGACACATTCGGAACCTCCACAACCTGCAAATCGAAGAAGTTTTGGAATGAGAACTAAGAGATAGTACATATATTGATCTCGCTCTAAGTGCAGCACTGTCAATACTCACGGTTTCACGAAGTGCAGATGGGTTGCTGTTCCCGAGAGCAGTGTGGAAGTGTTCATTAGTCACTGCCATAGAGTTGAGGATTTCAGCATCAATGGAGTCATCTTCCAAGTCAATTACATCCATCTTCTCCCTGATGCATTGCAGGGCAGCTTCTGTGCAGAGAGCTGCAAGATCAGCACCAACGTAACCGTGTGTGTCTTTAGAGATCCTTTCGAGATCAACCTGGAAACCAAAACAAAAACACAAGAAGAATTTAGCATCCATAAGCATTACACTCAACAAACACAGGCAAAAGCAAGAATGAGAAATTACATCTTCAGCAAGCTTCATGTTCTTTGTGTGGATTCTGAGAACTTCGAGACGTCCGATTTCGTCAGGAACCCCGATATCAATCTCCCTATCAAATCTTCCAAACCTTCTTAAAGCCGGGTCAATACTGTTGGGGCGATTGGTTGCTCCCATGACAATAACATGAGCACGAGATTTAAGTCCATCCATGAGCGTAAGGAGCTGAGACACAATCCTCCTCTCAACCTCTCCATTCGTCTTCTCCCTTTTGGGTGCAATAGAGTCAATCTCATCAATGAAAATGATCGAAGGCGCATTCTTCTCAGCCTCCTCAAATGCTTTCCTGAGGTTGCTCTCACTTTCACCAGCCAGTTTGGACATGATCTCAGGTCCGTTGATGCAGAAGAAAAAGGCACCGGTTTCATTTGCCACAGCACGAGCAATCAAAGTTTTTCCAGACCCAGGAGGTCCGTAAAGCAGAATTCCCTTCGGTGGCTTAACACCAATTGACTTGAATAGTTGCGGATGCCTCAAGGGAAGCTCAACAAGTTCCCTAATCTGAGCCATCTGTTTCCTGACACCACCAACATCATCATAACCCACTTCATCTAGCCTTTCCTCATCCTCTCTCTTCACTGGCTCACCCTCACAGAAAATCTCAGTGTCTGGAGCGACCACGCAGTACTCAGCAGGATCAGTCTCGATAACTTTAAACTCCACACTCCTCATTCCTCCTCTGACTAGGAAGAGATCACCCTTCCTCACTGGGCGGTAAGCCTCCAGGAAATAAGCTGTTGAAACAAATTCATATTTTGTTCAGGATCACTCCAAATCTATATAAACAACATCTCAAAGCAACCCGCAACAATAAAAGTCAAAACTTGCATAGACAACTTACGTTTCAGGTAAGCATCAAAGAGGTTTCCAGTCACCCCTTCAACGGTATCATCAACAGGCAAGATGTGCACACGCTTTCCGTACTTGACATCAGGGCATTGGTGAACAGAAATAACATCTCCCAATCTAACCCTCAAGTTAGATCTGACAACTTTGTTCATTCTGATCTTTGGCTCCTCACATGATTCATCAGCGAGAGCAATGCAGACAGTGTCCTTCCTTTTCTTACCCTGAAACCCAAAATCCAAATCAGAATAAGAACTCACAAAGACCAACAAGCAAACAAATCAGTCAACGAGACAGCATCAGTACATTACTATCATTCGATACTCAAACAAAAAAAAAAGTCTCTTCATATTCATAATCACTGGTTTCAAAAGTCTACAAAACCCTAATTTTACTTTAGAATCAATCATCAGTCGATCATGGGAAAAACCCCTAATCCATCATCAGTCAAATGAAGAACAATACGAACAGAAGCAAACCCAACCTTGATGAGAATGGTATCACCACGGAAGAGCTGGAGCTTCTCCATGGTGGCAGGGTGGAGAGATACGACGGAGTTATCATCGTTGATAGCCTCATCGACGACAAGCCTGTTCGGAGACTTCTTCCTCTCCAGAATCGCAGTACTGAAATCTTTCTTCGATTTCCTGACACAAACCAAAGAACAACAGGGAAAAAAGGATTAAGCAAAAACCCTAATCGCGAAATCGAAAACCTTTACTCAAAAGATCCGAAATTTTCCCGATCGGAAAGCCAAAATCGGAGATCTGAGCACTTACGAGTCTGACGATTCAGCTGGGTTTGACATGATGGATTGGAGATTAGTGAGAGGGTTCCCTCAGAAATCGAAGAAAGTTGAGAGCTTTTTTGAGTTTCCCTTGAGCTCTCTCGGAGAGATCGATTCGATTGTGATAATGGGATCTGAAAGAGTAGAGATTTACGCAAATTATATCTCTATGTTTCTTGTTGGAAAAGAGAACTCTACTTTATTTTCCTTTTCTTTTTTTTCCTTTATTTCTAATCTTTTTGGGAATATCAAAACGACCCTTATTGTTTACTTTCTTTCCCGAACTTATACCATAATTGTGTTCTGTGAGAACAACTCCAATCTCTTCAAAATGTATACACCCATTGTTTTCATCTTTGTGTTACCTTATTTGGATGTTCATTTACTTTTACTTTTTCTTCATTGGCTTCCTGTATTCTTCCAAAATGGAAACAAACAATGCCACAAAAGTCAATCTCTTTGTGTGATATGGTAGGTAAAAAAGTGAACTGAATCAAAAGTGTTTCTTCATACCAAACATGGCCTTATTCTCTTCTTTTTTTCCCTTTCATTTCACATTTGAGTTAGAAAGATCATAAAACAAACTTTTTAACTGAATGTACAAAACATGTTTGATGGCGTGTAACAGATAAATACAGATCTTTTATACGTATCATGTGGAAAATTCTTACCTATCGGCTAATATTCTTTTTTTCCAACTACTTCTACCAAAAATTCGGTAGTGTTTTTTTCACCTTGTAGATAAACACAATTACACACACACACACATAAGCACAGAGTAGTTTTGTGCTGAAGAGTGATCAGCTTTGGAACAAAACTCTGATAAGCTATATATACATATCTTCGTAATTCACCTGTGGCTGTGGTTACATTCATACAAACATCAAATTACATCATTTAGCATCTTTCACATTCTTCATTTATAAATATGTAAATCTATGTATAATGAGCTTGATCTTGATCTCACCCATTCAAGCTTTTCAATCTCCATCTCAAGTCTTTTCTTTTTGTAACAAGAGGTTGAATCTCTTAAGCAATCATCAACAAGCTCTTATTGTCTTTGGGTTCCATAACTTGCCAAACCAACCTCCTTCACCACCACCTCCACCCTTGTTCTTTGTCTCTAAAACCGTCTTCTTCTTCCCTCCCAAGTCTCTAGAAGTCTCTAGAATCTTCAGAGGAACTAGCTGCGGGCTAAGACCGCTCCCTGAAGGCGCTTCCACAATCTTGGTCACCATCTCCAACACTTCACTCATCTTGGGACGTGCCTTTGGGTTCCTAACCAAACACCTGTTGGCCACAACTGCTAGCTTTTGAACCGATTTGATAGTGTACTTCCCTTCGAGCCTTGGGTCTAATATCATCTTGAACTTCCTTGTGTCGGACAGGTAAGGTCTCACCCATTCTAGAAGCTTCTGCTCTCCTTTAGGTTTGTTTCTGTCTACTGGTCTCCTCCCTGTGATGAGCTCGTAGATGAACACTCCATATCCCCAAACATCGCTTTTCGATGTGAGACGACCTGTATGAATGTATTCAGGTGCTGCATAACCCATTGTACCTACGACCTAACAAAACCGAAGAAACCAATTATAGAAACACAAAGATGTTTCTCAAATCTTGCAACCAAAAGAAGTGAATGGAGAAACTTACATCAGTAGAAACATGAGTTAGTCCTTCAGATGGACCTAACCGAGCCAAACCGAAATCCGAGAGCTTTGCTTTCCAGTCTTCATCCAAAAGGATGTTTGAGGACTTGAAATCTCTGAATATAATCTGTAAAGTAAAACAATACATCAAACGTCAGAAAAAGAGAGAGAAATGAGATCAATTCAAGTCAGAGCGTAGCAGAGTCATGAGATTACCTGAAAGTCCATTTGTTCGTGAAGGTATGTTAAACCACGAGCTGCATCTTGAGCGATTCTCAATCTTAGATCCCAAGTAAGGACTGTGAGTGACCGAGGGGATAAGTGGGACTCAACGCTTCGGTTAGGCATGTATTCATAAACCAAAAGCCGTTGGATCCCACGTTCGTCATCTTCTGCACAATAACCAAGCAACTTCACCAAGTTTGGATGCTCAACCACACCGAGAAAGTTCACTTCCGTAACCCATTCCTTATGCCCCTGAAACATCCAAGAAGCGAGATCATCAGATAACTGACAAATCTTGAGAACAAGACTTGAGAAAAGAAAGAAGATGACTTGCCTGCAACCCTCTTTTACCGAGCTGCTTCACGGCGACTTCAACTTTAACCGAAGGGTCTTCTAAGTCCCTCACTGTTCCTCTGTAGACGCAACCGAAACCGCCTTCTCCAATCATAACAGATCGGCTGAAGTTCTTTGTTGCAGACTTGAGATCAGTGATGCTGAACTCTCTGAGATTGCTTGCTCGAGTGGACATTGGAGGGTACGAGCTCTTCCTCCCCATGGATGACTCCGTGCTCGTTCCAGAGACGTCACGAGAGTTGAAATCTGAGCCGCTTCGGTTTATGTCGCGGTCAGAGAAGTTCGAGGTCAGTGAAATCGAGTTTGGGGTCTTCTGTTCGTCTTTCTTGTCCCCACCAGTGAAAAAGAAACACTTCATTCTCCACAAGAGATTCAAAAACCGAGGCTTCTCCACTGCAGGGCATAAAGAAAACATTATTACTATTTGAGTTCGTTGGAGCAAATTATCAAACAACTAATCTGCAAAGTTAAAGCATTTCCACAGTTGAGTACTTATAACTAAAACATCCAAACTAAACAGAGGAATTGGTCTTAGACATGGAAAGAAATCAATTCCAGTGTTTCACTGGCTTGAGCTCATTCAAAATTTCGAACTTTAGATTCAAAGAGTGAAACTTTACTTGAATGGATTTTGACCCAAAAGACCAGAGGGTAAGAGGAAGGATCTCAAAGCTACAACTACAAGTAATCTAATTTAGACGTAATCAAGTTGAATCCTTTACTCTGAAACAAAAAAAATTGTGATTTATTTGAACAAGTTTAAGAAGAAAAAGATGATCATAAGTTCATAACTCACCTTTGAATGGTTTTGCATACAGAAAAATCAAAAGTCAAAACTTTTATGAAACCCAATCGCCAGAAGAGAAAGATGAAACGATTGTTTGAAATGGGTTATAGAAAGAGATCGTGGATTTGAGAAAAGATATCTAGGAGTTTCTCTAATTGGGTTTTATAAAAATGAAGCAGAGCTTGGAAGAGGAAGAGGACGAACAAGATGCAGAAGTCGTCACACGGCAAATGAAACAAGTCTTTACAGAGAGCTAAGTCAGCATAAGACGAAACTGAGAATTTAAATGGGACAAAAGAAAAGAAATTTGATTCTCTGTATGTTTAAAAAAATAAATAAAAGAAAAAACATTTATTTAAAAAAGACTGTGGAAAAAAAAAGTTTTTTTTTGTTGTTGTTGACTTGTTCAACGGTAAGGTGCTTCGAGATGTAGCCAATAGAATGAAATCTTAATCGATTTTATAAATTTGATTTAGGGTCTGACTGGTTTAACCGCTGCGGTTGCGGTTGCGGGAGTTTGCGGCTGCGGGAGTTTGCGGAAGCGGGAGTTTGCGATTAAAAGCTGTTTGTACGACTGGTATAGCAATTCATAGCGGTTGCGTTTGCGGGATATTTTTGACTGGTTAGCCAGCGGGTGCAAGAGCGGTTTAACCAAAAGTTACTAAAATAAAAATAATATATAATTATTCAAAACATTTATAACCATATTAATAATTTTTTTTTTGAAATATATTTTTTGATGAATTTTTAATTTGAAAACTACCCTTTTTTTTGGTTTTGAAAAATACACTTTTTATATGTAAAATGATTATTCCTAATTTAATAAAAACGAAATTCAAATAAGAAATATAAAATATTAATATTTGATAATAATTTTGTATCATTTTAACATCCTAATTACCTGTTTAGTTTTTTTTAAACAATTTAATAAAAATATAAGATTGTTTATATAAAGTTTAAATGGGGTGAGATTAAAGTTGTTTATGCAAAGTTTCAAAAATATTTAAATTTTTCAAAAGATAAACATTAAAAATGAAAGATATATTTCTCCACTTTTAAATTTTTAATAATTTATAAACTTTAAATATATGTAAAGTTTTAATTTATTTAAAGTTTCATTTGGTTTGAATGTGTATGAGGTTAAGTTGTTTATATAAAGATCCAAAATATTAAAATTTGTTTCAGTTTAACATATACTATATTTATTTGAAAAAAAACTTATTAGTTTATTATTTTTTTTAAATTTTCGTTTATAATTTGTAATTATTTATTATTTTTTTGTTTAAATCACGTCAAAACATACTTTTTACATTTTAAAAGTGTATTTTTCAAAACAGAAAAAATTTAGGGTATTTTCGAAATTTTTAAACATAATTATGGTATTTTTCAAAAAAATATACCCTTATTCCAAATTTGGAGATATTATGTTTTTTTTTTTTTTTTTTCAAACCGCAACCGCCCGCAACCGCAAACGCTTGCGGAAAGGAGCTTTTGATTTTCAGCGATATAGAGCGGTACAGAGTGGTATAGAGCGGTTGAAAGCGGTTGTCGTGATTGTTATAAAACGCTAAGAACCGCTACGAACCGCAAACGCTGCGTTTGCGGGTGGTAGCGGGAGAACCAATCATCACCTTAGAGGAATATGAATTACCGTTTCATATATCCTATGTTTCAACATTATTTATTGTATCGTTAGACTTGCCCAGGAGATTTCCCAAATCTTCCTGGAGCCTAGATTACATAAATTTAACGACAGATTTTAGCATTTTCACACAAAATCCAATCAAAGAGATCCTCTGTTTCGGTTTCCGATTGATTTGATCGGTTTCTTGAAATTCGTTTGGTAAATTGTACCACTTGTTGGGATACCTTAAACCTTGGTAACTTAACCTTATAATAATATATATACTGTATATACAACTTTGGTCGTAGTGCTTACACTACATACAACTACTAACTTAGTAAGTCAGTATGAATTCGGTTGCTTTGATCCCAGTTTTACACTATCTCCGAAAATAACTACAATCGTATTATACAACTTCACCTCAAATCTCGCAACTAGACCTAGCAATGGATATCATAACCAATGAATCATGTCAAAGTGGGTCAAATCATAGTTGACTCCGTGAACCTTCCAAATTTTGAAGTTCTTCTCGTTACTAAGTTCTTAAAGATTCGATGAGCTTTTGGATGGATACAAATACAAGTATTATAGTTTGTTGTATACGGAAAATATAAGAATGTACTGTAGAAGTGAATAAGTGATGTAAGTAAAAGTCAAAGGTGTTAGAACCTTATTGGTCAAAGTCAACAAATTTGGACGACTCATATTGGTTCTACACTACATTACCAAAAACATCCCAAAACGAGACAAAGTTGTCATATCCAGTTATATCCATCATTCGATAGAAAATTTCCTGTACCCCGACACAAAAGATTCTCCAAACTCCGCCATGACCAAATGTTTAAGAAGTAAGAGATGACGTAAAAGATAAACGGTGGTTGTGACGAGAAACTATCGTAACACCAGAGCATTATTGCAATAGAGGAACGTAAACCAAAATTTGTATCTTCTTTGTTTTTGTGTAGTTAATATAGAGCAACTAGTCAAACATGGTAAAAAGACCGAAAAAAATAGAGCAAAAGTCTAACCAACACTTCTTCACTTACATACAATTAATAACACTCCCATCTATTGAGTGTATACAAAACTCAATTTTCAACTTTACTGTTTATATTCCAAGTCTAATTTGTGGTCTATAGTGGTGAAGTAGCCTTTCTATTTCTCTAATCATTTCTTAAAAGGAGCAAGTACCAAATATAAAGATAATTATACCAACATGGTTTAGATGTAACAACTAACACACCATGAACATTTGTTATACCTTATATCATACTCGGCCTAGTATATTAATGATATTTAATAAATACTAATAAAGTTCTCATAAAAAGGGTAATAACAAAAAACAAAAAACAAGCCAAAAAGAACACTAAAAAAATAGCTCAAAGGTAACACAAGCAAAACAACAATCATGATTACTTGGGTAGTACAAATATCACCAAAACCTCAGTCGGATTTTAAAACTGTAAGGATGGATTTAGGAGACTTTTTAGTTGAAGGCTGGCTTCTCAGGGTAAATTCAACACTATTTACTGTATCGTTAGACTTGTGACACTTGTCCAGGAGATTTCCCAAATCTTCTTGGAGCCTAGATTACATCAATTTATTAACGACAAATTTTAGCATTTTCACACAAAAATCAATCAAAGAGATCATCTGCTTCGGTTTCCGATTTTGATTTATCGGTTTCTTGAAATTTTGTTTGGTAAATTGTATCACTTGTTGGGATACCTTTTTTTTTTGATAAAGGGTTTTCATTAATTAAAAGTTAACAATACAAAACAGAGAGAAGTTGAGAAGAGAAGGGATTAAGTTTTGGCTTAAACTAAAGAAGCTTTTAATACAACTAAAAGCTTAAAACATATGACAAAGGGGTGATGATTGCCACGGCCACGGCCAGGCAACCTCGACTTTGCGACCATTGTAGCTTTTTCATCTTTTGTGGTTTTAAATGTCTACCTCCTCGGGACTTATGCGCTCAAGCGTTCCAATCCTCACCTATGAAAACTCCACTTTTATCAAAAAGATCACTAAAAATACCTTTATTCCCAGCCATTTTATCCTCTGGTCCTGAATGTGGTGAAAGAGATGAAGTAGAATCAACACTCGGAGGAGGATTCTTGCTTAAGGGAGCAGTGAATTATTGTAGTTCAAAAGCTTTATCACTGGTTGTGGTGGTAATGATTGTAGCGACACTCTCCATTTGAGAAGATGGAGATGGGATCTGATCTTGAATGGTCACAACACTTGTAATGAAGTTATGCTTTGTAACAGCAGAGACAACCTCAGAAATGGTTGTAGTTTCTTTGGGAGAGAAGACACGGTTGGAAGAGAGTCCGATACGGTGGTAGCGATAGAGACAGAGTCACTAGAGACTTGGGGAGTGGGATCAACCATATTCGAAGACAGAGTCACTCTTTGTTGGGATACCTTAAACCTAGGTTACTTAACCTTATAACAATATATACAACTTTTGTCGTGGTGCTTATACTACATGGTACTAACTTAGTGGGTCAGTATAAATTCGGTTTGATCCCACGTTTTATACTTACTAGTTCCTACAAATATATATATATATATATTTTTTTTATTTATTTATTTTTTTTTTTTTGATAACTCTGGTATCCGGGCAGCCACATTCCCGACTATCCCTACAAAAATAATTGAAATGGTATTATGCAACTTCACCTCAATTCTCGCAACATCTTGGAAACTTAATAGTTCTTAAAACATACTCTCTCTATATAACTCTTTTGAAATCTATGATGTTTTAGAAGTTCTGTTGTTTCACATTAATTGATCTTCTCATATTTCTATGCAGAATTAATTCTTATTTAATATGTTATAATTAATTCTATGAAGCTGTAGATTATTTTTAATATAGCATTAAGTAGAAATTTTTATAGAAAAACATGGAAAAATTATAGTTTCTTAATATGCGCTCTTTTGGATATAACATCATACATATTGAAAGAGAGAGAATAATAACTGATAAGTAAATAGTTACTAAATAAATAATAAAATTAAATGATTAATGAGATTAGTTTTAGCATTATTGAGTTTCAACATCTACCCACCAAAAAAAAAATTGAGTTTCAATATCTATTTTTCTCTCAGTGATTAAAAATCAAAGATAGAATCAGTTGATGGAACTCACAAAAAATTGTTATTTTTTATATTAAATATTATGATATTTATCTTTAGTTAAACTTTTAAATATTTTATATAGTTTTTATGTTTAATATTTCATTATACATATCAATATATATATATATATATATATATATATTATATACTACAACGTTTTCAATTTTATATTTTTCAAAAGAAACGTTCTATGTTTTACTTCCACGTTTCCATGCAACATGCAACAGAGTTAAAGACAGAGAAAATTTGAAGAATCCAACATGGTGATACGCTCTCTCTCTCCCATGAGCGATTTTTTTGGCGATTAGGGTTTTCACTCCCTTCCGCCGCCGACGGTACGCCTCACGCGTTCCGACGAGAATTTCTCTTCTTCCTTCCCTCTTCCTTCTCCCATGGCGTCGTTGTCTGCTTCTAGTTCCACCTCGCCTCTTCTCCCACCCCCTGAACCACCAGATCTAGCTCCCGCTCCTGCTCTGTGGTCATCAGATCCTCCCCTCAAACCTCCGAATCCGCCTGACCCTCCAGATCCTGTGGCCTCTCCCTCCGTTCTCTTCCTCCCCTCGAACATCGCTGCCATCCCTCTTCCACAAGTGTGTTTTCAAAATCTAGATCTGGGTGATTTCCTTCTAGATCCGACTTCTGCCTTTAGTGCTGGTATGGCTTCTCTGCCACGCGGAGCTGTGAAGCCCTCTCACCGTCTCACCATCCCTCTCCATCTATGGATGTTCCTGGAAGCTTCAGTCACGGCTCCTATGTCCGATGGTGGCTCTTCCGTTGTCACTCTCATCACTCTTCACCTCTGGCTCTCCCAGGTTTGCTATTCCTCGTCTCCTGCTTTCCCCTCAGTGGTTTGCTATAGGAATTTAGAGGAATGTTTTGCTCTGGTTTTGTGGATGCCGAGTGTACCTCCAGATCTGAAGACCTCTGTTTCTCGGATTCCCAACCTATTGCCTATTGATGGCTCCTTTAACGCCTTTGTGCGTTTCATTACTGCAGTATGCAGAGTTGTTTCCGTCTTCTTCATAACGGGTTATACTTCATGTTCTTTCTCTATGTGGCAGATTAGAAAGAATTGCCTTGGTTGCATCCCTCCAGTTAATCTGGATTTGGACTTTCATAGTCCTCACCGCTCTGTTAAGGAGCTTATTCTCCTCCCTAGTACTTCACTTGTTTTGAGTGTTATTGTTGCAGGGAGCATTGTGTTGAAGGCTGTTCTGTTTAGAGCAGTAAACAAGAGACTCTTGATGTCTCAGTCATTGGAGGCGTTTATCCCTCCTCTTGGTTTTCTTGATCAAGATCACATATGGTTCTTTGGTCTGAATTCTACCTCGGTTGAGCTTGCATGCTCCCATCTATCTCTTTATCTCTATTTGAGTTATTGTATTGTACTTTGTTTAACCTTGAGCTCGACCAATCTGTGGTTTGATGCATTGGTTTGTTTGGCTCCTAGTAGCCTTTTGTATCTTCTCCTTTTGGAGATTAACTCTTGATTTAATGGAAGCTTTTGTTGACCAAAAAAAAAAAAGACAGAGAAAATTGGTAGCCAATTTATTCCAGAATAATAGTATAGGAATTAAGTGCGGATCACCATTCTATTAAGTGCACCTGAGTAGTATAGGAATTAGCAATACGTGAATTTTTAAAGATTGTTATTATATACTTCCTATGTTTCAAAATATAGAGGGTTTAAAACTTTTGTTTTTGTTTTATAATATAAGGTGTTTTTAACTTTTTTTTGGTACTTTTTACTTTATTAGTTGTTCATATTGTTTTTTTATTGGTTGAATTGTTTTGGAATTGATGATAAAACATGTTTTATTTTGAAAACTTAAAATATTAAATAAGTTTTTAATTCTTGTGTCCAACCCTAAAACTTCTTATAATATGAAACAGCCGAAAAGAAATCTATTGATTATCTCCCAATTGGTTGGATCATAGGTGCGATGATTTACTTCACGGGCAATAAAACATGCAATGAAACAGAGAGAGTAATAAAAGATCGAAACAGATCCCTAATATATTAAAAGAGAAAACACTATGAAAGATGTGTTATTAACAAAATGCCATGCCAGCCATGTGACATCATCACCAGGTTCACTCTCAAAACACTTTTTAATTAAGACAACATTTACTAGACTATTTACATTATATGCCATTGCATTCTTTCTCTTAATTATTTGGTTACAACCAAAATCATAAAATAATTAACCAAACATAATATTACCATAAAATAACTAATCAAGTATTATGCAATTGATTAATGTACTTATATACATACGTTTTGTATGGATTATATTTATTCATTCTATCATTTATTTTATATACCTCATTGTTTTATATTCAACATAAATCAAGAATATTTACAATCGTGAGTTTGATATTGACATATATTATTTAGTTTCAATAAATAATTTCATACAAAATTATGAATTTATTATACACTTATTTCACTTATTTTAAAATTAATGGTTGTGAATTTCAGTATGAATTAAATCAATTAATTATTTCACTGGTTTTTGCATGATACATTGGTTTATAGACAAAATGTAACTCATGCAATAAGAATAGGTGACAACAAATCGTCGTGTGCAAGGCATTTTTTTATTTATGTGCATGGCATTTTAAATAAATGTAAATTCAAAATGGCTTTTATGATTTGAGGTTTAACGTAAAGTCATAGCTTAATCATCATTAATATATATGCCATTATTTGACTTATATTTTAGTAAAGTTTACAGTTATACTATGGGAGAATTTTGAAATTAATTCGTTATAATACTTGGATAAGGGAAGAAAGTTTTATTGTTTAATCCAAATATATCCTCAATTACAATTATTCTTGGCATTTAATTATTCTTGGCAGCTAATTATAAGCAGAAGATGATAATCAAATAATAATGTGGACCGTAATATGTGTAATTGTTATTAAACTTTTGGTAAGTGAGATTCAATTTTTTCAATCACGAGTAAATGTGAGTCAATATTGCAGTAAGTCCTAATCTACATACTATATAAGAACCACCAAGAAGCAATAGCAACACCTCATTTCGAATATCACTTATTGTTTACCAAAGTTTATATTTTTTTGTTTGTGTTTGTATTATTATTCATCACGATAATAATTGATCTAACTATATCATCTTTATTTTGTTAATATAAGATGTTATCAGTCAATTGTGGAAGTGGGTCACATTGATACTGTTTCGATCAATGGAAAAGATACACAAAATATCACTAGAACTTCGAAATTCATAGGAAATAAGTTTTTTTTTTTCTTTTTTTTTAGTGATTTGCCTAAAGTATAATATAGATAACGTAAAAGTTGGGTGTGTTTGCATCTGGAAATAAACATTGCTACTATAAATTTCGATAATTTCGATAATGTCATTGTTTTCTTATTGGTTGGATTATTTTAAAATTATAATAAAGCATATTTTAGTCTTGAAAGAAGAAATAAAATTAGTTTTACTCCATGTACACACAACTAAAACTTCTTATCCTATGAAATACATGATCTTTAAAAATTAAAAAAATTAAAAGAATAACATTTTATTTTCAATTTTTTAATTCTTTAAACTATTTTATTATATTATAGTCATTTGAATTTTGTGTATCTTTCTTACATATATCATATTTAATATATGGTTACAATCCTTTTTTTTTAACGACATAAATTTCCATTAAGTAACTCAACCAATATTACAGTGGGGCCCAGTTGGTACGATGGAAATTAAACGACTCTTTGCGGACTTCGCGATTGAATCCGCTACAGAGTTATCAGATCTCGGAATGAAAGAGAAATACTTACCTTTTAAAAAAATATATTAAAGTACTTAATTTCCATACTATAAAAGAATAAACTAAAACATTAATCTAACAAAGATTAAAAATCCTACCTATAAAATTTCGAATACTTAAATAAACATGATAAAAAATACAAATTCAGAAACCATCATCCCGTGCTGGGTATGGGTCAAACCCTAGTGTTAGTTTAGTTCGAAAGACGACAAGTAAATCATGCAAATCCAAAGTTATAGAATTGCGACAGCACACGAAATGTGTAACCCACTTAAATGTTTTTATTATAAAGACCATCTATTGTCCCCAACAAATTTTACAGTTCACTGAACTCATTAATTAACTAATTTAAAAAAAAAAAAAAAAATGGGTAAAGAGGATCTGAAGTTAGTCCTGCTTCTACTTGTCTTGACTCACCATGTTGATTCAGCCTCTATCATCAGGTCTCTTCCTGGTTTTGAAGGTCCACTTCCTTTCGAGCTTGAAACCGGGTCTGTTGTATCTTCATCTTATCTTCTTGATTAATAACTTGTTTTAGCTAAACAGCATGTTGTGAGTTAGTTAATAAGCCGGCTGTTTTCAAATCAATACTTTACTTTTTTTTTTACAAACGTTTCAAATTTCTTTACTTATTATTCATATATAGATACATTGGTGTTGGTGAGGCAGAGGAAGTTCAATTATTTTACTACTTCATCAAATCTGAGAGGAATCCAGAAGAAGACCCTCTTCTAATCTGGTTAAGTGGAGGACCTGGTTGTTCTTCTCTCAATGGGTTTTTACAGGAGAATGGTAGTTTTCTCTTATATATATATATATTTCTTCTACCTTTCTCGATAATAAATTTTATTAAACTTTAGTTAAAATCGCAGGGCCTCTGGCTATCAAGACGGATGGTTACAACGGAGGCATCCCTTCTTTGGTCTCTAATACATACTCATGGACAAAGGTACTACAAAATAAGTAACGTTTCACAAAGTCTTTTTTTCCTGTAACCTTACATATTATTCTTTTGATTTTTGTTAATCTATTGATTCTCAGGTGGCAAGCATAATATATTTAGATCAGCCTGTTGGGACTGGTTTCTCCTACTCAAGAACTCGGGTTGTTGATATACCAAGTGACACAGGAGCAGCTAAGACTGTCCATGAGTTTCTTCAAAAGGTATAGAAGAAGAAAAAAAGTAAAGTGTCTCTTGATGTTCGATTTGCTTTTAATGCATAGAAAGAACTAAAAAAAAAAAAATCATTCTTTTGGTTATGTTTGTAATGCAGTGGCTAGGCAAGCATCCAGATTTTGTTTCTAATCCTTTCTATGTCACTGGAAATTCTTATTCTGGTAAGGTTGTTCCGGCACTTATTCAAGAAATCTTCGAAGGTATGTTTTGCTTTTAATTAGATCTTCTTTCTTGATAAACTCTTTTTTCCCCCACTTTATATAGTCTATATACTCTACCATGCAGGAAATTATATATGCTGTAAACCTCAGATAAATCTACAGGTGCATAATTATTTCTTGCTTCTTAGAGCATCTGTATCGGAGATACTCATCAAAAATTCTTATATATAAAAAACATTCATTTTAAGAAGAAACAGTTTCAAAAATAAAAATGGCGAACTAGGTAAAGACACATGGCGAACTTCTCTTATGAATCGACTCTTGCGGCTATCTGAGATCAACCATTTATTCTTTTTTCCCTTGCCACCTTATTTTGTTTTTGTTTTTCTTTTTTTGTTAGGAACCTATATGAGTTATATACTTACATTCTTTCTTCTTGCATTTAGAAATTCAAAATTGTTAACTCGCTGACAATAACAGGGTTATGTGCTAGGAGATCCGGTAACATACATTGGTTTTGATGTAAACTACCGGATTCCATTTGCTCATGGAATGGCATTGATTTCTGATGAACTCTACGTGGTACTAACTGTAGCTACCTTTTTTTTTTGTAATTTTTATTTTCATATTGCAATCACAAGATTCACAACGATCATCTAATGAGCATTTCAATATTTGCTTGGAGGCATTGAGAACAAAATGCAGAGGAAACTACGTAAATGTGGATCCTAGTGACGCAGAATGTTTAAAACTCGTTGCAGACTACACAAAAGTATATCGATTAACAATACCTGGTATAGTAAAGTGTATGTTCCGCCTTGTCAAATTTGGATACACTAACGAATTCAAATTGTGTGGTTACTCACAGCTTATTTCTGGAATAAATATGGATTCTGTAATTACACCAAAGTGTGGGAAACTATCTGCATCTCCTGATTGCTTTGTAAGTAAACTCATCTTCTTTGTGTTTATATTTGGCCCACTTGAAAACCAATAAAATAATAGAACAAGAAAACACTTACACAAAGTTATCTTTTGTAGAGCTATGCATATTTGCTAATGTCGTACTGGGCCAATGACAATAGCGTGCGCAACACTCTTCAAGTAATAAAGGTATGTATAAAAGTTAAAGATTAGAACGTTAATAAACTTTGGAATGATGTTAATCGAGGAAGCATTGTTAAAATTATGTCAGGGAAGTATAGGAAAATGGAAACGGTGTTCGTCTGGTGACCCTTACAATATGGATATTATAAGTAGTGTACCATACCATAAGAATAACAGTATCAATGGTTACACATCTTTAATCTTCAGGTAAGATTTTAATAACTCTCGTACATATGATTTTGTCTTTATATAACAAAAAAATCTCAAAAGATGTTTTACTTTTGTTGGAAAAAAAAAGCGGTGATCACGATATGGAAGTACCTTTCCTAGGAACTCAAGCATGGATTAGATCTCTTAATTATTCTATAATTGACGATTGGAAACCATGGATGATAAACAATCAAGTTGCTGGATACACTAGAACATATGCTAACAAGATGACATTTGCCACTGTCAAAGCAAGTCTTTTTATTCTAGTTAAAATTATTTTTTATCAGAAGATGAAAATGTTTTTTATTTAATCCTGTTAATTAAGCATACGTAATTGTTTTTTTTTTTTTTTTTTTACAGGGAGGTGGACACACTATGGACTTTAAACGAATGGAAAGCTTTATACTATTCCAAAGGTGGATACGTGGCCAACGTATGTAACAAGTGGACATTTAAGCTATGTATTTGTTTTCCCTACGGTTTTTTTTCCTTATTTGTTTTTTGTGTTGAACCCGTTTGTTGTAGAACGATTAAATATTATGTAGTTTCTGTCTCGGTTCTAAGTCCAAATCCAGAAGAAAACCTCACAAATGCGCATCAAAAAGCTAAGAGATCTTGTAAAAAACATCGTGTAATTTCAGTATTTTTAATCTCTCCATCTTCTGTGTACATCATTGATATATCACTTTACTGTATGAAATTTGTATTTCTGAAAAACAAATGTGCTAAAAAAGATGCACATGTTACATTTTTCACTGAGGAAAAAGATTCATACGTTTTATAATTGGGAGAATCACATGCTACATGTAAGCAGCTTTAAAAGGTAGATAGAGATTATTAATATTCTAGTACAAAACTATGATTTATCGCGTGCACATTTTCAAAACTACATTTATAAGGTGTTTATTTTTAAAATTACAATTTTTAAACCCTAAATCTAAACCCTAAACTCTAAAATCTAATTTTAAACTCTTAAATATAAACTCTAAACCCCAAAATCTAAATCCTATTGAGGGATTAGTGAATCCAAACTTAAATATTAAATTTAGAACAAAATATAAATTTGAAAATTAACAATATAGAAATGTAATTTTGAAAATTAGTACACATGAGATGTATTTTTTAAAATTTCTCCACCATCATTATAGTCCTATTAATGGATATCACATCACAACCAGTGAATCATGTTAAAGTGGGTCAAAACATAATTGACTACGAGACCCTTCCAAATTATTAGTTCTCGTTACTAAATTCTTAAAGATTCGATGAGCTTTTGGATGGATATTATAGTTTGATTGTATGTATACGGAAAATATAAGAATGTACTGTAGAAGTGATGAAAGTAAAAGTCATAGATGTTAGAACCTTATTGGTCAAAGTCAACAATTTTGGACAACTCATATTGGTCCTACACTACATTACCAAAAACATCCCAAAACGAGACAAAGTTGTCATATCCAGTTATATCCATCATTCGATAGAAAAATTCCTGTGCACCGACACGAAAGATTCTCCAAACTACGCATCACCATGTTCCAGAAAGAAGATATGACGTAAAAGATAAATGGCGATTGTGACGAGAAACTATTGTAACACCAGAAAATTATTGTAATAGAGGAACGTAAATGTAACAGATGAAATCAGCAACTTGTTAATGCGCTTTTGGTGGGATAAAGGAGATAGAAACAAAGGAATTCCTTGGGTGGCTTGGAAGAGACTACAGTTTTCTAAGAAAGATGGAGGTTTGGGATTTAGGGACCTCCCACGTTTTAACGATGCCCTTTTAGCTAAACAAGCATGGAGACTACTAAAGCATCCAGATACTCCGTTTGCAAGATTGATGAAAGCACGTTATTACAAAGACACGTCAATATTGGAAGCAAAACATCGGATAAATGAATCGTATGGTTGGAGCTCAATAGTTACAGGTTTGACCCTGTTGAAAAAAAGAATGAAACACATCGTTGGAGATGGTGAATCTACAAACGTTTTTGAGGATCTTTGGTTACCGGTTCATTCCCCAAGGAGAGTGACTCGTAACGAAGGACAGGAAGATTTTCTAGTGAAGGAATTGATCATTGACAGCGGCTGTTCAAGAAAATGGAACCTGCCTGTGTTGGAAGCTATACTCAATGCAGAAGATCGGAATTTGGTTCAGAAATTATATTTACCACAAAGAAAGAAGCAAGATCGTCAAGTTTGGTGTTATGATAAATCGGGTGACTACACAGTTAAGAGTGGGTACTGGTTGGCTTTTAGGGAACATCTCCACGACCACCCTGAGATTACCATTCCCCATGGAGATCCGGTCCTTAAAGATCAAATTTGGAGATTGCAGATTATGCCAAAAATAAAACATTTTTTCTGGAGAGCTTTGTCTAAAGCTTTACCGACTGCAACTAGATTAGTTACTCGTGGAATGAAAATTGACAAGGTTTGTCAAAGGTGTTGTTTACAACATGAAACCATTAACATACTCTCTTCTCTTGTTCACATTCCAGAATGGTCTAGCGAATGAGTCAACTACCTTGGCAACCTTTGAACCTACATGATGATAAGTGCGATGATCAGGTTTCAAAATTCTTGGAACTACAAAACATAAGGGGTCTATCAGATTACCAGAAACTCCTCCCATTTTGGCTTGCTTGGCGGATATGGAAATCGAGATACAACCTAATTTTCAAGAAACAAGTAACGGCTCCACGATTCATTGTACAACAAGCTCATATTGATGTTATGGAATGGTTGAACTCACGGTCTTCTAGATTCACTAGTCCAACTGGAAGTACAGATCTTGCCCTTCCGACTTCATCGAGGAAACTACCATGGCAGAGGCCTACACTTGGTTACTTCAAATGTAATTTTGACGCAAGCTACGATTTGCACTCACAACAATCGATGGCGGGATGGATTATTCGTGATCACAATGGAGTAGCGTTCTCATGGGGCACAACTAACTTGGGGGTTTCGAATTCGCCACTGGAAGCGGAAGCAAAGGCGTTATTGATAGCTATGCAGCAAACTTGGAGCCTGGGTTTAGATTATGTAGTTTTTGAGGGAGATTGTAAATTGCTCATAGATAGCTTACAAGGAAATCCCATAGACTTTAACATAGAAAATATTTGTTGGGACATTGATAAATGGCGCAGAGATTTTAAGGAGTGTGTTTTCCTTTACACTAGGAGGGAAAATAATATGGTCGCCCATAGTTTAGCTTCCACAGTGCCTCCCAATGGCATGTTTTATTCCTCTAGGTTAAATCCACCTTTGTGGTTATCACATTTGTTGTATAATGATCTTGTAATTGTTACTTAACTCAATAAAGATATACTTTTGACGAAAAAAAAAAAGAGGAACGTAAACCAAAGTTTTTGTTTTTGTGTAGATAATATCCTAGCTTCTTTGCAATTAGTCAAACATGGAAAAAAATTATAGCAAAAGTCTAACCAACACTTCTTCACTTACATACAACAACACTCCCATCAGCTTTCGAGTGTATACAAAACTCAAATTTCAACTTTACTGTTTATATTCCAAGTTTAATTTGTGGTCCATAGTGGTGAAGTAGCCTTTCTATTTCTCTAATCATTTTCTTATAAGGAGCAAGTACCAAATATAAAGATAATTATACCCACATGGTTAAGATGTAACAACTAACACGCCATGGACATTTGTTATAACTTATATCATACTCGGCCTAGTATATTAATGATACTTATTTAATTAATAAAGTTCTCATAAGAAGGGTAATAACTAATAACATAAAACCAAGCCAAAAATAACACTCAATAGCTCGAAGGTCACACAAGCAAACAACAATGATGATTATTTGGGACATATAAATATCACCAAAACCTCAGTCCGATTTTAAAACTAAAAGGATGGTTTTGGGATACATTTTTTAGTTGAAGGCTGGCTTCTCAGGGTAAGTGCAGCCAGATCTCTGGATCACTACGTTAGAAGCGTAACATCCCGCCCTCACGCACTCCTCAATCGTCTTTCCGTGAACCAGCTGCGCAAGAAAACCTCCAACAAACGCATCTCCTACGATCACACAAAAAAAGAAGTTTAAACCATCATCAGTATCGTTTACTCGAGACTGAGACCAAATGTATCATCATCTTTCTATTACAATCAGGGGTGGTCTCAACTCTAAGCTATAAGTCTACTGCATCTAGCCTAGGACCTGAATGTAACAGACTAGAGCTTGGTTCTTATCAAGTACCTGCGCCGTTGGTGTCAACGAGTTTCTCCTTGGGGAGAAGGATGACTGGGTACTTCTTCACCTTTCCATCTTCGGCAACAACCACGGGGTCTGCACCCTGTGTAATCACAGTGGTCCTCTTGTATGTTCCGGTGGCTTTAGGCAACTGGGAGATCTTGATGGCTATTTGCTCAACATCATCCGTCTGTATAAAATACATAGCCAAACAGATTAACAGACAGTCTTTATTTGTTCAAACCATAAAACATGTGAAACTTCGGCAGTTATTTACCTCCCAGCCGTGAACCCTGGAGAAGGTTCTTGCCTCGGTCTCATTGCCAAAAACATAGTCCATGTACCTGGTCCAAGCAAGGCGTTAGATTCAGGGGTCTTTCTTTCTAGATATCGTCAATGATTAGTTTAGGAAAGTAGAAGATGGTATAAATGGATAAAAGGATTAGGATTTTTTCTTACGGAATGCATTTCTCTTGAACGTCTTTGAAGAATTCACAGATGAATGGAGCAGAAAGGTTCATTGTGAACACCTGTCAGATATGTGAGCATGTCAGGATCTTCCGCGTTAAGAACACTGCAAGTGTGATTCTTGTGAAGGGATCAAATCTTGTTACCTTGTTGTTAGCAGCGGCATGTTCACGAACCAGCTGAATGGATTCTGGTGATACCGTTAGGAAGAATCCAGCAATGTAGTAGAACTTGGCCTTCTCAACTGCCAAAACAAAACAAAAAACATGTTTCACAAACTCAGATAATCCTGACAAAAGAAGAAACTATCCAATTTCAGGGAGGAAGATGAGTTATTTTTTGTACCAAGAGCCCAGTTCTCAGGCTTCTTTAGGTGTTCAACCTTGTAGCAATTTGCAGCAGAAAGATTCGCAATAAGCGACCTGCAAAAAGGAAAACATTCCTCAGTACAACTCAGCAGAAGAAGATGTTTTAAGTTAATCGTAAGCAGACATAGAGACTGATTCTAGACTGACCTTTCTCCACCCATAACACAGACACCACAAGTTCCAGTAGCGATTGACTCATCTTCATAATAATGGACCTGGATATAGAACAATAGCAGATTAAGAGTCTACTTCCTGAAGTTTTGAACTAAACACCAACAATTTATATATAAGCATAAAGCAGACTGACATTGACACCAGCAGCTGTAGCATCCTTCTTCATTGCCTCTCCGTATTTGTCCTTTCCAATGGATCCCATGAAACTGGTTGCCCCAGGAATTTGAAGCATCCACTACAGTAATCAAAGAAAACCATTCGTTCAGCAAAAAAGTGTTAACCTTCAAAACCAATTCAAATAAGGCGTAACCATTCGTCATTTACCTGAGCCACTTTGATTGAGTTCTGGGTAGAACCTCCAGCAATGTATTCGACACTGAACTTCTTGCTCATCTCATCGTACCTAGCAAAATATTCGTTTTCATGTAAATTCTCAGTAACAAGCTCATAAAAGCAGACTTGTGACAGCATTATGAGCTTGTATAGTGTTTCAAATTAAAATTCAAATTCAGATTCAATACATGGCTTATCCAGATTCCATGTACATATCCGCATCGATTACAGAACAGATTGAAGAGTAAATACTAATCAAGACTTCTCCTTTTTTCACCATCTAATTTCAAATGAAAGTCCTATCAAAGGCCGAGAATCACATAGTATGAAAAGTGATACTTACATGGGCAAATGTTTGTCCTCTGCGAGAATAGCATTGTTCAACTTGATCTCGTATCTGTCACAATTAAGGATGAGAAACACTAATAAGAAGAGAATCGATAACAACACCTACACACAAACAATCCAGATCCAAACCAGAACGATAAAACGATTCACAAAGAGATGGATCTGAGCTTACTTGTCGAGAAACTCCTGGTCGACGACGGCAGAGACGTCGAGGAGTGGGTTACCCATTCCCAAGATAATTCCATCGAAATCAGAGGAAGCCATGGACGATGATGATCTGAAGGATTTTGAGACGAGGAAGAAGATAGAGAGAAAAAGAATGCAGATCTGGTAAAGGAGGCTTGAAGTGTTTTTATTCAGTGGAGTGTGGTTTTATAAGGCAGCAGGTGCGAAACCAAAGATAGATTTCTACTGTACAATAATGTTTTATTTATTGTTTTAGTTAATAATGCATATAATTACCATTGTTCATTTCGATTAAAGGAACCAAACTATGATTTCCAAAATCAAGTTTAATTTCAGTGAAGAAGGCCGTTTGGGATGCTAAGCAAATGGTTTGAGACCAAAACAACCTTTTCCTATCCCAAAATGGTCTCATTTCTCCCTCCAGATAAACTTAAAAATGCAATACTGATGCTTCATGCTTGGATATTCTCATGCTTGGGATAAGTCATTTTGTAGAGTGATTATAATTCTTTAGTGTAAGCTATGGTAAATTCTCAAGATTGGCCAAATCTACACAAATGGTACCAGAAGAAGAAGTTTGAAAGGCCATTTTTTCTTTTTAAAGGGAGACAAGCAAATATGTGCGCCGACGCATTTGTTGAAAAAGTTTGTTCTTCTCTTGTTCTTCTACTTAAGCAAGTCTTTGCATGTTTTACTCCTTAATTGGCTATAATAGCTGAGAAGAGAAATGATCTTATTAGTTAAGCATGATGTGTGTGTTAAAAAATCAAATTTTCAGTATTGGGTCCCAATCCCACCCACCAACCCCCACTTGATGATATTGTCAACACACGTTTAAATGTCTAACATTGTTCAAACAAGTTTATTTAAGAGAGAAAAAAAACAATGAGACAATCACATGAAAGAGGAAAAGATCTAAGAATTCGTCGGTGGCATTGATTAGTCCTAAACCATCCACGTTCGATTAATAGCTTTAACATTCAAGTTTTTCACTTCTCAGGGTTTGACAGTGTAAAATTTCGTAAGATTCTACCAAGGAAAAACTTTTATTATTGTTTTGAAGATTCACAGAGGATAAATAAGAGTATACATACTGTCAAACAGTTCAGGCAAGAAAATGTGTTAACGAAAACTTTTGATGGATTCTTCAAATACCTATATCCTTCCTGTGTTATGAAATCTTTACCACTTAAGGCAGAAATGAATAGCTGTGCAAGAACTCAAAATGAAAAGAAAAAACAAGAATCATGTGAAAAGCCAATGGCGGCTTTGTTTCTTCTCTCAAAGGAAGATGATTCAAAAAGAGAGAGAACCAAAAAAAGTGTGAGAAACAAGAAGAATTTTCTCGGGGGTAAATCCTCAAGTAAGATTCAATGGCGAATGAGTAAAGAATATGGTTTTAGGAGTGTTTCAGAGGTGATCACAGATGGCATTTGTGAAGTCTGTTGTGGTTGAGGTACCTCCGAGATCAGCGGTTCTATATTTGCCCTCGGCTATTGTGTTGATGATGGCGCTGTGGATTTGCTCTGCTTGTTTGTTGAGCTTCAGGTGCCTCAACATCATCACTCCACTCAGAAGCAAAGCTGTCGGGTTTGCCAGGTTCTACACAACACATCACCAAAGAAGAACAAACATTTAGATCACAAGGTAAGGATCGAATCAAGTTATGAGCTGATGTGATACTAGCAAGATTATCAAAATGAGACCAGACTCAATTCTAAAGATTCTCTCTCAGGAGCAGCCAATATGATACTTGGTTTTAGGGTAAAAGTCAGATTGAGTTCACTAATCGCCGTAATGCATTGTTTTAATTTTACTATCCTCACAATGGGAACAACTAATGCATTGTACAAACTTAGAGTGATGATGGTGCTTCGAGGTCTAACCTTTCCAGCAATATCAGGTGCAGAGCCGTGAACAGCTTCAGCAAGGGCAATACCATCTTCCCCGATGTTACAACTGCAGCAAAACATGATAAGTGATTAAGATCACTGCCTCACTTACAATTTCATACCAGACAATATTCTGAGAGACGAAGGTACCTTGGAGTCAATCCTAGCCCTCCAACCAATCCAGCACACAGATCACTGATAATATCTCCATAGAGATTTGGCATCACCAAGACATCGAAAAGTGCTGGGTTTTTCACAAGCTGCCGGAATTAAGATTATCTATCAACCACATATTTCCCAAATACAAGAATGCATTTTGTTCCCTAAGTAAAAATAGTCAAATTCAGACTCAAGCATATGTTGTAGTAGCTTACCATCATACAGCAATTGTCAATAACAACCTGCTCGTACTCTATCTCAGGATACTTTGCAGCAACCTCATCACAGCACTGTAAAACAGGAAGCAAATGAAACCTTGTCTCAGAACAAAAGACTAGAAAGAAATAAGTGATAATGTATTTTACAGTTCCAAAATGAGCAGACCTTTAGGAAAAGACCATCAGTTTTCTGCATAATGTTGGCTTTGTGAATTGCAGAAACTTTCTTCCTTCCATGCGTCTTGGCATAGAGAAAGGCATACTCCGCAACTCTCATGCTCGCCTTACGGGTAATAATTTTAAGACTCTCCACCACACCCTTCACAACCTAGCAAATCAAAATGACAAATTTCTCAACATGCTTCTTCAAAGGTGGTACCAAATATAGATTTTCTCAAATGACAGGACAACAAAAAACTAACCTGGTGTTCAAGCCCACTGTATTCTCCTTCAGTGTTCTCACGGATGGTGATGAGATCAACGTCATCATAACGAGTTTTGTAACCAGGAAGACTGTAGCAAGGCCTAACATTGGCATACAAATTCAGCTCTTTCCTAAGAGTAAGGTTCAACGAGCGGTGACCTTTTCCAATCGGCGTAGCCATTGGTCCTTTCAAGCCAACCTTGTTATCAAGCACAGATTGAAGACTTTCCCATGTCAAGAAGCTATTGGTTCTAGGGTCTACTTCAGTACCAACATAGTGCTCGTCCCATTCAATGGCCACATCAGCGGCAGTAAACACCTGGATCACCATAAAAGGGCAAAACATTTACTCAGAGACGTGAACTATCAACCACAGAAACAAAAATCCGAATTCCAAAACTCAGATATTCAAATCATCACAACAAAGAATTAAGCATCAATATGCGTAGCTCGGTAATCGGAACGCGGTTAAGCGCGTAATTCCTATAACAAGCAACGACGGCATCTTCTGTTCCCACAATACACATGGACGGGGAAAAAGTAGAAATCAGATTAGAATAAGGGACCTGTTTGACAGATTCAGCGATTTCGGGACCGATCCCATCGCCAGGGAAGAGAGTTGCTTTGATCGGAGTGGTGGAGGAAGAGAAAGCCCTAGCAGCGGAAATGAGCGCGCCGGAGGTAGAGCTCGAAGTCCCGAGAATCTGGCTCGATCTGTTACCAATAAGCCGTCTCGCGAGAAATGCTGCCATGGTTATCGCTTCCAGCCTCAGAAGGACGCAAAAGGGAAAGAGAGAGAGAAAGACGAGAGGAGACTTTTTGCTGCGTTGGACCGGAAAAGTTGCATTTATACTTTTTCTCGAGAGCGGAGAAGAGAACATTCCCTTTAACGCCTTGTAGTTTCTGAGAAACTCCACTGAACTTAAACGGCACAAAGTAAGTGTCCAAAAATACGAAACGGCATACAGTCTAGTTTTCTAAAGTCCTCAAGCTAACCACTAGTTCACTTACCCTGAAGTGGCCAATGTAAACTTAGCATTTTTAAGAAGGTACTGAGTGATGCTTAGGACTCATTTGTTTTATTTTTTCTTTTTCTTACATTGCAAAGCAAAGACGATGATGTCTATATAATTTTTACCAAAAATTGTGTAGATTCATACATGATACATGTTCATCTACGTGTATATATGAAAGATAATAATGGTGGTAGATGAATGAGAATTTTTATGAGATTATGAGGTGATCGCAGATGGCTTCAGTGAATTCCGTCGTGGTTGAGGTACCTCCGAGGTCAGGAGTACGATGCTTGCCCTCTGCTATTGTTTTGGTAATGGCTTTGTGGATTTGCTCTGCTTCTTCATTGAGCTCCAGGTGGCGCAGCAACATAACTCCACTTAAAAGCATAGCTGTAGGATTCGCCAGGTTCTACAAACAAACATTTGAATAATGGAATCCTAAGCCACCATCTGAATTTTTACTATTCAAAATGTTGTGTTTTTCTAGGACCAACCATTCCTGCAATATCAGGTGCAGAATCATGAACAACTTCAGCAAGAGCAAGACCATCCTCTCCGATATTACAACTGCATCAAAAAAATAACAAGGCCTTAAGATAAATAAGTAAAATAACTGCTTCAGCGGCATAATTAAGTAGATTAATGAGCCAATATAACTTACCTTGGAGTTAACCCTAGCCCACCAACCAATTCGGCACATAGATTACTGATAATGTCTCCATAGAGATTTGGCATCAGCAAGACATCAAAAACTGATGGGTTTTTCACAAGCTATAACCATTGTAAGGTTTATCAGTCACTATACTACAAAATGAAAGAAATCTGCAAGCTAATCCCAACTTATAACTTAGCAAACTATCAAATAAATGTAGTAAGGTGTTGATTATGTGACTATAGCTTACCATCATACAACAAGTGTCAATCACAACCTCCTCATATATAATCTCAGGATACTTAATAGCAACCTCTTGACAACACTGATAAAACAAAATAAACAGGAAGCAAATCAAGAAGATTATCTCACAAAGAAGTCCTTTTTGATCCTTTAATTAGTACCTTGAGAAAAAGACCATCAGTTTTCTGCATAATGTTAGATTTGTGAATGGCAGAAACTTTCTTCCTCCCATGAGTCTTGGCATAGTGAAATGCATACTCTGCAATTCTCAAACTCGCCTCATGTGTAATAATCTCAAGACTTTGCACCACACCTTTAACAACCTAATTTAGCAGTAAATTCATAAGGTTTCTTCTTGATTATAAATTTATAATACAGAGAAATTAACAGACTAATTAATTAAAACCTGATGTTCAATCCCACTGTACTCTCCTTGTGTGTTTTCACGGATGATGATGAGGTCGACGTCATCGTAACGGGTTTTGTAGCCTGGAAAACTAAAGAAAGGCCTAACTTTGGCATAAAACTGTATCTCTCTCCTAAGACGACCTTTTCGACTAGGCAATGGCATCTCCGTTGGCCCTTTCAAGCCAAACTTGTTACAGCGCAGAGATTCGAGGCATTCCAAAGTTAAGAAACTATTGGTTCTAGGATCTGTTTCTGTACAAACATAGTGTTCTTCCCATTCAATGGGAGCACTAGCGACAGTAAACACCTGGATCAGCAATTCAGCATAATGACACGCTTTATCAGTGACCATCCCAATGTTACAGATAGGAAACCAAGTTAAAGGAAGAGACCTGTTTGACAGCTTCAGCTATTTCTGGACCGATACCATCTCCATGTAAGAGAGTTACTGTTATGGGAATGTTGGAGGACCAAAAAGATCTACCAACAAGCGTACCGGAGCTAGAATATGCAGTCTTGAGGATCTTTCCCGATCGGTTTCCGAGCATCTGTCTAGCCAGAAATGCTGCCATTTCAAGTGTATAATAATTAATAAAGAGAGAGGGAGAGAAAGGAGACTTTTTTTCTGCCTTGTGTTAAAAGCTATGTAGTTCCTCTGCAAGAACAGAGTAGAACATGTTCTCCATTTCCGTTTCTGCAAAAACGCTTTGTAGTTTTAACTCTGCGGTTACATTTCACTCAAACGGCACGTAGTAAGTTTCTAAACGTAGAAAACGCCGTGCAGGGTTGGTTGAATATATATTTTAGCGGGTCCAAAATTTTCTTAAAACCGGATTGTCCCAATCCGGATATCCTAAATTTTCATAACCGGTCAGATCAAAATTCCCCAATTCAGATCTAGGATCCGGAAATTTTGAGCACCAAACTGAAACGACGAAGCAAGCGGTCCAGTGTACGGGAACTTTCAGTGTGGAACTTTCAGTGTTTCAGGTGTATCTTGGTCTAACAACAATGTCAGGCATGCACGGGACTCATGTAAGTACCATGTGCATTATATATGATTGAATATCGATTTCCATGACCATAGTATAATCCATAATGATATAGTGCTTGGGATCTGCCGTCTGCGGCACTCATGTAATGCCTTGGAGTGTGATATTAGGGAAATTTTGGCTCTATACTTTTATATTCTACTTTCTGCTTACTTCAGTATGCATTTACTATAAATCATTTGGTTTGAGTTGGGAAGGCGAATTTTTTTTTATGAAAAGTGCGGTAAGACTTAATCTTTGCTGCAAAATGTTCTTAGCGTAAGCATGGATGACACCTTTTGCTGATGTAGCTTTGTACATGAGCCTTTTTGGATTCCCTCCTTGCTTCTGTCCCAAAAGCCAAAACTTAAACACTGACATTACATTTTACATTGAATAGGATTCATGCCCTTTGGTAAAGAACATTCTAGACTCTCAAGGAAAGGGGCTTTCAGTATCCTATACTATAAAAGTTGCCCATCTCTCTCCAGCTGACCGCCACGTCAGCAGGGAAGAGATGGACACGTGGCACACTGACGTAATTTTTTCGGACCTTTTTTTTCCTTTGTCAAAACGACACCGTTTTCAGACTACGCACGCAAAAAATTTCCTCATATTTCAGAAGCGGTTCTCTCTCCTCTCTCTCTCTTCTCCTTCGCTCTTCCCCGGCGATTTGGCTACTCTATGGCGATCGAAAGCTTTCATCGATTTGGCAGGAGAAATCGAACCGTTTCTCATCAATCCGGTGGTGGGGCAATCGATTTGCCTCGGTGAGATCAACCGTGGATCCTATAAAAAGATGAATTTTCTTAGTTTTCAATCGACAATTTCGTAACGGCTTTTCAGCTCCAGAGATCCTATAACTCGCGAATTCATCACCCCTGTTCCTCCGTCTACGCGATTCTATTCAGCGAAACACGCCAGTTCCACGCTGTCCGCCGCCGCTCTCCGGCCAACGCAAAAATCGCAGATTCACTTCGGCTTTAACCCGAGAGGCGATGGCTTCTTTGTTCAAGGTACACAGGTTTATAATTATTTGACGACTTTTGGCGAACGCATTGTGTGGGTTTGGCTTCTCAATTGGTTTACGGTAGCTAATTTTGTAGCGACTGGAGTGTCTGTGTTGTTTGGAATCAGATGGGTTTAAGTGTTTAACACAGTGACGAGCGATGAAACCCAAAATCGACTTATTGATGTGGAAATGAAGACGTTTATTTGCTTTTAGCTGAGCAAGTTTCTGACTTGCATTCAGTCTTTGTATCGATTCGTTTAAAAGATTTTGTCTCTGAGTTGTTATGTTTTGGGTTTCTGATATGATCAGGAGCAAGCAAAGCTCTCGGCTTATCGAGATAGGAGATTGCCAGGAACACAAGAGGAGTTCCACTAGGCGCTAAGGACATCTTCGACTGTTTACATTGCATAAATATAAGTCTTGTCTAAAGACATCTAAAGTGAGAAATTTCAGTTATCTGCTTAACATGATATCGGCGGGATTTTCGATTATACAATCTCTCTGTTTTGCCGTATCTGAACGATATGGAAGGAATATTCGAACTTCTGCACAATGCAAGAATATCGACGTGTTGATGAAGAGGTATGTATTTCAACTCCAGTTATGTTACATCAAAACCAGGTAAGGCAGTGTTAGATTTTTGCATAAGTTAATTTCTTTTCTTCTTTTAATGTACATCTCTTGCAGTTGTTAAGTCATTAACGAATACTTCAACCTCCACTTGACTCGCTGTGTTGTTCTAAGCATATCAATTACTGAATCTTTCTTAACAGGGCAAGAACTGGAATGTGTATATTGATCTATCTAAGGTTCTGTACTCCTCTCACTCTCTATATCTCCCTCAGTTTATAATAGTGTAGTGTTATTAGTTTTACTTGTGTTTGAATTGTTGCAGTATTAGGAGTTGTCGAAAATGTCTGATTGTTTATAGGATATATCTGGCTTTTTGGTGACTTGTGGAGCAGAATAAGATTAGATGAACAAGAATGTCGTCTTATAAGATTTCTTCTCTCTTTGCCCCCAATTTCAGCAAATTGTTTTCTCCAGAAAAGAACTCTTTTGTTTTCCAGGTACGTCTTATTTCTAAGCTTCTCAATTTCCAGTAGTATGAGCTGTTGTATGTGTTTGATTTTTGTAGTAATAGCATGAGTTTATCTAAGGTTTGAGTCTAAGACCAAACAACATTTTTCCTTTTTAAATGGTTTCTCAGATACTGTTAGATAAATCCATGAAGAAATGTGATAAGTAACATGTTCATGAAGTTTAGATACTAGAGTGGTATGTCAGGAAATTATACCATCATCACTGTTACTACTTGCAACATTATATGCTCTCTTTTTGGCCTCACATCAATGTCTCTTTGTTTGATTCTTAGACCAAGAAACCCAGCTATTGTAGATGCAAACGCTTTTGATAAGGTTATAGGTTGTTTTTCACTTAATCAAAGTTGTTTACTCGTAGATTTGTTATTGATATTACATAGTTGAGATCTCATGATATGGTCTATATCAACACTTGCAGGAATTAAGTCCAAGAGACGCCAAGTGACTAATGGACTTTGTCATCCATTTATAATCCTAAAACTCATATTCTTCTTTGAAACCAAATGTATTGTCTATAACACAATTAACTTCTCGGTTATTAAAATTTTGGTCTTTTAACGCAGAGTATAACTATCTATATGATGCATTTATCAGAGGCAGATTTTGGAGTCTATGCATTCATCTTCACAAAAGCAAAGCTTGAGTTTCTTTCTAAGGTATGTGTCCTTCTCTTTTGACTTTGAATTTTAGTCATGTGTTGTTTTTTAGGTTGATTGTTTGATTTAGATATATAGGCTCAGACACAAACGTGAAAAATACTAACAAATCAAAGTTTCTTCTAGACGAGAGTAGACGAGACGTCACGAGAATGGCCCACCAAAGCTAGACGAGAAGATGATGGAAGATTGTTGCTCTGAGGTGGAAGATTGTTTGGATCACGTGTACAGGAGGTGTAGGAACAAAGATAAATCAGTAGGTCCATTGGAGATTAGAGTGATGAGTTTGGGTACTTTTGATTCGCTAATGGACTTTAGTATCTCTCAAGGATCTTCAGTGAATCAGTATAAGACTCCAAGTTGTGTTAAATCTGGAGGAGCACTTCAGATTCTTCATTTCAGAGTTATTGGGAGGTTCTTCAGCAAGAGAGTTCCTCAGTGGGAACCGCTTGGTTTAGATTCTTAGCTTTGCTCTCTTTTTCTTTTCTTTGTTCACTAAGTGGATTGAGTTGTTTTTGTTTTCTTTTACACAAGTTGGTACGAGGATGTCAGAATCCTCCAACGTTCTTTAATTACCGAATCAATTATCAGATTTGCTAGAAAGGCTAATTAAGGGATCACATATTGCGATTTTACTAATTCACTATAAAAATATATACTACTATTTAAGTTTGTATTGCTACTATGCAATAAATCTCCTTCATGCATGCATTATCAGAATTCAGAAGGAAAGAAGACATTTGTGTTGCGCTTAATATTATTACAAAAGTTCAAAAATGACATTTACCCCGCTAATTAATAAGGTTATTCTCATAAAATATGAAATTTAATTTACTACTAAAATTCTATGATGCTAGGCGTGGTGGTGGAGGTTATGGCCAAGGAGGAACAAATCGCCATGGAAGAGGTGGAGGAGGAGGTATATGCTTAAATTAGCATAATGCTTAGTAGTAGTGTATCAGCATAATTCAAAACCTATTTGATGATGTTTGCAGATTACAATCGGAAACGGCAAGGAGATGATGATCAGTATGGACATGACAACTCAAGAAGAAACTCAGACCAGGAGCCTAATTATTATTATTATTATTTTTTTTTTCTCACGTAGTTGATAACTTAGCCAACTTAGCTTCATTGAAGTAAAAAGATAAAACAAAAAATTGATGATGCATTCAACCGTTGTGCGACTTTCATTCTACTAAATCAACTCAAAGTCTAAGATGATTGATTAATTAACTGAATATGTCGGAGTTTAACCTATATGACATTAAACGTCATTCACACAATCCTACCAAATTTATGTATAATGTCAGAATTGTAACTCAAAAATTATAAAAGGGAGGAAATGAAAAAAATCGAGAAACTAAAAAAAATTGCATCGGGAGACTAGCATATTATTATTATTTATAAATAAAATTTACAAACATAGAAAAAAAAGTTTAACAAAACTACCCGCGCATAGCGCGAACTCAACCTAGTACTTCATAAAAAGGAAATTTGGTTTGTCCAACAATAAAAAGGAAAATTTTGTCTGGTTTTAAGATTCGGTTCGGTTTTATGTCCAATGAGTCGGTGGTGCTCAAATTGGTTAACTTTCCTTTTCCATGTAGGGACCGGAGATGGCAAGCCGCTATATAAGAAGACCGCTTCCCCTCGTCATTCAAATCAATCCAAATCAAATCAATTCAATTGTTCTCTCTCGCAATTCGCAATTCGCAATTCGCTAAGCCCTAATTGCTCTTCTGCTTAACTTTCCTAAATCCCCTCTTCTCCCTCTCTCTCAAGGTACCATCTTTCTCCGATGGTGATGCAAATCCACGCAATGACTCTTCAAGATAAGACGATAACCCTCGACGTTGAAAGCTCCGACACCATCAATAACGTCAAGGCAAAGATCCAAGACAAAGAAGGACTCCCTCTAGACCAGCAAAGACTCATCTTCTCCGGCAAACTTCTAGAGGACGACCGTACCTTGGCTGATTACAACATCCAAAAAGATTCAACCCTCCACTTGTCTCTCAGGTTGAAAGGTGGTATGCAAATCTTCGTAAAGACTCTTACCGGCAAGACCATTACTCTTGAGGTTGAAAGCTCCGACACAGTTGACAATGTCAAGGCCAAGATCCAGGACAAGGAAGGCATCCCTCCTGACCAGCAAAGACTTATTTTCGCCGGGAAGCAGCTCGAGGACGGCCGTACTCTTGCTGATTACAACATCCAGAAAGAGTCCACTCTCCACTTGGTTCTCAGGTTAAGAGGAGGTATGCAGATATTCGTCAAGACCCTTACCGGAAAAACCATAACATTGGAAGTTGAGAGCTCAGACACAATAGACAATGTGAAGGCCAAGATTCAGGACAAAGAAGGGATCCCACCGGACCAGCAGAGGCTAATCTTTGCCGGGAAGCAGCTCGAAGATGGTCGCACTCTTGCAGATTATAACATCCAGAAAGAATCAACCTTGCATTTAGTGCTTCGTCTGAGAGGTGGGATGCAGATATTTGTCAAGACTTTGACGGGAAAGACCATCACTCTTGAGGTCGAGAGCTCTGATACGGTTGACAATGTGAAGGCCAAGATTCAAGACAAAGAAGGGATTGCACCAGATCAGCAGAGGCTAATCTTTGCCGGGAAGCAGCTTGAAGATGGTCGCACTCTTGCAGATTACAACATTCAGAAGGAGTCAACACTTCACCTTGTTCTGCGTCTCCGCGGTGGAAGCTTCTGAACAAGAACTATAGTGATCACTTGAGTCTTTCCTGCTTTTAGTTTTTCTTTTCCAGTTATGTCGAACTTTTGATGAGCTTTTACTTTTCGACTTCAAAGTCTAACGAAATAATAATTCTGTTCTTTATCCTCTGTTCTATAATCCAAGTACTATATTACAATCACATCAATTTGGTGATATAATCATACATTTATCAAGGAATTGAAAACTACAGTATATTATTTTCTGGTATCAGTAGGTGGTGATTGATTCGTAGTATGCTCTAGACCTCTAGTATATCTTTTACTGAACTTTTCTATTAGTGACAAAATGAAATCAGAAACAAAACCCTTTAGAATTGTGATTCTATAACATATTTAACAGTACAAACACTAAACAAAGACAAAATTATCAACTTTACTAATTAACAAAGTTAGCTACAAGAACTATAAACTTTGAAAACCCTTAAGCATAGATATGATAGAAATCTCACTCACAAGCCTAATCATAATAAGTATAGTGGTCGTAACAAGTATTCTCTTTAAATGAAATTTTGGTGTGCTTTAGAGTATAGTGGTCGTAACAAGTATTACATATGGTGATCAGGAAGACAGAAATGTATCCAAGAGGTGATGCCACGGGAAAAGAAAGGAGACTTTTTGTTGCCTTGTGTCAAAAGTTATGTAGTTCTTCTGCAAGAACAGAGTAGCACATGTTCTCCATTTCCATTTCTGCAAAAGCGCTCTGTAGTTTTGAACACTGCGGATACATTTCACTTAAAATGGCACGTAGTAAGTTTCTAAACGTATAAACGCCGTGCAGTGTTGGTTAACTATAAATATAGCAGAAATATCTAAGCAAGTTAAAGAAGGGAAAGAAGGAGGAACTCTGTATGAGAAGAAAGGCATAGCTAATAAGGTTGCAAGAGAACAGCCTCTCGTTGTCCAAGGAAGGCCTTTCCTTCACCAACACGCTATAAATTCTGTTTTTCAGACACTTTGTTTCTTCTTGAGTTTTGAGCATTTGAGCATTTGACAGTGTATAAATCTGGTGAGAAACAAACAACGATGAGAAATTCAAACAGAATTTGAAGTATATGAATTGTAAAATATAAAAAAATTGATGTGAAGAAAAGGAACTACAAAGAGAAACAGCTACAAAGTAAACAAGTTGGCTAGCTACTTGTAGGTAACGAAGACGCGAGATGGGAATTAAAAAAAAGGGAGAATCTCTAACCCCTCCTGCTACAAGCTAGTGGGATGTGGATGTTGTGGGAGGAAGCCAAAAGAGGCGATGGCGAGGTGAGTCAGAGAGAGAGCGGAGGGTGCGAGAAGCGAGATCACAGACGCCGAAACCGGAGGAGTGACCAGCAAAGTAGACGGTGTTGGGTTTGAGACCAGGATAGTCGCTGGCAAAGAGACAAAAGGGTTCGTTATGTCCCACGAAAATGCAGATATCACCAATGTCCTCAGTGTATTCACAAATCCCTTTCTCGCTGTCTTGCCTAAAGACCATGACTGTGTGGGTCTTTATACGAATGCCCTCCTGATTGCGTTCCCATTGCACGGCTTCTCCTTCCTCTGTAAAGCAGTCCACACCCCTGTGTGTGACACGCACACCAACATACACATAATTTATCTAAAGACGATCCAAAAACAGAGGAAAAACAGAGTGAATTCTATTTACCACAAAACGATGAAGGACTCGCCGGAAGGAGACTGGACAAGTAGCTGCTGGACATTGAGATGCTGGAGAAGCAAGTGGTTCTCTAACTCGGGCAATTCAGACAGAGGGTATCTCACGTAGCCACTCACCGGAGAGTCCAGACCGGATTTAGAGGTGAAATCGGTCGTCGGACCGGCGTATTCAGAGCTGCAACTGTTCAAGTAGAACTTGCTGTCTCTGTCTGAGTACATGACGGGAGAGAAACGGAAGTCTGGGACAGGAACGTCGATGCGAGTCCACTCCGAGTCACCAACTCTACACAGACTCAGTCTGGACCCGTAAAACCTCGCGGCGACTACACAATCTTTCTCTGAGGAGGAGGAGACAGAGACATTGATGAGGCGTTCGGTTTCGTCTTTGATCAAGGGAGGCAGAGAGATTGTCTTCGAAGAATTGTCCAGGTCCAGGATGTTGGTGAGTCTCACAGTGGAGTCGCGTTTCTTCATCATGGCCAGCCATCCTCTCGATGATCCTATCCTCGTGGATTTACAGAGATTCTTCGGCAGGATCTGATTCTTCTTCGTCACTTGCTCTTCTTTCCCCGGATCGTACAGGTTCAAGTTCACAATCTTTCCGCCGCAAGGAGATTCTCCGACCACATCTTTCCCGAGGAGCAGATAAGGACGACTCGCGGCGGCGGTCGAACAGAGCCTCCGGTTCAGGGGTGATGAGAGCTTCGAGACGCGGGCCACAAAAAACTGAGACATTTTAGAAACCCTAGATTCCTTGTCGAGATCGCTTAACTACTACTACTCAGTACTCACTAACCTTCCTTCCTTGGATGTCAAGTTTCCTTTGATGTGCAGAACATATTTTGGGAGGAAACCCCTTTGTTTCTCTCCACTTTCTAAACCCATCCCACCACTTATACGTTTCTGATTTTAAACCTCCTTGCGAATCACCAATTAGAGGGACCTGACCTGATCGTTTGATTGCTTCTTTTCTGGGTGTAAATGTACATCTATAAAGTATCGGGACTGTTTTTAATAAACATTGGAAACCGATGCTATGTTACCAATTTTTCTGTAAACTTCAAAATTCTAAAAACTGGATAGTAGTACCGTACCAATCCGGATATCCTAAATTTTCAAAACCGGTCAGATCAAAATCACCCAATTCAGATCTAGGATCCGGAAATTTTGAGCGTACATTAGCAAAGTATCCGATTTCCAAAAGAATTTTGATCTCTCTCAAGGTATTCCGATTTCTTCTGTTTGAGCTCTTACATCTGATCTTTCGATTCTGCGTCTTTGATATTTGAAATCCTCCATTGATTCTCTTCCGATTATCGTTTGTGTGAATGTCACCCTGATCCTGAGATCATGATTATGCTCCATTGCTGTTTTTGAGATCTTCAGTCGTGGTTCAAATTTTTGTTGTTGGAATAAGATTAATCGGAGTAATTTCTTGTGTTTCGCGTTTGGGTAATGCTACATTGTAGAGATTTGTGTAGTTTTGTGCTGGATTGTGATTCTCCCATGGAATCGGGTTTTTATTCTTTGTATGGAACTTGGTTTGTATGTATTTTACTCTCGATTTTTCTCTGTGAGTGTGATCTCTGGTTGAAATGGATGGCTTTCTGTAGGTGGTTTGTCCTGAAGATCATATATTTGACATAATCTCGCACTATTTTTTGTTGTTCGACTGAATCTGAGCTAATATATCAGAATCAGTGGTTAGAGATGTCATTTTTCTTCTTGTGTATGTGCTTTTGCCAAAGAAAATGACTGTTTAAATGAATGTGGGTGATTTAACCGAAGTTTCAATATGCTGTCAAAATCGATAACAGCTAGTTTGTCACTGTTTCAGGTCTAACAACAATGTCAGGCATGCACGGGACTCATGTAAGTACCATAGTAATGCTTTCGAGTGGTGATAATTAGGGAACTTTTGGCTCTATACATTTATACCTGCTTAGTTCAGTATGCATTTGCTATAAATCATTTGGTTTGAGTTGAGAATTGTTGATGCAAAACTCCGTGTGAGTTGAGAAGGCGAGATTTTTTTTTTATGAAAACTGCGGTAAAACTTAAGCATGGATGGCACCTTTTGTTGAGCCATAGTAGATGCTGAGTAGCTGATGTTTATTTCCCTGCTTGCTTCTGTCCCAAAACCTAAACACTGACATTACATTTTACATTGAATAGGATTCATGCCCTTTGGTGAAGAACATTCTTCTTCTAGACTCTGAAGGAAAGCGTGTAGCTGTCAAGTATTACTCAGATGACTGGGCAACGAATGCAGCCAAGTTAAGTTTTGAAAAGTTTGTATTCTCCAAGACTTCTAAGACCAATGCTCGCACAGAAGGTAAGCACACACACACATTATTCATCTACACATTTTGTTTCATGGGCTGTATATTGGTTTCTTGACTTTGTACTTACTTACATATTGTCTGTTTCGAATCCCTTAGTAGATGTGTAATTAGTTTGGTTTTAATGTTACTATGTGCAGCTGAGATCACACTGCTGGACAGTAATATTATTGTCTATAAGTTCGCCCAGGACCTTCACTTCTTCGTTACTGGAGGTGAAAATGAAAACGAGCTCATCTTATCCTCTGTCCTTCAAGGCTTTTTCGATGCTGTTGCACTTCTTCTGAGGTATTTGCTCGACTGATAATCGTCTGTTTCCTATATTTATTGATCACGTATCTTTACAATTAAAGTTTGATGCATCCGCCTTTCCATAACAGGAACAATGTGGAAAAGATGGAAGCCCTTGAGAACTTGGATCTCATCTTTCTGTGCCTCGATGAAATGGTCGATCAGGGGTATGCAAGTCTAGTATTCTATTTTTTACGTGCTGAGCTTTTTTCTAGCTTGTCGTATATATATCTTAGCATTTAGCTATTGTTTTGATTATGGTAAATGTAATATGTGTTCAGTGTGATTCTTGAAACGGACCCGAACGTCATAGCGGGGAAAGTAGCAATGCAAAGCTCAGAAGCAAGTGGTTCACTCTCTGAACAGGTGATGACACTTTTGACTATTAACCAAGAATCTTTGATTTAGTTTTGGTTTGGCTAAAGAGAAACGGGTATTCTCTAATTTGGACCCATTTGTTTGTTTACGTTTTGGAAAATGCAGACATTAACTCAAGCACTAGCAACAGCTCGGGAGCATCTGGCAAGAAGTCTGCTTACATGAGTTTCCAAGGAATGGAATGGACTTGAAATGTCAGTGATGAACAACTTTTATGAGATTTGTCTTTGGGGTTTTATAATGTGTCAAAAGTCTATAATAATCCGAACACTTGGCTTGCTACGTTTTGCATACTTACTCTAAAATTTCGGGGTAGTAGAGGGTTTGGAATTTTTTGGAGAATGGATATATTGCTATTGCAGCAACAAGAATGTTATTTGGATTAAATCTCTCTTATCTAGAAATTGTTCGGTTTCCATCAAAATTAACTAAAAAGTAAATTAGAGACTTTCGGTTTCAGTGTAGTTTTAGTTCTGCTAGGCTATATTTTTCACTTCATAAAAGGAAATTTGGTTTGTCCAACAATGAAAAGGAAAGTGATAAATTTGGTTAATTTTCCTTTTCCATGTAGGACCGGAGATGGTAAGCCTCTATATAAGAAGACCGCTTCCCCTCGTCATTCAAATCAATTCAATTCTTCTCTCTCGCAATTCGCAATTCGCTAAGCCCTAATTGCTCTTCTGCTTAACTTTCCTAAATCCCTCTTCTCCTTCTCTCTCAAGGTACCATCTTTCTCCGATTTCTCTGTAGTTCCGATGCTTGATATTGATCGCCAGTTATAATTCGTCTGAATCATCCGCTTATTGTACCTTTTTTTTGTTTTCGTTTACAGATGGTGATGCAGATCTTTGTTACGGGTCTTACGGGAAAGACCATAGCCCTCGAAGTCGAAAGCTCAGATATCGTTGATAAAATCAAGTCGAAGATCCAGGACAGGGAAGGGTGCTCAGCAGACAGCCAGATACTGATATTTGGCGGGAAGCAGCTTGAGGATGGTCGCACTCTTGGTGAGTACAATATCCAGAAAGGATCAACCTTGCAGTCGGCTCTCAGGTTGAGAGGAGGTATGCAGATATTCGTCAAGACCCTTACCGGCAAGACCATAACATTGGAAGTTGAGAGCTCAGACACCATTGACAATGTCAAGGCCAAGATTCAGGACAAGGAAGGGATCCCTCCGGACCAGCAGAGGCTCATCTTTGCCGGTAAGCAGCTCGAGGACGGCCGTACTCTTGCTGATTACAATATTCAGAAGGAGTCAACTCTCCACTTGGTTCTCAGGTTGAGAGGTGGAATGCAGATCTTTGTTAAGACTCTTACGGGCAAGACCATAACCCTTGAGGTTGAGAGCTCAGACACTATTGATAACGTCAAGGCCAAGATTCAGGACAAGGAAGGGATCCCACCGGACCAGCAGAGGCTCATCTTTGCCGGGAAGCAGCTCGAAGATGGTCGCACTCTTGCAGATTATAACATCCAGAAAGAGTCAACACTTCACCTTGTGCTTCGACTGAGAGGTGGGATGCAGATATTTGTCAAGACTTTGACGGGAAAGACCATCACTCTTGAGGTCGAGAGCTCTGATACGGTTGACAATGTGAAGGCCAAGATTCAGGACAAAGAAGGGATTGCACCGGATCAGCAGAGGCTAATCTTTGCCGGGAAGCAGCTTGAAGATGGTCGGACTTTAGCTGATTACAACATTCAGAAGGAGTCAACTCTTCACCTTGTTCTGCGTCTCCGCGGTGGAAGCTTCTGAACAAGAACTATAGTGATCACTTGAGTCTTTCCTGCTTTTAGTTTTTCTTTTCTAGTTATGTCGAACTTTTGATGGGCTCGTCTCGTTAATGACCTTTTACTTTTCGACTTCAAAGTCTACGAAATAATAATTATGTGTTTTTTCCTCTGTTCTATAATCCAAGTACTATATTACAATCACATCAATTTGGTGATAAACACATACACTTTATCAAGGAATTGAAAACTACGGTATATTTCTTTCTGGTATCTTTAGCTGATTCGTAGTATGCTCTACACCTCTAGTATATTTTTTGTGTTGCACAAAACATATTTTAACAGTTCAAACACTAAATAAAGACAACGTTCTCAAAATTTATTAACAAAATTAGCTACAAGAATTAGAAACTTTGAAGACTAGTTAGATTATCCTTGACTGCAGGCTTTTGATTGGTAACCAATTTAATGGTCGATATTCTGCAGTGGAGCAAATGAAGAATATAAAAGAGATCTATCGTCAATATGTTAATTTGTTAAAACTACATGGGTGTCAAAGGCGATCGAGAACCTTACTTGATGGTCAAATAGACTACAAAATAGATAGGATTTGGAAAGGATCGTAATTGCGTTTATAACTCCGAGGCATGTGTTTTGGAATTATATGCACTAAAAACGCCGAACCAACCCCACCCATCATTTGCTCAATAATTTAAAATTTCAGTCGTTGCATGAAAAAAATATTATTATCGACTCGGTCTCATACTGTATAAATCTTTTTCTTTTAACCTACTATATTTCTACTTCATACATATATTATGTGTGACAACGACGGTGAGCTCCAAAAAAGTTATTTCTTTTGTCTTAAAGCTCCAGAAAAGTTGACATGGATTAGATCTTCCTGTCCCCTTCGGCCACGATTCATTAGATTTTCTCTTTTTGGATATGATTTTCATTTTACATTATTATGTTAGTGTACAGCCTTTTTTACCAATAAAATACGTCGGAAGTATTAGTAATCTATAGTCCGACTAGATTAAGGGGATTAAATGAAGACATGAATCAATTTCAAGAACTCATCAAACAGTATATATACCATTTCATCAAAGACATGTATTTTACTTTTACACGAACAAGTTTGAATAATCAAAGACTTGCAGATAAAGTAACTGTTTTTGGAAAAAGCAAGCACACTGCAAAGAGTAGATATGTAAAGATGTACTCATGTACATGCATGAATGTGTGAATGGTTTAGTTACAGTTATAAGTCGGTTGTCACTGTAAGCAAGCAGACCAATATTCTACAGATCCAAATAAATATATATATATATATATATATAATAAAGGACGCCACCCACGTTCTCTGTTCGTCAGCCATCACCACTGTCAAATGGCAGCTTATGGCCACTCTTCTCCTTCAGTTCATGAACTTCCCCTCCAATGGAATCCCATCGCTTTCTCCTCCTCCTTCTCTCACTGTTTCTACCGTTTTTACCCAAACCCGGATCCGGATTCGGATCCTCCGGCCCCATCGCGGCCTCCTTCGGCGGCTCTGCTTTCTTCTGCGCCATTGACGCTAGTGGTCGTCAAGAAGTTATCTGCTGGGGCAAAAACTACTCATCTCCTTCTTCTCCGTCTCCGTCTTCCTCTTCTATATTTCTTGCTTCTTCCGCTTCTCAAAGCTACAACATTCCGTCCATGGCGGTTCTCTCAGGCGGAGACGGGTTTCTCTGCGGCATTTTGTCGAACACTTCTCAAGCATTCTGTTTCAGCTCCATTGGATCTTCTTCTTCAGCTATGGATCTCGTCCCTCTCGCTTACCGGACTACCGCTTACTCTCAGATCGCTGCCGGAAACAGCCACGTCTGTGCAGTTAGAGGACCTTACTACTCCGATCACGATTCCGGCACTGTCGATTGCTGGGAGATTACAAAAACCACGAATAACACCATGCTCGCCAAAGAGAATCCAAATTTCTACGATCAGACTATTAGCAACCTCGTCTTCAACAAAATCGTCTCCGGCGATGGGTTTAGCTGCGGTGGAATCAGAGAAGGAGGGTTGCTCTGTTTCGGCCCCAATTCCTCTCATTTAGAGCTTAACACAACTTCCGATAACAACTTCGAAGTCCTAGCCGCCGGAAAAAACTCCCTCTGCGCGATTGTAAACTCGTCTCGGGAGGTGAAATGTTGGGGAGACGACGACGACGACGACTCTTTCGTCAATTCTCCGACTCGATTCGTCGCGCTAACCGCGGGTCCTCACCATTTCTGCGGAATCCGTGAAGATAATCACGAGGTTGAATGTTGGGGAAGCTCAAATTTCTCGCTGATCCCAAAAGGTTCTGGCTTTAAGGCGATTGCTTCATCTGATTCCATCGTCTGCGGTATAAGAGAAGAAGATCTCGTTCTCGATTGCTGGTTGGTTAACGGGTCGTCGTCGACATTAGCTTACGATCCTCCATTAGAGCTGTGCAGTCCAGGGACGTGTCGAGCTGGTCCTTGTGACGAAAAGGAGTTTGCTTTCAACGCAAGTATCCTCAACGAGCCTGACCTAACGAGTCTGTGTGTTAGAAAAGAGCTGATGCTCTGTTCACCTTGCGGCTCCGATTGCTCTCGTGGCTTCTTCTTGTCTAGTCCCTGCACAGAGAACTCTGATCGGATCTGCACTTCTTGCTCGCTCTGTCAAAACAGTTCTTGTTCTGACATTTGTAAGCTACACAACAGCCACAGTTCTCAAGATAAGCATTGGCATCAGCTGCAGAGACTTGTTCTCATCATCGGATCTTGCGCATCGGCTCTGTTGATCATCACGATAGGTTGTTGCGTCGTGCCAAGGATTGTCGCTAGTCCTAAGAACGACGATGGTGCAACGAATCAATTCAAATCTTGCATTGGAAAGTCAGATTTAGACACGGAGCCACTTGAAATGGTCTCTCCTGTTCCATCGGTGACACCGTTTGCTCAAGTGTTTAGACTCTCTGAGCTTAAAGACGCGACCAACGGGTTTAAAGAGTTTAACGAGTTAGGCAGAGGAAGCTACGGGTTTGTCTACAAAGCTGTGTTAGCGGACGGGAGGCAAGTAGCGGTTAAGAGAGCAAACGCAGCGACTATAATCCACACGAACACGAGAGAGTTCGAGACGGAGTTGGAGATTCTATGCAACATTAGGCATTGCAACATTGTGAACCTTCTCGGTTACTCGACGGAGATGGGAGAGAGGCTTCTTGTTTACGAGTACATGCCTCACGGTACGCTTCACGATCATCTACACGGCGGGTTCTCGCCGTTGAACTGGAGCTTGAGGGTTAAAGTAGCAATGCAAACCGCAAAGGGTCTTGAGTATCTTCACGTTGAAGCTGACCCGAGGATTGTTCATGGCGATGTGAAGTCTTCGAATGTGCTTTTGGACTCGGATTGGGTCGCGAGAGTTGCGGATTTCGGGCTCGTGACGAAGAGTTTGGACATCAAAAGAGATGTTTATGACTTTGGGGTTGTGTTGTTGGAAATTTTAACCGGGAGGAAGCGTTACGATAGGGATTATGATCCGGCGGAGATTGTTGAATGGGCGGTTCCGGTGATCAGAGAAGGCAAAGCGGCGGCGATTGTGGATAAGTATATAGCGTTGCCGAGAAACGTGGAGCCGTTGTTGAAACTTGCTGACGTGGCGGAGTTGTGTGTACGGGAGGATCCGAATCAACGACCAACGATGTCGGAAGTTGTGAACTTGTTGGAACACGTCGTACGAGATTGTTTGATCTCGTAGCTTCTTCTTCTTTTTTTTTCATTATGTGAATGGTTTTATTATTCTTTTCTATTTGAATTGTTGTGATTTGTGAAAATGGTATAATCAACAATACATACACGATTTTTCATTTGTGGGTGTTGTGAAATGAGAGAATGAATTGTCTTATTCATGAGTAGAGAGCTCTTTATATAGAGTACAACATAGGGTTTAAAAGGAGAAGAGACAAATAGAGAAGTGGACCTAGTGGGCTAATGGGCATCCACTATTACCCATAACACTCCCCCTTGGATGTCCATTATACAAAAATATCTTCTAAATACAAATGCTGCCTCGTTAAAACCTTTACTAGGAAAACCCAAGGAAAAACCTTTAGCTAAGGAAAAAGAGTGCAGCGCATTACTCCCCCTCATGAGAACATCCGTCTAAATCTTTGAGATGATTCCATCAATATCCGAAAGTTTCTTGAAAACGCAAACTTGTCTTGAAAGAAATCTTCAAAATCTTCTCTTGAACAATCTTTAGAATTTGATATCGCCATTCTTCGTAGTGCATGGAAGTAGTTGATGATTCATCTTGATCATTTCTTTGTTTCATTGATCTCATAAATGGATGACAAGACTTTGGAAAAGGAGATATACTTCATCTTTAGACTTCCTTTAGAATGTTTCTCATTTGTGTGTTCTTTGTTGCCTCATTAAAACCTTTCATGGAAAAACCCAATGGGATAAAAACCACAATAAGGAAAAAGAGTACAACCACACATATCATCTTATATCTCCCCTTTGGAAGCATCTTCTTCAAGAGATGCATTCCAATAATAATATCATCTTTTGGAGATTGCTATAAGTATAACCTCAATGAAAGTCATTTGAACTTCTAGTATATGACATCTTTTTCTATAAACAATCATTTCTTGTTATATTTGGACTTCTGGCCAAACTTTCTCTTTATATACATTCTTGTAAATGTCTATCTTGTATATATGAGTTATCTCATGCTCATTTTGTTCTCATCTTTCAGTTATGAAAAGACCAACACATTTCTCAAATATAATTTAAAGTGTGGTACTTCAAGACCAAATGTGAGCATTTTTAATGCAAATCTTACAAGGATCTTTTGAGATAATATATCTTTTGTTAAACTGTGAATATGAGATATCTTAAGACAAATTTGTCTTTCCAATATCTTTTATCTAATTTCGACAATTCTTCAAGAATTTCGATAATGTTTAGATTAAAGATCTCTTTTGATCCAACCTTAATATTTTTATAAATATACACTGGGTAACACTTTTGTGATTGTACCCCACTGAGAGTATTTCTCTTCATTTGATCAAATAATTAGAGTTCTTGGGAACATAGTTTTGATATCATTAATCCTTCAGGAATTATATCCTTCAGGGACTTTTATAAAAGTGTCTTAAGACTTCTTCTTTCATTGCCACACTTAATGAACTTGAAAGTTGCATCCACCACATGCCTATTATAACCCACTTGTTTTACACTTTTTAAGGTGTAAGGACTTCTGGTTTCTCTTTCTAAGAGATTTTAGTTTTTGTCTATTGCTTCTTTTCGATTTGGCCAAATCATTACTTTGTGTACACAATGCAATAGACTTTGTTTCATGATCCTCTTTCTCATTCATAACATCAACTGCTATAATGCATGCAAATATTTTATTTATGACGTCGATTTGCTTTTATGGTTCCATTTTATTCCATACATGACATAATTAATTCTCGAGATCTCTTCTTTGTCTCAGGTACCTGAATTTCTTTCTTGTCATGTTTAATATCTCTTCTTGAGATCATTTCAAAAACATTTGTTTCCTCGGTTTAACCATTGTCAATTTATGCTCATTTTACTTTACCGAGGTCACTAATATTTGAAACCAAGAAGTCTATCACACTTCATGCGCTCTTTAGACTTACTAGCAGTTTGATATTGTCCTTCTGGGAAATCAATTATTCTTAGAGCATTTACAGCTGGTAAGTGACTCAACACTATATTTGGGTCAGTAATTGTATCTGGCAATTGATACAGTAAGTTTTGTGAATGAATTATCTTTTAGACTTTTATTTCACATACTATCGTCTGAGGATCAATGATAATTCATTCTAACTTTAATCTTTCTCCAGCTGTTTTATTTTCTCCCCCTGATGTTGGAAAGACTGAATCACTGAAATGACAGTCTACAAATTGAGCCATATTTAAATCCTTCATGGATAGCTCTAAATATTATCATAGGAGATTAACATCCAACATACATTTACTATCTCTTTCGAGGGTCCATCTTATATTGTTGTGGTGGAGCGTTATGAATGTATTCTGCACATCCATAGATCTTTAGATGGAAAACTTTGGTTTCTGACCTAAACCAATTACGATGGGGAGAAATTTTAGTTATTCATTGGCTTTATGCGAATTAATGCTTTTGCATTATGTATAATGATGAACATTTGCTATTGGATGTTCAACATTTATTCTTACAAACATGTTTTTCTCAACAAAGATTTAAGATGTGATTTCACTAGCACTACCAAGTAATCTCGCAAACTTCAGGTTGCAGATATGTAATATTGATACATAACACTTGTTGATATATTTAAGAAACACCATAACATTTCTCTTACTGGATGATCAGTCCATATAATGGTTTATTAGACCACAAAAGTTTCTTATATTCTTTCTACAAATTGTATACATTCCAAATTTATTTTGGCTAGTTGGTAATTGTATAATCATAATGTCTTATGATTAAACATCACATTATAGATAATTAAGAAGAATCTTCAAGTTCTTCAATAAATCTTTACATGATGTATTTTATTTTGCATAATTCTTGAACCGAAATGGTCTAACCAGCTCATGCCAAACTATGTTATATTTGGTAAACTTCTAGTTTACTACATAACATTTACATCTCCTATTTAATCTTTGTCTATGATGAGGCATTAGATAATGTATGTTATTTTTTCAAAATAATTTTACACCATTGAGTTACATTATATATGATTCATCAGGATTATTTTTAGTGTGAACATAATCTTCTAGATGTTCCACTTTCTAGTGATTGAGGGATTCATCCATTCTCCCCCTCGAGATGATGTCACTTCATGTTCATCAATCTCGAATGGAATCCTAGTATAACATCAATAATATATCCAACTTGAATCATGTTTTATATCTTTGATTCTTTAAACTTTTTATATTTCTATTATGTGTTTGATTCTTTTCACTTCTGGGATTTCAAAGATATAATGCATCAAAAAAATTATTTACTATAAGCAAATATAAATTATATATACTCTTCTGGAGATGTGTATCTTTTATTTGCTGCCATCTTTATTTTCTCACTTCTTATGAGAATTTGAGTTCTTGAAATAAAACTCTTTAGTTTTGACCTTAACATGAACTATAAAAGATTCATATTCATGTCTATGATCATATCTTTAATCATTCATATCACATTCACTTCAGGGAATGGATCAAAACCAATTAGACAAGATTCAAGATTTTCATTAGTAACTCATTATTTTATCAAAATAATTTCTTAAACTTTCTTCAATAATATTTTGTCAGCTGGACAATATATGCCTTTTATCATCATTGATTTACATTATCTTCCAGATAAATAAAAATCATTTATAGACTTCAAGTCTTGTAATCTTAAATGCAAATACAAAATATTCATATAGAGGATAATTGAAAAATAAATAAATATTATCAAACATATATATAAACAAATATAATAATAATAATAAAATAATATAATTAATATAAATAACATTACCTTTTTATTATCACTTCAAGTGACAAATTTAATTTTAAGAATTTATTTGCTATTGTGTCTACTGGACAACAATATTTTTAAAATATTCCTTAAATATATTTATGCTATTGTATCTGCAGGACAACAATATTTTCATAATTTCTTCTTATACATTTTTATTAGTAATATATTTTCACTTATAAACTTCAAGTTTATATGGTCTGAGATGCTCTATCAGATCATATCACTTCAGATGATTGTTCATTTTCTTTAGATTGCTATATTAGATCACTTCTAGTGATCATGCCTTTCTTTTTACTCAATGGTAAAATTATTACATTTTAAAATCATGTAATGATAGAGAAATACACTTATTAGTATATAATAGTAATAATTGATTTGTTAAACCAAATCAAACCAATAAATAAAACAAATCAAGGGAATAATTATACATTTATTTATAATATTAAATCAAGATATGCAATAATATAATATATATTATTATTAGCAATGATCAAATGATGATTTAGCAATAATAAACAATCTCAAAATCAGTAATAAGCAATATACGAAGTTATAGTGCAAAATCAAACAATAATATTTTAATAAAACTGATTAAGATTCATTTTAACAAAGCAGTCAACAATCATTAAATAATAATATTAAAAATATATATTCAGAGTGATTTTAGCACTTATATTCAATTATAAATTCATGTGGTCAACAGGTCAACTTAAAAATTAATATGGTCAAGAATGTAATAATATTTCAAATTAATGCAAACAATGCAAATTAATTCAGATTTCTTCAATTTTCAATAATTATTCAATTTAGCAATTAATTAATTACGAAAATCAATTAAAATAACAAATATTGAAAAGCAAAAAAATAAATAAGAACAATATATATAAATGAAAATAAAATAATAGACAATATAAAATCCTTCTGGGATAAATAATATCAATAAAATTTATAAATCCTGCTGGGATATTTAGTTGAAATATATTTATCCTTCTTGGATAAAAAATAAAAATTAAATCCTTCTAGGATAACAGAAAATATAAATCCTATTAGGATATATAAATAAAAATATATAAATTCTTCTGGAAATATAAATAAATTATATAAATCCATATGGGATCTATAAATAAATATATAATATAAATTATTTCTTCTGGGATATAGTGAAATATAAATCCTTCTAGGATATAAATAAAAATAGAAATAAAATATAAATCCTTCAAGGATATAAATAAAATAGAAATCCTTCAGGGATATAAATAAAAATAGAAATAAAATATAAATCCTTCAGGGATATAAATAAAAATACAAATCCTTCAGGGATGTATATAATTGAAATATATAATTCCTTCAAGGAAAAATAATATATAGATCCTTCAGTTTGCTGAATCCAAGATATTATCAATAAGTAATATAAATTAAGTATTGATAGAAATAGATTTTAGTAGAATAAACACAAATTAACAAAGTAATAGAGATTACTCATTGAATTTGTGAATTCACCATAAGAACTATTAGAACTTTTAGAACCTTTGATTTAGAGAGAATAGAAAGTTAAGAGGTAGAGACTCGTGCTGATAACGTGTTGTGAGAAAGAGAGAATGAAATTGTCTTATTCCATGAGTAGAGAGCTCTTTATATAGAGTACAACATAGGGTTTAAAAGGAGAAGAGACAAATAGAGAAGTGGACTAGTGGGCTAATGGGCATCCACATATTACCCATAACAGTGGGAATATTTTTTTTTTCAACTAGAGAATTTGTTTCCACGGTTTATAACTTTATATCATAAATATGAAACTACATTATTCTACTACGAAATTAAAGTCATGCAACAACTACACTATTCTACAATAGTATATTATCATTCATGAGTCCATTAAAATCTATAAACCTTTGGTTTGAAGTACAAGTATTGTGGATCTAACCAAGTCACCTTGGTCTAGTGGTAAAGGAACTCCAGTTGGAGTGCCCGCCCTGGGTTCGAATTGCCTTGGCCATAACGGATTTAACATCCTTTCCGTTGGGGGCTTGGGGCCTTGGACCTCTTTCGAGGGGATAGTCGGTTCCTGTTCAGGTTTGATCCTCGGAATAATTGGATACAGCTGGACAAAGCTCGGACCATCGGTTTGGGCCCCAGGACTGGTCGGTGACCGTTCAGTTGGCTTCTCAAATCCGGATACCAGAGATACCAAAAAAAAAAGTATTGTGAATCTATATGTTTTTGGAATATTTGTTTTTTCCTAGCATTTTATAAAATTACAGCATTTTGTTCCATTCCACATATAACTTTGTCTACAAATCTGAAACCATCAATACATATCTGTTTTTGGGTTTTTACATAAAGTGAACAGCCCCTACTTATCTAATCAATTTCACATTCCTCATTTCGAACCAGACTTTTTCTAAGATCTAGTATTTGATCTTCCATTAGTGGTAAAAACTCACCTCTCATAAAACGAAAAATTGGAAGAAATGAATAGCATTCGGGTTCGGATGGATTCATGGATAGCACGTGATGCCTGGCTGAAACTATCGGCTATGGCCATAAAAAAACAAAAATAAAACAAAACACCTTGAATCCGATACTAAAAGTAATAGTAATCAAGAAGATGCATAGTTCCAAACATAATTATCTATTTCCCTCTCTAAGGATTCTTAGGAGTAAGTGAGTAACCAACCACCTACAACTTTGTTCAATATAGAAGAACCAGTTGGTACGTACTGACATTTATGTTTTACAAGCCTACAACCACCAAATCTTAACTGTTTTAAGTAACTCTTATGTTTTTCCTTTTCTTCCTGATTTGAACATACACTGCGTTGGTGTTTCAAGAAGATGTTATTCTGTATATTACGTTCAAAGATGCATGCATCAACAGGCAAACTTTAGGTTGTATATTTTTGACAAAATCATAGGTTTAGTTATAAAAAAATAAAATAGATTTACATGCACAACTTGTTGCATCTCCGGATTTTATAATGATATATATTTTCCATGATAGCATCATTTAACTATGATATATATATATATATAATTATATATTCATAGTTGGGAATTGCTTAATGAAAGTGTGTGTGAGTGGGTAGGTATGCGATTCTATATTTCTTTCTTTGTGTTCTTTATTTTTGATTTCGAATCGCACTACCTTGACGGGAAATGTTCTAAAATGATATATATGTGTAAATGATCACAATTATAAATTTTTAAAACTTTGCTCTTGTATATCAATTTTAAATGAACAGTTCGAGTCACGCAATAATCAAGTTATCATAGTTAAAGTATCGTGTGTCCGTAATTAAAATGATCTTATTCTTTCTTGAAAGTTTTTTTTTTTTTTTTTTTGTGTTTGCTTTTTAGCTAATGCCTAATGGGTGATCTTGACTCTAAATTCATATCCTAACTTAAGCTTATGGTTTTATAAAACATTATAGTTTTTAGGAAGTTAAAGTATAAACCATTATTCAGAGACAATTAAACAGATTTTGGTATGAACTCCAAGACATTTGTTCATCATTCGGATTAAATAAGAATATTATGTTGGCAAAAAGTAATATTACATGATTACTATAACTTCAATATTAATAAAATATAATCTACTTTTACTTTGTTTGGAATAAACCAAATTAATTGCTATAAGTTGACAATGCCTGCTAGACTGATAGACAACACACAAAGATTCAATCATGCAACTATGCAATGATCACTTCATCACTCATAAGATATCTGGCTTTATTATATATCAGCTTATGGCTTCACATAGTCGAAAAAAGCTTGTTACAATTGACTTGTGATGTTGGTTGGAGATGGATGGTATGTTGTGATTCACTTGTGAACAGTTAGATTCATCATATATATTTTACTATTTGTAGGGGAAAACTTAAAAAATGTCCTCATCGTTTAAATATGGAATAAATTAATCCCAATTAAATATGGAATATAGAACGACGCATCGCTTGGCAACCACCGGAGGTTGGATGGTGGAAGATGAATACAGATGGAGCTTCAAGAGGGAATCCAGGTTCCGCAGCTGCAGGTGGAGTTCTCAGAGATGAATATGGTACGTGGATCTCTGGCTTTGCTTTGAATATTGGTGTGTGCTCCGCTCCATTGGCAGAGCTCTGGAGAGTCTATTATGGCCTATATGTGGCATGGGAAAGAAGGATCCCACGATTGGTCATTGAGGTGGACTCGGAGATTGTTGTTGGATTCTTCAATTCAGGGATTAGCGATGTTCATCCTCTGTCTTTCCTAGTACATTTGTGCTATGGCTTTTTGTCACGGGACTGGATAGTTCGGGTTATGCATGCTTACAAAGAGGCGAATCGTGTGGCCGATGATTTAGCGAATCACGCCTTTTCACTTCCGTTAAGTTTTTATTTGTTTACCTCGGTTCCCGCTAAACTTTCAATGCGGTTACTAAAGGATGTCGATGGCTCTACACGAGCTCGTTTTGTAAGAACTGATTAGTTGTTTTAATAAATTTGAGGGAGACTTTAGTCTCCTCTCTTCTACCAAAAAAAAAAAATCTATATGTTTCTACGTGAACGATTGATACATATTTTTATGTTGTCACGCAACCAAAGAATGATTAAGCATCAATCTATAAATTAATGGTAATGTTTTCTAATTAAAAAATGACCCTTTTTTGACAAAATGCAACACTTTTATCTCCTAAAGTAATCGTAATTAACAAACAATAAAGAAAAAACAAAAAGATCCTGGTAAAATAAAACACTTTCAAAGGGTGTGTTCATGGGTGGAGTTTATCGGCCAACCGACCCCATCATCATCATCTCATTACCCACTTCCCCCTAAATTTATATTCTCTCTTATCTCTCTCTCTCCTTTTTTTTATTCTTTCTTTCTCTTAATCCATCAAAATCTCTCTGCTTTCGCTTTTAATTCCTTACATTTCACTCTAATAATCCCCAGATCTCCAATCCACCCACCAAAATCACAAAACTTTCCTAGATTTGATCATCTGGGTCGCCGCAAAATCGCGTCTTTCTCGATCCATGGGAAACATCAGCAGCAGCGGAGGCGACGGTAGACGCCGTAGACGGCGGAGCAACACCCTTCCAACGGCGGGTCCTCCACCACCTCCTTCTCTTCCTCCCCCACCTCCTCCGGCGACAGAAATCCCACCAGGTAACCACATCGTATTCGCCGCCGCTACACCGTACCCAAACCCAAACCCAAATCAGCATTACCAGTACCCTGGCTACTACCCTCCTCTCCCGGGACCGTACGACCCCCACCACCACCACCACAATCCTCACTACCCTCCGCAGCATCCTTATCACCACCACCCTCAGCCTTGGACAGCCGGCGGGAGATACCCTTACGGTGGGCCCATGGTACATGCGCCGCCTCCTTACGTCGAGCATCAGAAAGCCGTCACGATTCGCAACGACGTCAATCTCAAGAAGGAGACTTTGAAGCTCGAACCCGACCCGGATTTCCCGGATCGGTTCCTCGTCTCCTTCACCTTTGATGCTACCGTCTCCGGAAGGTATACCTTTCGTCGATTTCGTGATTCAATTTGCAAAAAACAGAGCCGAAACACGTGAAACTCTGCTCTTTCTTCGTGGTTGAAATTTAGTGAAGCAAAATTGAAAAAAAAAAAACAAACCTTTTGATCGAATCTCCATGTGTGTTGTTAAACTAAGCTAATTGCTAATTTTGGACTCGTTGTTGAAAACAGGATTAGTGTCATTTTCTTTGCTAAAGAATCAGAAGAATGTAACCTCGTAGCGACAAAGGAAGATGTTCTGCCGCCAATCACCATGGATTTCGAGAAAGGACTTGGTCAGAAGTTTAAACAAGCATCTGGTTCGGGTATAGATTTGTCAGTCTTTGAAGACGCTGAGCTGTTCAAGGCTGCAGACACAGATGTATATCCGCTGGCGGTTAAAGCAGAAGCAGTAGCTCCTCCAGGTGAGGAGGGTGAAGAGAAGAGGCTGGGGTCGAAGAATGCGCAGATAACACAAGCGGTTTATGAGAAGGAGAAAGGAGAGGTTAAGATAAGAGTGGTGAAGCAGATACTATGGGTTAATGGAGAGAGGTATGAGCTGCAGGAGATTTATGGGATTGGGAATACGGTTGATGGCGGTGAGGATTCAGCTGACGATGCTAATGATCCGGGAAAAGAATGTGTTATCTGTTTGTCTGAGCCACGTGACACGACTGTTCTTCCTTGTCGACACATGGTAAGTGTTCTTGTTTGTTGAGCAGCGTTATGATATCTATAATGGACTCAAAGGTTTGGTTTTTGGTGATGCAGTGTATGTGCAGCGGGTGTGCTAAGGTGTTGAGGTTTCAGACAAATCGATGCCCGATTTGCAGACAACCTGTGGAGAGGCTGTTGGAGATTAGAGTTCACGGTAATGGCGGAAGCGGGAACAGTACCGGACAAGGAGGAACAGCTGAGCAAGAGTAGCTAAACAGAGGTCGAGTATTGGATATCGATGTATTAGTATATGCATATGTTTGTGTTAACAATAAAATGTGTGATTTGCCAATTCATAATATAGAAATTTCGAAAGTCATTTGGATTCACAATCACCATCCTTGAGTATATTTTCGTTGGACAAAAAAAAGCAAACAGGCAGTTTCTTATTTTGAAGATGAGACGAGTATGAGTGGGAAAGAGAGAAGCTTTCTGAATTTGAAGATTGAGACTTGAGAGAGTGAAGCGAACTTTTAAGGTTTCAATTCCTCTGCTTCTGCTGCATGTGACGCAAAAGGAAGGTTCTACATCTGTAGCCACAAATATTGCCACCTGTCTTTGACGAAGCTATTGATTACTGACCAGTTTATATCCAACATCTTGATTTCTGTCTATCATTTAGCTCATCAAATCTTAAACAACAAAATTTTATACTATATATTACCACACATTTTTAGAAGATTCTATATTTACATATTAATTTCTGACCTCTGTTTTTCTGTAATCACATTCGTGCCTTTTTTATAGACAACTAGGGGCGATTTTTTTGGCTAAAGAGGTTAAGACGATCTGTTTTAGCTTAACAGTACTCAGTTCTTAGTCCTTAATTTAAGTCATATCATTCGGTAAGATGGAAAATAGTTCGAATCCAACCAAGAAGTAGAATATTTATGTTTAAATATTTCAAAAGTCCATGGACATGCAGAAAGTCTAAGGATATGGTGGTTTTACTTGTAACTAGAAGAGAACCCGCGCAATGCGCGGGTTTATTAAACCAAATATTTTTAATTTAATTATTCAGAACATTAGATTCGAATATATCATTTGTTTTTTACTCGAATATATTAGATTCTGTAAGTTTTGCATTTTGTTTTTTTTCATATAGTTTTAAAATTTAGTTGTTATTTACGTGAAATCTTATATAGACTCATAGTGAATAGTTTCATATGTTTTTTGTTCTTTTATACAATAATTTATCGACTGGAGTTGAGTTCTTCTAATTTTCCTTATACTAACAATCATTATAGATTGATTATTATCCTACAGACTCATAGATAATAATAATTGCAACCCTTTTTAAAAGGAAATGAAATGAGCTAATTAGCCAGTAAGCCCATTTAAAGCTACCATGGAAACGAAGAGGTCCGATAAATAATCAAGCCTATCAAAACGAACAACATTACACATAATTTTGATTTAGATTTTTTTTTTTTTACGAAAACGACGTCGTTTTGGTGTAAGACGAAAAAAAAAAGATAAACGCAAAACGACGTCGTTTTGGTGTAAGACGAAAAAAAAAAAATAAAACGCAAAACGACGTCGTTTTGGTGTTAGGCGGAAAAAAAAAAAAAAAGAGTGCCACGTGTCAAAGGCTTGAGAGTGTCCAAGCCTTATTAGTTATGTAGATTTTAAAGTCAAATACACACTTGTCTATTCGTATTTGTTTTGCGACTTGTAAAAAGCTGAACTAAATATTCACCCAATACAGTGTCCAAAATACTACAATAACTCGCACTATATACTAATTGCAATGTTTATGAATTTTATCTACTAAAAATACGAAGCAGTCTGTGAAAATGCTCACGGTAGACAAAAAAAGTACACAAAATACACTTGCAAAGACGAGCCTAACATAAACTACTTGAATAAAATAATAAGGACGAAACCAAAAAATAGAAGAGCCGGGCCAAATTTAACCTTTTTAGCTGAGAAACGGACAGATATATCTGACATGAATGAATGAATGTGAATGTTCACATATTTTTCAATTTCAGGAACCCAGAAGAAAGAGGAGGACTCATCTTTTACCTCCAAAGGGTTCCTGATAATTCATTGTCTGCCATACAATATTCTCCTGGGAGATTATTATTTTACTGATTTTGATTCCTCCTTAGATTATTATTCTCTGCCTTTTCTATCTCCTGGGTTTTGTTTCCAGCTCGGTGATGGTTGGTGGTAGAGATAAAGCTCGCGGAGATGAACATGAACCTCTCGAATCCAACAATCCTCCAGCGCAAAGGGTTGATTTTTATAACTCTCTCAAATTCAATCCCAGTTTTTTTTCTCTCTTACAATCTGTATTGTTCAAATTCATTTTTGTCCGGTGATTCGGATTTGATCGAATTTCATCAATCTCCCTTTGATCAGGGTTTAGGGTTTAGTAAATCGTTCCTTCTTCTGCAAATCGAAAGCCATGAAATTGATCCTTCTTGTGTTGCAGGATGGAGATTCTGCTGAGATAGCAGAAGAAGAGCTATCATCATCACCGGGCCGAGACCTATGGAGACGAGGCCTTGTGCTAGACACCGGAGACGACGATCAATTGAGACGAAATGCGTCCTTAACATCAAGCCCTTTAGCTAAAAAAGTCAACTTTTCTCCAATGTCGAGCCCTAGAACCGGGCAACGTGGTGCATCCCTTCCTCCTTCCTCCTCCTCCTCTCCAAGAAACAAACCCAACAGCCTGAAGAGTCTAATCCCAAAGCTAAGCTTCAAAAACCGGAACAGCAATAACAACAATAACGTTGACATCGAGAAAGCTGAGGATCTGGCATTTGCTTCCTCTCCTTCTTCAGGAAATGGGAGGTACAGACCCGCGTGGACTCTTACTAACATTTTGACTCCGAGATTGAAGAAAACTGAGTCCTTGCCTGTAACCCCTATAGCTCACTCAAACCCTGAGTCCACTCACGGGAGATATGTGGTTGATCCGGTTACTTCCATGGTCAGTAACTTTCATTGCTCGATTCATTTATGTTCCCATGTGGTTTCTGCTGTTATCTCATTGGCAAGAGAATGTTGTGTCAACAGAAGAAAGGGCCTCCACTGCCTATTCACCGGTCACGCTCTGTTCCGGCATTCAACAAAGATGGAAGCCTAAGGCAAACAGGTGTTTTCCGGGTGATTCCTACTCCGAACATGACGCCGGCCAGAAACATTACTAATCTTAACGGTTAGACATTTGGAATTGATGTTTTAAAAACCAAACATGAAAGTTTGATATTTTTTTTTGTGTGTGTGTGTGGTTATATCCGTGTAACAAGCCTGTGCCTTATACTAGTGAGATGTTTCAGATGCGAATGTTGTTGATGGAGGAGAAGATGTTCCAGAAGAAGAAGCCGTGTGCAGAATCTGCATGGTTGAAATGGGAGAAGAATCAGATGCTTTCAAGATGGAATGTATGTGTAGAGGTGAATTAGCTCTTGCTCACAAGGAATGTACAATCAAATGGTTCACCATTAAAGGAAACCGGACTTGTGATGTGTGCAAGCAAGAGGTTCAGAATCTCCCTGTGACCCTTCTTCGCATGCAGAGTTCGCAGAGTCATATTGGAGCCGCGGGTACCGAGGCTTCTAACTACAGGCAAGTCAAAACACACAAAAACACAAACAATTCAGTTTTTTTTTTTTTTTTTTGTTGTTGTTGGATATTATTGACCAATAGTACTCTCTTGTTCTCTCAGTGTATGGCAGGATGTTCCAATTCTGGTCATTGTAAGCATGCTTGCATACTTTTGTTTCCTTGAGCAGCTTCTGGTAAGATTTAGTGATTTTTTTTGTTGTTGTTAGAAAGCTTCTGTTTACCAAGCTTTGGTAAACATCGTTTTGTGTTAATATTATTTACAGCTTACAAAAATGAAATCCGGCGCCATTGCAATATCTTTACCGTTCTCTTGTGTGGTCGGTCTTCTTGCCTCGATGACGTCAACAACAATGGGTATGTACAGAGCTTTCCCAACAAGTCATTTCGGTACTCAAATTATCGGTTTAATTAAGTGATCCTCTGGTCATCCATGTGCAGTGGAGAAGCAATATGTTTGGATTTACGCTACGATTCAGTTCGGTCTTGTTGTTTTGTTCTCTCACATTTTCTTCACATTGGTGAGATTTTTTGTTTTATAATTTCTCAAGAACAGAACAAGACACTCTGCTTCTTGATCTAACTCTAATGTCGGTCTTATTTGTGTAGGTTCATATGCAACCGGTTGTGTCCATCCTCTTAGCCACATTGGTTGGGTTCGGACTCACCATGAGCGGCGCAACGGGTATAGTAGAGTTTTCAAAATGGATGAGAAGCCATAGGACAGCTGAAGCTACAAGCAGTGGTCAGGTGGATCCACCACCAATTCAGACAACAGATCAGAGCATGTCTGGATCATGAGAGTAAAGACAGAGATCCTGAATGCTGATAACATGTTCCAGCAGGGATCTATGGTACGGAATCAAACCATTCTGGATCTAGTTTTTGGGACATCTGGATAGAGAGATCCATCTATTTAGAGATGTGAGAACAGATTTGTCATGTGGAAGTAGTGAAACCTGGAAGACCCTAAAGTTTTTTTTTCGGGTGGTCTCTTTTGCGTGTGAATGTGAGTGAGTTTATATCATCATCTCCTGTGTTGTAAAAGGCTAATTTTTTTTTCTACTTTCTTTGTACAAAAATAAGTACAAAATATTGGTGTTTTTTTCTACCTTTGAGTGTATACATCATCTTTCTTCCACTTGTTCTCAGATTCATTAACTAAAACGCAAAAAATGAAATGAAAAAAGACAAAAAAAAGTTCCGGTGACCGGTATTCATTAGAGTGTATCAGCAACAAGATGGGCTACTTTACTGTCAAGGAATGCACACACAGCGTCAACCCACTCAATTGTCCCCCAAATCATTCCTCCTTGGCGTTTCTCAAGCGCAATTACCAAATACCAAACTGTTGTATAGTCAGCCCACAAAACCGCCAACTTTCCACCATAATCTGCCACTTGAGTAACATCCCTACCAAAATCATACAATTTTCTCAGATCACCCTCCAATGGTTTCCAAAGTTTAGCCTGAGAGTCGTACCAGCTGATCCTCCCGCGGGTACAGCTATACAAGACGTTCTCTATCACACAAAGAGATGATGAGGGACGCAATCCCTTAGCCATACCTAAGTCTGCCGCTCTCCATCTCCGTTTCTCCATCTTGTAAAAACTCACTTCACGTTCCTCAGAAAACTTGACGTACACGTTTCCATCATACCCTAGGGCTTGAATCCTTTGATGCCTAAAACCGCTACATACTTTCTATTCATGAGAACTTGAAGATGACACAAACTCCAAAGTTTGAGTCTTTGTATCGAATACCTCCATCCAGTTAGTTGCATGGAGATTTTCGCAGCCTCCGGTTACATAGATTTTTCCATCAAGAACGCAAGCAGAAGGGGTCGCACGTGCGACTAGCATGCTCGGGGCATCACTCCACGTGTGAGAACGACAGTCCATGACCATGACGCTAGAAGATGCTTCACCGCCAGTTATGCGTCGTCCACCAATGGAATATATTTTAGAACCAACTCTTGCGAAATCCGACCCGTACGTACGAGGACGATAGGGACATGTAATCGGGAGCAAAAATTTCCTAGAACGATAACTATTTGGTCTCCGGCAAAGAGTGACCAACTTTTGACGGCTGTACCTGTAATAGTTAGGGAGGTTAAAGCATACATAGAGACAAGTCTCTGTGCAGCCTAAGAGGGCTCGAGTTTGGTAAAGCTCCGTTGAAACAAGGAGAGACCTGAATCTTTTGCAAGCTAAGGATAGGTTACGGTTGCACAATCTTGATACTCGGGCTAAGCAGTTTAATACCAAATCATCAGGAAGCATCATAAACGTCGTCGTTGGGAATGATCGCCTTTGCCTTGCGCTAGCCTTCTTTCTATTTCGGGATTTTCCATTCCTGATTTTAACTGCTCCACGTGGTTGACCCATTTTTGTCGAATATTGGGTCCAATTTTAACCTTATTTATAGCACAGACTCTCCTTTCTTTCCCTTGCATCCTTTCGATGTGGGACGAAACCATTCTCATAAAGCCCCTTTTTCACTTTTCAAAAACTGTGTTTCTTTTTTCACATTGGTTAAGAAGATTTAGTGAATATTTTTATTTTTATTAGGAGTGTACCAAGCTTTGGTAACATCGGTATGTGTTGATATTATTTACAGCTTACAAAAATGAAATCCGGTGCCATTGCAATATCTTTACCATTCTCTGGCGTCCTTGGTCTTCTTGCCTCGATGACATCAACAACAAATACAATGGCTATGTAAAGAGTTCCAATACAAAAATTACTTTCCAAACAATTCATTTCGGTACTCAAATTATCAGTTTTAATTAAGTGATCCCTTGGTTCATATGCAGCCGGCTGTGTCCATTCTCTTAGCCACATTGGTTGGGTTCGGACTCACCATGAGCGGCACAACGGGTCTAGTCGAGTTTTCAAAATGGAGGAGAAGCCATAGGACAGCTGAAGCTACAAGCAGTTGTCAGGTGGATCCACCACCAATTCAGACAACAGATCAGAGCATGTCTGGATCATGAGAGTAAAGCCAGATATCCTGAATGCTGATCGTATGTTCCAGTAGGGATTTATGGTACCGAATCAAACCAGTTTGGTTCGATTTTTCGGAACATGTGGATAGAGAGATCCAATCTAGAGATGTGAGAAGTGAGAACAGATTGGTCATGTGGAAGTAGTGAAACCTGGAAGACCCTAAAGTTTTTTTTCCGGGTGGTCTCTTTTGCGTGTGAATGTGAGTGAGTGGATATCATCATCTCCTGTGTTTTAAAAGGCTAATATTTTTTCTACTTTCTTTGTACAAAAATAAGTACAAAATATTGGTGTTTTTTGTACCTTTGAGTGAATACAACTAAACATCATCTGCTGTGTTTTTTTTTTTTTTTCGTACGTAGGAATACGTTGTTAAAAATATACAAAAATCTCAAAAGGTCCATTGCCTTTCTTCCACTTGTTTTCAGATTCATGAACTAACATAAAAAATGAAAAAAAAAAAAAAGGGAAAAAAAGGTAAAAATTCCGGTCATTGGTATTGGTCAGAGTGTAGCAGCAACAAGATGGGCTACTTTATTCTCACGGAATGTAGACACAGGGTAAGACCGCTCAATTCTCCCCCAAATAGTTCCTCCTTGGCGTTTCTCAAGCGCAATTACCGCATACAAAACTGCTTTTTTTTCAGCCACATGATGCCACAAAACCGCCAACTTTCCACCATAATCTGCCACTTGAGTAACATCCCTAGTAAAAGCATACAATTTTCTCAGATCACCCTCCAATGGTTTCCAAAGTTTTACCTGAGAGTCGTACCAGCTGATCCTCCCGCAGGTACAGCTATACAAGACGTTCTCTATCACACAAAGAGGTGATGAGGGACGCAATCCCCTAGCCATACCTAATTATGTCGCTCTCCATCTCCCTTTCTCCATTTTGTACAAAATCTCTTTACGTTCCTCGTAATAAATATTTTCCCGTTCCTCAGAAAACTTGACGTACACGTTTCCATTATACCCTAGGGTTTGATGCCTAAACCCTCTGCGTACACTCTCAGGAGTACTTGAAGACGACACAAACTCCCAAGTTTGAGTCTTTGTATCGAATACCTCCATCCAGTTAGTTGCATCGAGATTTTTGCAGTCTCCGGTTACATATATTTTTCCATCAAGGACGCAAGCAGAAGGGGTCGCACGTGCGACTAACATGCTCGGGGCATCACTCCACGTGTGGGTACGACAGTCCATGACCATGACGCTAGAAGATGCTTCACCGCTGCTTATGACTCGTCCGCCAATGGAATATACTTTAGAACCAACCCTTGCGAAATCCGATTGGTACGTACAAGGAGAATTGGGACATGTAATTGGGAGCAAAAATTTCCTAGAACTATAACTATTTGGTCTCAGGTAAAGAGTGAACCAGTGTTGACGGCTGTAATAGGTAGGGAGTTTTAAGCAAACGTAGAGACAAGTCTCTGTGCAGCCTAAGAGGGTTCGAGTTTGGTAAAGCTCCGTTGAAACAAAGAGAGACCTGAATCTTTTGCAAACTAAGGATAGAATAGGGTAGTACGATCTTGAAACTCTGGCTATGCAGTTTAATAGCAAATCATCGGGAAGCATCATTAACGTCGTCATTGGGAATGTTCGCCTTTCCCTTACGGTGGCCTTCTTTCTATATTGGAATTCTCCATTCCTAGTTTCATTATATGTCATCATCGCTCCACGGAGGTGACTCTTTTTTGTCGAATATTAATTGGAACCAATTTTTAACCGTGTAATTTCGAACTTTTGACAAAAGTTTCTTAATCTTATTTATAGCACGAAGACTCCTTCCCTTTTCTTGCATACTTTCGATGTGGGACGAACTATTCTCAATACAAAGCGCCTTTTTGGCTTTTTCACTTTTCAAAAACTGTCTTTCTTTTTCACATTGGTTAAGAAGATTTAGTGAATATTTTTCTTTTTATTAGGAAGCTCCTGTGTACCAAGCTTTGGTAACATCGTTATGTGTTGATATTATTTACAGCTTACAAAAATGTAATCCGGTGACATTGCAATATCTTTACCATTCTCTTGCGTCCTTGGTCTTCTTGCCTCGATGACATCGACAACAATGGCTATGTAAAGAGTTCCAATACAAAAAAATTGCTTTCCAAACAATTCATCTCGGTACTCAAATTATCAGTTTTAATTAAGTGATCCTTGGTTCATATGCTGCAGCTCGCTGTGTCCATTCTGTTAGCCACATTGGTTGGTTTCGGACTCAACATGAGCGACACAACGGGTCTAGTCGAGTCTTGAAATTGGAGGAGAAGCCATAGGACAGCTAAAGCTACAAGAAGTGGTCAGGTGGATCCACCACCAATTCAGACAACAGATTAGAGCATGTCTGGATCATGAAACTAAAGCCAGAGATCCTGAATGCTGATCGTATGTTCCAGCAGGGATTTATGGTACCGAATCAAACCAGTTTGGATCGAGTTTTTGGAACATGTGGATAGAAATATCTATCTATTTAGAGAAGGGAGAAGTGAATGTGAGTGAATATATGGACATATTGGTCATGTTGAAGTAGTGATACCTGGAAGAGCCTAAAGACTTTTTCTTTTCTTTCTGGTGGTCTCTTTTGTGTGTGAATGTATATCATCACTGTGTTTTAAAACGCAATTTTTTTTTCTACTTTCTTTGTACAAAAATAAGTACAAAATATATGTGTTAGTTTTTTGTATCTTTGAGTGTATATCATCATCTGGTGTGTTTTTTTTTAACGTAGGAATATGTGGTTAAAAATATTCAAAAATCTCAAAACGTACACATTGTCTTTCTTCAACTTGTTTTCAGATTCAAGAACTATTAACGCAAAATAAAATGGGGGAAAAAAAAGTAATAATAATAATTCCGGTGATTCTCGCTCGTATTGCTCAGAGTGTGGCAGCAACAAGATGGGCTACTTTATAAGGCTCACTTGTAGACACATCATCTAACCACTCAATTGTCCCCCAAATCGTTCCTCCTTGGCGTTTCTCAAGCGCAATTACCGCACACGAAATTGATTTATGGTCCTTGTCACGGTTCCACAAAACCGCCAACTTTCCACCGTAATTTGCCAATTGAGTAACATCACCAGGAAACCTAGACAAATTTTCCAGATCACCCTTTACTGTTTCCCAAAGTTTTATCCGGGAGTCGTACCACTTGATCTTCCCGGAGGTAGAGCCATACAAGACGTTATCTATCACACAAAAAGATGATGAGGAAATCCATTCCCGAGCCATACCTAAGTCTGCCGCTCTCCATCTCCCTTTGTTCATCTTGTAACTCTCACGTCCGTGATATAACTTGACGTACACGTTTCCATCAAACCCTAGGCTTTGATAACAATAACCGCTGCCTAGTTTCTCTTCGGGAGTACTCGACGACGACACAAACTCCCAATTTTGAGTCTTTGTATCGAATGCCTCCATCCAGTTAGTTGCATCGAGATTTTCGCAGCCTCCGGTTACATATATTTTGCCATCAAGGACGCAAGCAGAAGGGGCCGCACGTGCGACTAGCATGCTCGGGGCATCACTCCACGTGTGGGAACGACAATCCATGACCATGACGCTAGAAGTTGCCTCACGGCTACTTATGAGTCGTCCGCCAATGGCGTAGATCTTAGAGCCAACCCTTGCGAAATCCGACTGGTACGTACAAGGAGAATTGGGACATGTAATTGGGAGCAAAAATTTCTTACAACCATTATTAGTTGGTCTCCGGCAAAGAGTGAACCAGTGTTGACGGCTGTAATAGGTAGGGAGTTTTAAGCATACGTAGAGACAAGGCTCTGTGCAGCCTAAGAGGGTTCGAGTTTGGTAAAGCTCCGTTGAAACAAGGAGAGACCTGAATCTTTTGCAAACTAAGGATAGAATAGGGTAGTACGATCTTGAAACTCTGGCTATGCAGTTTAATACCAAATCATCGGGAAGCATCATTAACGTCGTCATTGGGAATTTTGGGATCGATCGACGATCGCCGCCGGTGGCCTTCTTTCTCCACCCAGAAGATTTTTTTTTGGGTCGAAAGCCCCAGTTTATTTAAATATTAATCAAATCAAACTACCAATAAGAATCTAATTTATATATTTTCCAATCCTTTTTTGTTTTGGTAAATATATATATTCCATTCCTAGTTTCATTATATGTATAATGTATGTAGCAACCATTTATTAGCTTTAGTCAATTTAGGAATCGATCGAAAATCCACTTCATATTTGATTTGGACGCATATAAAAGTCTTGTACCAATTGCGCGTGTTGTTTGGCCAAGTCACTTTTCTCCAGGTGGATTGTGGGTTTACATATATATGAATATATGATTGAGTTCGTTAGCAAAATACCAATTAGAACAAAACACGTAGGATTAAAGTTTTTCTAGACCGACTAGCTCTGCCACGTAGGATAGCAATCGTGTACATATAATCCACTTCCACTTCATATATGTACACGTATAATTTTATTTTAAAAAGTATGGTTTTACAAAATTCATATTTAACGTGTTATATTTGACGTCGAGGCGTATAAAACACTTATACCAATTAAGTTTTTGACATTTTTTTTGGTTTAAATTAAGTTTTAGACATATAAATATAAAAATTATAAATCCAAAAGATATACTCATAAAAAATAAAAAAGAACATATTGGAGAAAGAGGGGTAGATAAGTACCTCATATATATTTTCCAGTTAAATGAAAAAGTTAACGTAATTGTCATATGTGTCTAATTTGATCGATAAGATTTGAACACATGTAAATAGCTGATTAATTAATTAGAAAAAATGAAACAATTTCTCTTTATATGGAGTGTAGTTTACTTATAAAATCTAGTTGGATGAAAAAAAAAAAGAATGCAAATCTAATTAATGTTTATTCAGAGAAATAGTTCCTTTAATGTTTATTTAGAGGAAAGGGAAAATAAATATAGTTAAAAATAAGAATAGGAAATAGTAATTTATTTAGTAAGATTACTCAGATATAAAAAGTAAAAAGTGATAGTATTAATCAATTCAATAGCTATAAAGTCCAAATTTGATCTCAATTTCCCAGTATTTAATATTTATACGAGAAGATTACTTTTATTCCATTATATTAATTACTGGCGTTGTAGGATTTGTTAATACTTGTACTTTTGTTTTGAAATTCCCCTATCCTTTTCATTCTCCCTAGGGCAAAACCGAACTGAACTGATCCGAACTGAACCAAAATAGGTCATGTGGTTTGGATTTGAATACATTATATGAACTGTGTAGATGCAATTTTATATAAACCGTGGATATTGATATGATTTGGATATGAACCGACCGTACCGCAAAAACAAACAAAAAACCGAATAGTTCTATATATTAATATAATAGTATATAGTATTTTATAATGTATTTATAAAAAAATTAACAATTAACAAACCCTAAATATTAAAACATAGATCTCTAGAGTTTTATACTTTAAAATAAGACATGAATTTATCATTCGATTACCAGAAAAATTAAAATATCTTTATAATAAAATAATAATCAAACAGCAAAAAGTACAAATAACCGAAAACCAAGATTATTCAAACCAAGAAAACATCTTCTGTTTCGATAAAAGTTTTTAGATTTTTAGATGCAATCTTCATGGGTGAATGTGTTGAAAGAGCTGCTCCGGCAGCACAATCTTGGAGAAGCGCTTCACGGAGTACTATTGAGAGCAAGAATCAAGAAACATAAAACTAATTGTTTTTGTTTCCGTTAAAATTGATTTTGGGATCTCGTATTTTATAATGTTCCGTGGTGTAAAACCAAACCCTAATCCATTCTCAGCTTTGGTTAGTATAGATTCGATTTAATTGATCTTTAATAATACGGTTTGATCTGTATTCGTATTCTCCTTCTCCTCTTGATGTTCCCGCATGTTTGGAGTAAAACCGAACCAAAATCAATTCTCGTTTTTTTTTTAAATCGAGAATTGATTTTGGTTATACAACTCTATGGTTGGCTTTTCTAAAAAGGGCTGTTATGGGCTTTTGTTTAGACCCAATGGCCAACAAATAACTAAAATTAAGCAAGGAATGATTTAGATCAAAACAATCGGCAAACGCTTAGCTTGATGGAGCAGCGACAAGGACATGAAAACATATTCATCAAGTATGTATGGACACGAGCTAACAATGCAGGAAGAAACAACTTCGATAATCTTAAGATCACATAAATACAGCAAGAAAGCACACACAAACACACTGAATGACTCGGGTGATAAAACGGTAAGAGAGAGTACTGATGTCTCCTTTCGTGTCCATATCATTACTTCAGTACACTGCACAAGACAAAGGTTTGTTTCGTTAAAGAACCTTTTTACTTCACTGTATCTGACTGTGCATCTTTGTATGTATGAGAGAAACTTACTTGTACAAGTATGCAGCGATACCCAGAACAATACACAGCAAAACAATATCGATGCAGAAGTTCCGGCTTGACCTCAGCTGCAATAAAAAGGCCATTATGTTAGGAATCTAGAACAGGCCAATGTAGCTGAGAGTCTGAGAAAAAAAAGGTTTTGAAACTCTAGTCACCTGGTTGACGGTATCTTTAAGTCGAACATTGGTGTTCTTAAGATCCGAGGTTGCTCTGTCCACCTGTGAGCGAAGCCAGAAATTTCAGATTACAACTGACGAATTTAGAGAAAAGTGAAAAAGAAAACGGACGGTGTCTTCTACCTTTGAGTCGATTTCATCCATCAGAGGAACTTGCCTATCCAGTTCCTGCATGTATCATTGCCGTGGCAATGGATCATCAGCGCAAGTACTAAAAAAAGGGACGTGCGTTAAGAGCTGGATTTTAACAAACTCACCTCGTTCATATCAGACGCCATGTTCTTTAGAGCATCTAAACCTTCAGAGATCATGTCCAGACCTTGTTCCTGTTAAGCCATATGTTAACCACCAGAGCTTAAATGAACAAAAGAGTAGAATGCAACGAGATGGAACATCACTTGCCTGCTTTATTTTCCGCATCTCATACTCCTGTTTGAATTTGCTGGATTCATGTGATTCTTGAAAGTAATCATCATCAAAACGCCCATCTAACATCATCCACAACAGAGCTGACTTAGTGATCTTGAACTTAAGGTTGCTCAAACGACAGACGATAAGATATACAGTTCACATAATTCCGAGACAAACAGGACTATATATACAATAATTGAACGTGTAAGGGCAAGCTACAAGGGATAAACAAAGCTACTTCAGTTGAATCACCTGAATCAAATTTGATATCAGGACGAGATGTTGTTGAGGGAGCCCAAGCACTAGTGTTTTTAGGACCACCAGCTGTCCCATCAGGAATCGCTTCAATCCTGGCCGGAAGTGCAAGCACCAAATCATTTCTCGCTGCGAGCTCTTCAGTTGTAAGCCCCTTAACCTAAAACATGTTTAGATAGTCACCGAGTTTGAACAAGTTAATCCTTAAAACCATGATTTAGTCGAACTCAGCTAATGGCCTACTACAACCGGAAATTATACTAGATTGGCAAATCAAAACCCACATGAATGATTACTTCTCTCTTTCTCAGCCAAGTGTTAGGAGAATTACGACCATATATACAAGCTTCTTTGACATCCAGTCAAACTAAAAAAAGTATAACCTCAATCAAACTAGAGGTAAAAGTAGAAGCAATGTAGCTGATTTATGAACCGAAGTGTAAGACATGAGAATTGAAGCTTACCCGCTTGACAGCAAGTCTCTGCAACTTGGGAACTTCCTCGGACAATCGAGCCTTGGTCCGGCGGATCTCGGCGTTCATTGCAACAGCAGAAGCTCTATTCTTCTCCTTCGTAACAATTTCAGCTTTCTGCAAATCAAAATTCAAAGAAGTGCTTGCAAATCATTCTCAAATCAGAATCAGCCCAGAAAACGCAGGGAGCATAAACAAGACAACGCGAAACCTCGGTCACCCTAATACAAAATCGGCACCTAATTTCGAGATTATCACTGAATTAAATTCGAAACCGGGAAAAATGTCAGATTTTTATGTCCAGCATTGTCAAGCAGACTACTTTGAATCTACAGAGATTTATCGGAAGCGAATCAAATCAAGCAAAATTATCTAGATGCAAAGAGAAAAGAGAAATAATCACCTCGAGAGCTGTCTCGATTTGGGTCTCAAAAGCTCCATAGAGGCGAGCAAAAGCATCATCGCCGGAGATATTGGCCTCCCGCTGTTTATCGACATCGTACTTGTCGTACTTCTTACAGATCGAATCAACTCTAGTCAGAATGTCGATCACAGTCATTTTCCTCCAAATCGATTACCACAAGCTTCCGGATCTAAAGGAGAGAATCTCTGATTCGAAGAGGAAGAAGACTTTATGAATGGGGAGGCGAGTGGGGTGTTTATTACCCTTTTCTCAGAAACGCATATATTATATTACCAATCAGCACAATTGTTCATCTATAAAGTTATTGGTAATAAAAAATAATAATAATAATATGCAGGGGACCCACAGTGCGGTTTAAATAGAAATGAATTGTTGTGAACCTCAACTAAGTTTGTAACACATCAAATTAACGTGTTTAGATAATAGTCCAGTGCGGTTCCGTTTTTATGTTTTTTTTTTCTTTTAATTATGAATTTCTAATTTTCAATTTTTTAAAAAGTTCATTGATACAAAATCTTTACAATTTTTTATTTTTAATTTTTAATATTTTATTTTATAATTATAGTTTCTTATTATTTAATTTCTTTATATTTTTAATTTTACCAAATCAATTTAATTCTTGTATAGTTGGTCACAATAATAAAAGGAATTGTATTGTGATAATTTCTTATTAAAAACATATTACAAACCTTTCTCACATTTTCTCGTATAAGGCATAGAGGCCCAATCATTGGAGAAGTTACATTAATCTCTAAAGTTTGTTGTCCTATTGTTTCAATTGAGTATATATAGCCGAATCTCAAATTTTCGGTTCAAAAGTTTGCCGGTTTTGTCACATTTTGGGTTTAGTCATCATTCTGAAATTATAAATTCATTACCTTCGCTTCGAGATGCAAAGATGAAGATTCAAAAATTCTTTTGCCATTATTTTTCATAAACCTTAAATTAAATCTCATTGTAAACCAGTTTCGTCGAAATTCTATATCTCTACATCCTATTATCACCCTACCTCTCCTCTGCTTTAATTATATACATACTACCAATTATTTTGTTTCACAACAATTTCATGTCATTGAAGCTCACAATTCATACCAAATCCTCTTAAACCCCAAATCTTTCTTATAATTTTCAAACATCCACTAATCAAACTTAGTTAGCTCCATGTTTCATCACTGAAGAATCATATTTCTTTGAGGTACTATCTAAACTCAATTTGCCGTTAATCCTTTTGTTTTGTTTTGAGTCCTATTTAAATTTGGATCTATCATATACTTATTCCAGCCTTTAATTTTTGGTTTCTTCTATAGATATATAATGTTTAGTCATCGATAATTGTTGGTTTGTTGAATTTTGTTGCCATTAAGTAATATTAGTTTCTTTAGATAAAGACCTAAAGGATAAGTATTAGACCTAGTCGATTTATTGTAACTTAGTTAGATCTTGTTTTGTCATGTTTTTGAACTCATGCTTCATGCTTCCATTTTTGGTTATTCAATAGCTTTCCAAAAACTGTAATAGTTAAGTTTTTATTTTCAACGTATTGTCAAGACAATATTATTTCCATTTTAATATATAATATGATGCATATAAATCAACAAAATAATAATATGTTGATGCTTATATACAATATAAATTTTCTTTTGTTTCTATTCCTATATATTTACATATAACTTTTTTTTTAAACAAACTAATTAGTAACATATTTTGTTCAAAATAACATGTAACATATTAACAATATATAATTTTAAATATTAAATATTTTATATTAAGAAAAACGAAATTTAAAAAATATATATAGGAAGTAATTTAAAGATTATATATTTCATAGGAAGTAATTAAAATTAGAATTAAGTATTAAGGAAATATCATAATAACAATTAAAAAGAAAAAATTCTTTTAAGGTTCTTATGTGGACCAATCAAATTGAATTTTTTATTTCCTTTTTCTGTCATTAGAAAAAAAACTCTATTTTTTAAACACTTTAGTATGAAGAAAAATAAAATTAAGTGTTAAAGAAATATCATAATAACAACTAAAAAAAGAAATTCTTTTAAAGTGATTATGTGGACCAATGAAATTCAGTTTCTTTAATCTAGTTGAACACTTTTAGAGGTTATAGGATCAACTTTTATTTTAGATCATCGTATTCCTAATAGTAAAATGAATAAAATCATTGTATTCCTAATGGTAAAAGGAATCACTATGCAATAAGGAAATTAGAGAAGTGGTAATTACAAAATTAGAAATTATCCTAATCCTAATCTTTATCAAACAATATCCAATTTGTTGGATATTAAAAAAATGTAAATTTGCTAATAAGAATAAAAAGGAAAATAGGAAATTAATTATTCAATAAAAAAAATAATGACATGGACCAATCAAATTCAATTTTAGAATCCTAGGTGGACACTCTCTAATGCATATAGGGTCAACTTTTATTAGTAATTTGTAACACATCAAATTAACGTGTTAAGATGTTTTTGTATTTTTTTCTTTTTAGGAAAAATAAATCATGTATATTTATTTAATTAGTTATTCAAATTTTAGTTTTAAAATAAATTATTTTAGGTAATTCAAAATCTAGTCATCATTATTTATTCAAATTTTAGTTTTAAAATAAATTATTTTAGGTAATTCAAAATCTAGTCATCATTATACTTATATGGTAATTGTGAATGTTACCAATCAAACATTATTTTGTACCGCTTATTATATACAAATCGCACCATCCACTATATTTCTCATTCCGCACCACTCAATCCGCTGTCACCATTCGAAACTATTAGATTGTAAAATTTGAATCTCTTTCTATTCGTGCCCGAATGCTGGAGAAGTCGTTCGGCGAGGAAAGAGCCTGAACGAAAATTATAGCCTGGAATAAATTTTCTTCATCAACACCCCTACTATTGTTTCTATCACATTGACCCCAATATTTATCCGGAGGCCAGCAGATACCTATTTTTCGACCTATGTAATCAATTTCTTAAATAATATCATTTGTAATATACATTACATTTTTTTGAAAAAAAAAAGTAGTTTAGTGATGACATGTCCTAAATGTAATGATGAAAAGTTATAATTTACAATTTTTGATTAATAATATTTGTGATTGTCTATAATATTGAATATAAAAATGTACGTTTTTCACACTTATACAAGATATCTAAAAACGTTGGACAAACTGTAGATTATGCCTTTTCTCAAAAAAAAAAACTAAATGTAGATTTAAATGGTTAAAGTCTTTCCAATGTTGTGAGATGATATGAACTCGAAAAGATTAAAGATCTCTCTCAATGTTAAACATTCAAATTTTCTTGCATAATATCTTCACCATGACATGATTTGAAAGATGAGTTCTTACAAATCTGTACATGAGAAGTTCGTAAATGACACATGTATTCTTTCATGTTTTGTATTGACCTTTCACTTTCGTTCTAGTCAAGATTAATTTCAAATACTACATAAATTTAAACATTTAAGGAAAATCACTAAATACAAATGTTGTTATTCATAAACTGGTGTATTCCGTTGAAATTTTTATGAATTTTAGATGAATTAGATAAGTTTTTAATGAAAACAGTCTAGAATCCTATCTAAAACCTTCTCTGATTTTTATACTTTTAATAAGAATCACAACAAATCTTATAAAAGTTACTACTTAAAATACTTCTAATAACACAATATTTTAAACTATATTTTAAAATTACAACTTCAATAAAACTGGATTTTAAAACAATTTTTTATAACTCGTAATTGAATAAATGATTTGTCATCGTAATACAAATCACATCATAAATACTCAACCGAATATTTGTTTGCAAATCGAGGTCCTGATTGGTAGATATTAGATAATGTAAAATGCGAGCCAAAATCGAAAGTAAAAAGAGAGTTTGGCCCTATAGTTTTATAATTTGCAAACTAACCCCGTGGACCAGCGGTGACATTATTTATTGATCAATCTTCTTAGAAAAATTAGTCTTCCAACTGTCTCCTAATATTGTCTCCGGCGACTGGTGCTGATCTCCCGGAGCTCCGAACCGCAGCCATGTCCGAAGAATTCTCTGTAAGATCTGTCCCCTCTCCGAATCTGTATCTCTCCTTGTTTTTCTTCTCGTTCCATTCGAACACTGATCAAATCTTTCGTTACCCAAAATGATGAATCGCTAGATCTGCATTTGACTCTGTCCAAATTCTGCTTTCCTATAATCTTATGAATCTGTCTCACGCGTGGCTTGTAATCCTCTGTGCTGCTTTGGGTCTGATCTTGTGGTTTTAATGTATGATATTCCGGTTTAAGATTGAGATTGCAAGCATTTTTGTCAATCCACAAGATGTAACGCTGCTTAACGATTATCATATTCCAGAAAATTTAGCATGATTTTGTGACCCAGTAGAATCAGATCGGTGAAGTTTTGTCTTTGATTCAACTTTCATTTTTTTTGTGTGGAGAGTTTCATGCCTCTGAGCTCTTCTATATATTATTAAACTGCATCATTTCTAAGCTAGTAAGGATGTTTATATCTGTATATATCTTGCAAAGTCTGAAACTTTCTCCTTAATGTCAAGAACAGCATATGTTTTGTTTTCTTCTGTCCTATCGCGTGATCTTTTTTGTGTCTTCTTGCATCTGGTTTTCATTTCTAAGTTGGTAAAAAAAAAACAATGAAACAGGGGAAGATCGAAAGCAAAGGGCTAAACCCGGGACTGATCGTGCTTCTTGTGATTGGAGGGTTGCTAGTGACGTTCCTTGTAGGAAACTTCATCCTCTACACATACGCGCAGAAGAATCTGCCTCCGAGGAAGAAGAAGCCGGTTTCTAAGAAGAAGATGAAGAAAGAGAAGATGAAGCAAGGCGTCCAAGTTCCTGGCGAGTAGCGTGTTTGTTATATTTAGTATCTCACTTTTCAGGACTACAAATTATATGACTCTTTAGTTTGAATGTTAAGCATGTTGACAATCTCTATCCTCAACTTTATAAGCTCTGCTGAGATAATGTCATTCCGAATTCGAAATAGCTTTATGATGATTTTCTTCTTTGTTGAAGGTATATCTCTATGAACATGCAAATTCCGGTCGGAATCCACTGTGTTTTAGGTTTGAATGGACATTACGAAAGGAATCAATTATATTAGTGTTGGTCAAACAGTTTGATCGCTCAAAATGGCAACAAAATACTATTTTTAACTAACAAAGTTCAAATTTTTTGATAAATTTCAAATATTTCAAAAGTGTGGAATTGGATGCCAATGGAAGAGAGTAACTGAGAATAATTGAAAAAATTGTCTTTGGCACGAATACAGATCAACAGAAAGCAAAGCTGTATATTAAACTGAGATAGTCTTTTGGCATTAATCTTAAAGGTCAACAGTGACACACTAACACATCTTGAGAAGAATACAAATGAAACTTAGAAGTTCACAAATCCATAAGCTCTTCTACTTAACCTAGCAATCTAATTCTCTAGACGAGTCAAGACTACTCTGCTGAATGTACAGGAATATTCTACTGGTTTAAGTCTAGTTTGTTTGCCTACACACCGCTTTGACATGGTTTTGATGATACGAACCTTCCGAGACTTGGATCATTGGTGTTGCAAGATGGAGTCTATACAAAGAACTTACTGTGCAGGTTTTGAGATGGCGATTATGTAAAGTTACTACACATTTGTTAAACATGGATAGATGATGACTCCATAGGTCTTTTCATTCCAATGGTCGGCTTTCTTCCCTCGTTATCAGTTTGGTTATGCTGACTCCATGAGACTGAGACATCCTGGTTCATGTCTTGTTCATGTTCATCATCTGAGGAAACACCAACAAGTGTTGTACACTGTGAGTTTAACCACCGCGTAACGGAATTCAAGCAAGCCAATGTTGGAATCCTTGTCTACTTCAGGTTAAGTCAATGAGAAACTTTAGATGACAACTAAATGTACCTGAACGGTCCAAGAGAGGAAACTCAGTCAAGCGTCTAACGCAGACCTTAAGCGCTTGGAGCTCGGCTTCCTTCTCTTGAAGTTTAGACTGTGCAGTTTGCAGTTCAGCTTCAAGCTCATTGATCTGACCTTCTTGTTGTTCAATGAGAAGGTGGCTTAGTTTCTTGTCCAGCTCTGATGCCGATATCCCACCACATTGGTATGACTCAGATCCATTCACCAGACCCTTACATTCCTCCATAACCTCACTTGTCTAATGGAAAAATAAAACACAAGCTTAACATAAAGCTTCTCAAAGTTAACTAACAATCTTATCTCTCATAAGATCACTAACAATAAGATTTGAGAATAAAGCGCACTAACCTCAGCCAAGTTGAGTTTCTGCAGCTCAGACTCAAGTTCCATCTCTAACTGTTCCATTTCTACTGCTTCTTGTTCTGGCTCCTCAGTTAGGACACTACTCGCATACTCTCCATCATTCCGGGACTTAATGTCGAGAGATTCTCTACTCGCCATCTCTGATCTACTGAAATCTACTTGCCCAGATTTCCTGCTGGACTTCTCAGAGCAACCAGGAAATTTGAAACCTTGCAAAGACTTTATCCTAGAAAGTTCATCTTTTAGCTCCTTGATGGCTTTCACAGTTTCTTCCGTCGCTGCATTCAGCTTACTCATGTCACGTTTTTCTGCTGACATCATATACATCATGCAGACACCAAGTGCTGAGCTGAAAGATGAATGATCTGAAACATGGAAGAATTAAGCGTCATTAATATGATAACGCCAACGGGAATGTGATGAGTCATTGTTCTATTGACAAGATATATATTTTGTTGGATAATCACAAATTTACTGCAAGGAAAACATTTCAACGAGATACAATCAAACCTCAAATTACTTAAACCAATGATATATACACAAAATCAAGTGTTTAAAAGTAAGCAAATTAACACTTGGAAAACGCATAAATTCAGGCTTATTCCACTCTATGGAAGCATAACAAGTATGTGATTGCGCATCGTTTCCAGATTTTCAGAAGAGTAGAAGCCAAACCTTTACTGTTCGAAGCAGAGGCGGTACCCAAAGTTCTCGGCTTTTTCAAGCAAACGTCAGTCTTCGTTTTAACAGCAGTAACATTTCCAGATCGCTTCTCGATTTCATGACACTCACCATTCTTAATCTTCGTCTTATTCTTCTTCAATCCGCGAATCCTAACCTTGCATTTCACCCCTGAGCTCTTCCTAGACCCGGATCCGGACCCTGAGTTTACGGTAGACCCGGAGCTAGAGAACCGGAAAACGCCATCGGTTTTGTCGCAAGAGGAATCGAGAAACCCAATACCAACAGGAGGAGGAGTGACGGGCTCCTCGTCTTCCAATTGATTCTTGGGAGGGGAACAATGTCGAGAGAAAGGGTTGAAGAAGCGTTTGGCTACAATACCAGTGGATCCAGCAATGGCTGCTCCTAGAACAACTTGCCACATATTTGAATTTGACAATTCGTATATACCCAAAAAAAACAGTCAAATAAGAGAAGCAAGAAGAAGCAGATCAAGGAAAAAACTGAGTTTGAACTGTATAAAACGACGAACAGAGAGTCGGAGAAAGTCCCGAGGCAGAGAGACAGAAAGAAAGAGAAGAAAGTAGTGAGATTTTTTTTGTTTTTCAGCGGCAGTGGGTCACACCATCACATGTTTCCCGCTTTTGCAGACATTTTCCAAATTTATTGTTTTCTTACCAAACTAATTAGGGCTTCTGTTCTGGTTAGGCTTATTGGGCCCATATATATTGAAATGGTTCGGCCTTATTTTGCTGTTTCAGCGTTAGAGGGAGCGTCCAGCGACTGGAATTTCGCGACGGAAAATTTGCGTTTGACTCTCTCTAAATGATCAAATTACCCTTGCAATTATTCGAAAATCACCAAAATACCAAACCCTAAGTCTAAAACCCGTTGCCTGAAAGAGACCCTGTTTCTTCGCTTCTTCTCGGCACACCTACGTCTCCGCCGTCGCCAGTGTCACCGCCGGCGTTTTTACTTTTTCAGTGTAACCACCATTGCTGCTTCTGCCTCTTCTCCAGCAACGATTTAGCTCGATTTCTCCTGTTCTCACAGTTCTCTATCTTGGTAAGTCGTGAATTTTCATTCGGAGAACGAGTTATCAGTGATATTTTCTTTGAGTAGTTTTCTCTACTGCTCTGCTCTTCTCTTTGGATTTGTCTGCTCGAATCGGATGATCATTGCTATTTTGCTCTTAGCCTCTGTTTATCTAATTCTCTGGTTCTCACCGCACTCTCTTTTGATTTTTCAATCTATGTTGATATTGTTCCTTTGCCTTCTATTGAGATTGTAATTGGTACTTGGCAGATGGAGAAAAGCGCCTATTTTCTGTTTGGTGGAACAAACTTCAATAAGAAGAAGTTTGCTACAGATTTTGCCAAGTTTAAGGTGAGTTCTGCTCGTTGTTTAAGCATTGAATTAATCAGCAATACGCACTCGCTCTTTGTTCCTATCTTAATTCCCCATTTCCTGTGTTAGAAATGTAAGGAAGATGATGACTCCACTAAGAAAGTGAGCTTCTTTGAGGAAGAAGAGGAGCCTGAACATGAGAAGAAAGCTGTGTCTTCTAAGAAGAGGAAACGAAGATCTGCTAATTCTGGTAAGTCTGAAAAAGTAATGAATGTAAATGTTCGTTCAGGTTTGTGCTATCATTTTCTGATCCAGTTTTTTGTCTTGTCGAAAATAGAGCCTATTGAAGGGTTTGATGTGTTCAAGAGCTCAAAGAAGGCACGTGGTAAAGGTAAAGAAGAAGAAAACACAAAGAATGAGGTTGTAGAGAATCCTAACAAGGAACTTAATCGGCGAATGGAGGTATGGAGCTGTTTAATATTTTGTCTCTGTTTCGTCAAAGGCAAATAGTGATAGTCTGATTGATACATGGCTTTGTTTGCTTCTTGATGATGGCAGCAAGATGCTTTGGCGAGGAAACAGTACAACATTCATGTTTCCGGTAGCAATATTCCACCCCCACTTAAAAGCTTCGCAGAGTTGTCATCAAGGTGCGTAGGAATTAGATTATATTTTGACTTATTATGCTCATAGGATTAGTGGTTTTTGAAGTTTGGATATGTGAAATTCTAGGTGGAAATGACCTTTTATCAATCGACATAACTCTTTTCTTCTCCTCTGGGTTTGCATCTTATTGCTTCATCCATTTACAGGTATGGTTGTAAGGGATTCATATTACGCAATTTGGCTGAACTAGGATTTAGAGAGCCTACCCCAATACAAAGGCAGGCTATTCCAGTTCTCCTATCGGTATGGTCTTATTCACTCTTTTTCTATTCATTAGATCAACACTTAGAGTTTTCTATTCCAGTTCTCCTTTCAGTCTAGTTTAGAGTTGTCTTGTTGGTTTATTCCAGGGTCGTGAATGCTTTGCATGTGCTCCAACTGGGTCAGGAAAGACCTTTGCTTTTATTTGTCCCATGCTTATGAAGCTCAAGGTAAGAAACTGTGTTTATCCTAAGACCCTCCTGGTATCGCAGATCCTGATTCTTGAATGATGCTCAAGAGTTTTATTCTTTTGTTTCAGCGCCCTTCAACAGATGGTATTAGAGCAGTTATCCTCTCTCCTGCACGAGAACTGGCTGCTCAGACAGCTAGAGAAGGGAAAAAGCTTATTAAAGGAAGCGAGTTCCGGATCAGATTAATGACTAAACCCCTTGTCAAAACGGCTGACTTCTCAAAGCTGAAGTGTGATGTTTTAATATCAACGCCAATGCGGCTGCAAAGAGCTATCAAGGCTAAAAAGATTGACTTAAGCAAGTAAGTCAATAGTATCCATTAGAATTTAAACATATGTACTTGGTGTTTTGTGTTATGCCTCATTTCTTACCTTGATCTCCGTTGAATACAGGGTGGAGTTTCTTGTCCTTGATGAGTCTGACAAGCTGTTTGAGCAGAGCTTGTTAAAGCAGATCGATTCTGTGGTTAAGGCTTGTTCAAACCCTTCAATCATACGCTCCTTGTTCAGTGCTACTTTGCCTGATTCTGTTGAGGAACTTGCGCGTTCCATAATGCATGATGCTGTTCGTGTAATCATTGGCCGCAAGTGAGTATAGAAAACAATGATACTGAAGCTTATGATAGATGCATGACAACATTTCTTGCAGCAACAAAAATCTTTACTTATTTTATAATTCATATAGGAACACAGCTTCTGAAACTGTCAAGCAAACGCTGGTTTTTGCTGGAACAGAAGAAGGGAAACTTATTGCTCTTCGCCAAAGATTTGCAGAGGTAAGCTCACTTCTCTACACAGTACTCTCAAATAAGTTAAGTCTGTGTTACCTTTTGTAATTCCTCTTCTACTTGGCAGTAGAGTCTGAATCCACCGGTACTGATCTTTGTGCAAAGCAAAGAACGAGCAAAGGAACTCTACGATGAACTGAAAGGTGAAAGCATCAGAGTTGGGGTCATCCATTCTGATCTCCCTCCAGGAGAGGTAAAAACATCTCCTGCATAGTCATGAAATAAAGGAAAGTATAGATGTATGAGATGATTGGAAACAGTAACTAACCATTGGATGTGTCCTGCAGAGGGAAAACGCGGTTGATAGTTTCAGAGCGGGCGAGACATGGGTTCTGATTGCCACTGATGTGATAGCTAGAGGTATGGATTTCAAAGGGATCAACTGCGTGATAAACTACGATTTCCCGGATTCTGCTTCTGCATACATCCACAGGATTGGTAATAACACTGCTCGAGCCTTTTGTATCTAAGTCTTATATTCTCTGTTCTATGCGAGTCTTTTGTGATTAATGATGAGTTGGTTCATATATGAAACGTTTTACAGGTCGATCAGGGAGAGCGGGAAGGAGCGGGGAAGCGGTAACGTTCTACACGGAAGAAGATGTGCCTTACCTGAGGAACATAGCCAACACGATGACATCATCGGGCTGTGAGGTTCCGTCGTGGATCATGTCTTTGAAGAAGCAGAAATGGAAGAAGCATAGGCCGAGACGTGATGCTATATATACTCGACCCACAGCCGATGAAGACGTTCAAGAAGAGTAACTTCAAAATGTTTGTCTTTTTTTTCCTTCTTGATTGCTAGTTGAACAAATGACTTTGAAAGTCAAATTTTGTTGATTCCAAATATTTAAATTTTTTATAACATTTATAGTTCATGTATGTGAATTCTAAGATCCTTATGTTATGTCTTGAAATTTGTTTTTCCATATATTACCCTTGAATATCCATTGCATTTTGTTTCTAATGATTCAACTACAAATTTATGAAAATAATGTGGACCTATCAAACATTCGCCAACTTGGACCGACGGAGAGAGAGTGGTCTCAAACTCTCAATATCAAGACTTGTGCTATGGTTGCATTAGGAAAATGTCTTTTCTCGTGGTAAATATCAATTTGGCCTTATTAATAGAAAAAATTATTGTATTAACGAAAAATGTTTAGATATTGTAGCTCAACGTTCTCGTAATATTTTACGCAGCTATATGCGTACACATATAAATAATTTTTAGTTGCGAATAAAACTGTACTTTCTAAGAAAATATATATTGATCCATAACACAGCGACCACATGGATCATGGATGTATCATGTAGGCTATGTATTAGAAAATGGATATTCCGGTATAGTACAATTAAACTATAAATAATCATGGCGTAGATATATTATATTTTGGGATTTTTCCAATTCAGTGTTCTATTAGATTTATAAAAATACAGTGAAATCTAAAACTACCTGCAGGACAGGATAGAAAGCAAGAATCTGAATCCACTGTTGGTTTAACATATACAGTCATTAAGTTATAAATTGAATTTACGTTACAAAATTCTAGGAATGTGAGTAGAAATCTAATTGTAACTGCCTAACTGGTATTGTGTCTCATAAAAAAAAGTCGTTAAAAAAAGAAGCGGCAAGCTGTTAAAGACGAAATCAAAATGGGCCCCACAATTAGTGGGCTCTCACATTGGCACACAATACTTTCTGAGCTTGAAATCCATCATCTCTCTCTTCTCTCCCTCTCGATGACAACGTGAAGAGGATTTCTTCTCAAGTCAAGAAATATCAAAAACTCTACCGATTCAAATTCTCACCATTTTCATTTCCCGAGAAAGTCGCACATTATAGGCCTGTTTTCGAAGGTTTAAGATTGAATTCCGAGCTTCTCTTATCGAGATCTACTTCCACAGGTTCGATTCATCTTCTTGTCCCGTTTCCTGGCTATAGAAATTTATGTTTTGACTTTTAAGTCTAATAAAAAAATTGAGCTACTAGATTTTGAGATCCCTTGCGGTTCGTGAATTTCTTATTTTGGAAGATCTTAACTGATATTCATCATAATCTATTTCAAATCTAGGACCAAGCAAAGAAGATGGTCAAAAAAGCGAAATGGCTGAAGAACGTAAAGAAGGCTTTTAGTCACGATTTAAAGGTACCAAAATTAAAATTACTTCGTGATGATTATTATTCTAGTCAGACACTATTCATGTTCTGTTGTCTTTATCATCAAATCCTTACATTTTGATTACAGAAGTTGAAACACCAATCGGCAGAGTGTCAAAACAGTGTGATCTCGTATCCTGTCTTGGTAGCGACATCAAGAAGCTCTCCTCCTCAGTTTGAAGTGAGAGTTGATGAGGTCAACTACGAACATAAGAAGAAGAAGAATCTGACCCCTCCTTCTCCAGATTCCGTGACTGCTACAGATGAACATGTTCATGTAGATTCACCTCCATCTCCTCCTCCTGAGTCTGTTGATCAATCTCTACCTGAAAGGTTTCCAGGAAAGTCAAAGGAAGAAGCATCTTCCATCTTAATCCAAGCTTCTTTTAGGGGCTATTTGGTATGCTTAATCTATTATTCATAAACCCTGTTTTGGCTTGATTAGACCTTAACCTGTATGATTTGTACAATGCCAGGCAAGGAGAGAATCACGTGGGATGAGGGGATTGGCGAGGCTGAAGATATTGATGGAAGGATCTGTTGTGCAACGTCAAGCTGCCAACACACTTAAATGCATGCAGACTCTCAGTCGTGTGCAGTCACAAATCCGATCGAGGAGGATCAGGATGTGTGAAGAGAATCAGGCTCGACATAAGCATCTCCTTCAGAAGCATGCCAAAGAGCTTGGAGGCGGCTTAAAGGTCTCACTTTCTTTTACAACACTTTTGCACTCACTCAATCATATATCTTCTTTTCTTGGTTTAGTCCTAAGAGATGGTTCTTTCTTTCTTTCTTCAGAATGGGGGCAATTGGGATGTTAGCAATCAGTCCAAGGAACAAGTAGAAGCGAGTTTGTTGAGTAAGTATGAGGCTACAATGCGAAGGGAAAGAGCTTTGGCTTATGCATTCACACATCAGGTAACTACTTCCATCTCTACTTCACAAACTCTCTTCTTTGCTGCAAATATGATCATAGACCTATCTAATGCATGTGATCATGTTTTCAGCAAAACTTGAAGAGCAACCAGAGAGGTGCAAACACTATGTTCATGGATCATAGCAACCCGACTTGGGGATGGAGCTGGTTAGAAAGGTGGGTGTCTGACCGACCATGGGAGAGCTCAGAGAAAGAACATAACAACAACGAAAGTCCCTCGGTTAAGACCTCGGCTAACCGTAATTCTCATGGAGGAGAAACAGCAAAATCTTCAAACCGCAAGAAACTCAATAGCTTGACTAAACCTAATACCCCATCATCAACATCCACATCCACAACAAGAAAGATGAGGCCAACTCCATCGTCCATAAAATCCAAGACCACGGACGAAATCAACAAGAGCTCGGAGAAGGAGAAGAACCGTAGGAACAGCAGTGCGAGGTCATCGGTTAGTGACGACGAGGGGCTGGCTAGCTCAACGGCTCGACGAAGCAACATGGTTCCCACAAAGTTATCAGCACGAGGAAAGATCAAGGCCCAGGGATCATCAGGCGTCTCTATGAAAACAGAGGAAAATTTATCGGAGAAAGCACCAGCAAAGAAAAGGCTCTCCTACTCATCAGCTTCTCCTGCGCCAAAACCTAGACGGTCCTCAGCCCCGCCCAAGGTGGGAAACGGCGCTCTCAAGGTGGTTAAAACGCCGTAACAAGCCGGCCGAGGTATATTCTTTTTGGTTATCGTTATACAGTTTTTTGCGCCAAGGATGGTGTTCTGAGAATTTTTTATCAACTACAGTATATGCAATGCAATGTTGGTTACAAGAATGTGTTAACGTACGGTGGTGATTCACTTGTGCAGTGTAAATCTCTTTCTATCATATCTCTCTATTTTGTCTTGTTTCAAAATCTTCGATCGATTTAGATGACTTTTGGATTTGTGGTTACGAAATCGAATACGTTAAAAGAATAATCCAACAGAAAATAATACGAACTCTTCGAAGTTGAAAAAACATTTTTAGAAAAAAATAAAAAACCAAATTGTTGGGAAGTGCTGAAAATAAATTTACCATCAAATATATGCTAGAGAGTAGTAAACTATGTCTTGGCAATCAGGTAATTAACGAAACCCTAACTAATCACAACTTACAAGCTAAGGAATCAACACAGTAAAAACCCCTTGTGCCTCTGAGGTGTTGACAGCTCAGCTTTTGTAAGCTTCCTGGAACTGACACGTCATTTAAATCGTCCAACCAATAGAAACATTCTAAATAATACCAGTCAGCTTCTTTACTTGCCACATCACTCAGTTTCTTTTTCTTTTCTTCAAAACGTCTCTCTCTACTCGCTCAATCTCCGTCGTCTATGTTCTTTGGCAAGCGATTCCGGCAACAGTCTCCAGGTCTCTGCTACTATGTCTTTAAACGAGTAAATTTGCGCAGAAAAAAACCAAAATTGAAGCTTAATCCGAGTCAGGTGGTTTCTTTCCACGGATTTGGATCAGAGAGAGGAGATTTATGGGGGTTAAGAAAATAATTAAAATTCCAGATTTTGAAGTTTATGAACGACTGAGGGTGGAAGGAGAAAACGATTCACCAGCTCGTCCTTATTTTTTATCTGATCCCTCCCTCTCCTTTTGCTCAAAGTCCTCCTTCATTCTTTGAAGAGGACATACCCTGAATTGGATGTGATTGGTGGTAACGTTGTGACGACTAATTAGGCGCAGAATTTGATTCAAGCTGGTGTTGATGGGTTAAGAGTTGGTATGGGATCTGGTTTGATATATACCACAAAAGAGGTTTGTGCAGTTGGTCGTGGACAGGTAAACTGAAAAGCTCTGAATCCTACTAAAGGACACATGTTTAAAACTTGACTTGACTAGAAAACATAATCAAGAAGAAAACCTGCAGCTCACATAGGGATAATGAATAAGACCAGGGAATTTGAGGTTTGCTCTTGGCTATTATCTTATTACAACAATCATGAATACTATGTGTGTTCAATCTTGATTTTTTTATTTTGTTTGTGGCTTTTATGAGTTTTTGAGCTTATTCAAGGAAGCTAATCTCTTTCCTTTTGGGTCTCTGAGTTTTTGTAGCACTTATGAGTCGAAAGTATACAAGATTGCAAAGGAAAGGAACATAACTCTCTTCTGGGTAGGAGAATTGACATGGCAGCAATGCTTGTCAAAGACATGGGATGCCAAAAGATTAATAATTTTCTTGGCCTCAAGTGTAACTCTTGTCAAAAAGGCAAGTCTTTTTTTTTTTATCGTAGAACTATAGTCTCTTTGATTTCTCAGCTGATGATTTCTTTGTATTTCAAAGTTACTCGATTAATTTTCCGAAACCAATCCGATTTTAGAATGGGTCCTTAATCTAATGATATCTCAACTAATTATTTTCTTTGGTTTGTCTTAATGCCGATGGAGATATCCAGTCTTGGCCTCGGGTAATCAAAAGCTATAATGAAGGCTGAAATGCAACGAAAGATCATCTATATGTGTTTTTATATTAACTCTTCTATTGATAGTGCTATGATGAGTTCATGAAAAAATTAGTTTGAATGCTCATCTGATGTTTTTTTGTTTCTCTTTTTTTCTTCTGATTCTTGGTGTGTTTCAATACTCATCTCATGTTTAAATGTTTTAGCTCTATATAATAATGATGTGCTCCAAAAAAATTGAAATATACTATCTGTAAAAAACCTTTAATTTAAACGGGTTCTTTTTTCAACATAGATATATTAATTCAAACACAAGAAAAGATTAATTGACATTCTCCCGCAGCGAAGCGCGGGTATTTACCTAGTAAACTATAAAAGCCTGATATGTACAATGAGAATCCAAAATATACTGAAACAAAAAAAGATTTATTGGATTCCTAAAGTACTGATTAAACAAAACATACGTGTGAATGAATTAATCCTAATAGAAAAAAACCCTAAATAAATATCTTCATGGGCGTTGAGTTGGTGTCGGACTCGGAGGAGTATTGGGAATTACGTGAACGTGATTAATCTTCAAGTTCAACAACAGTGCGGCAGAGAGGGCAAGTCAAACTGGTTTCAAGCCACGGCATGATACAGTCTACATGAAACCTATGCGAACAATTTGGCAGATGTGAAAAGTGATCTCCCGTCGAAAACAGGTCCTCCTTACAAATAGCGCATGTCTCCTCCTCCTCCATCTCGTCAAGTTGATCAATCGACGAGACGACTCTGTGTGGGGTTAATGTAACGTCAAGGGAGATGTTCAACGGCCCTGCAGCAACTTGCTCGGCTTCGGAAGCGATCTTGGCGGATAGAGTATCGCACAAGTTAGGGTCTTGGAGAGTTGAATAGAGGCGAGGATAGATGTTGCGGGGATCAAAGGTGGCGATGCTGTTCAAGCGTAGATTAGGGATTGGGAACGGAGGAGCTATGTTTGATCCCACATGGACGACGTTTCCATCAAGGTTGCGTACGAAAAGCTCCTCGATCTCGCGCGTTAGACTTATCTCCACTGTGTTCGATGCAGATCGAGACTCGCGCGAAACCTTGGCAACAATATCAATCGTAACTTGTACAGTAGATTCTACACTCTTCTGCATGATTGGTTCGAAAAAAAAAAGAATATACTAGACAAGTAAAGAGAGAGAGGACAAGAGAAAGAGAGAATTGAGAAAGAGAGAAAGAGAGTTATTATTAAATACTTGTTTTCTTTTCGGCTAGGTTATCTTTATTTTTCCCTTGTTTTCCTTTTTTTTTGTTTTCTAGAGTGAGTAATCCAACAGAAAATAAACCGGTTCTATTTCATGAAAAAGACTAGATGTAATAACCGAATCAAAACCCTTAAACAAAAAAGGATAAAAACCGAACCAAAATAAAGAGTCATTTACAATTATAGGCACTTTCGAGTTTTTTCTTACACTCAAAGACACTTCTCGCTACTAAGGGACTTTGCAAGGATGTAATGACAGAAAAGCCCTTATTCGTTATGGGATCCGTTTTTAACTGCAAAGGCGACGTTTGGATTTTATTTAATTTACTCTTTACCTTCCCCAAAAGTTACGCCGACTGGAGCGACGACGAAGGTGAAAACCCTAGAATCACCGCCCCTCGCCACCGCCGTTGGGATTTCACCGTTTGGAGAACTCGTCGGACGAAATCACTTCTGAATCGCGTATTAGTCCATTCAAGTATCTCCCCGTGACCGCCTTTTCGTTAATCGACCGGAGGAGTAATCTTAAACTATGGAAGGTATTGTCCGTTTGACTGTTTCCGTTGATACCCTTCCTCCCTTTGGTCCGTTTAACTCTTTCCGTGATAGATTGCTTCTGGTCGTAGTTAGGTTATGTAGTTTTGCTAATAAGTATCGTATGTCGTCCATTGCTTGGTTTACAGGGGGCGAGGATAATCGTCTTCCGGTTAGGTTGTTGAAAACAGACCATTTTCCTAACCGGAGGCTGAACGTGTATGGGAAGCCTGACACCATAGCCTTTGTGAAGCATACGTTGCGGGATTGCCCGGAGGCGTTTGAAAGAATACGGAACTCTCGGTTTGGGAAACTTTGGGATTTTCCCGCCTCTCGGTGTCCGATTTCCTGCAAACTCATCCACGCTTTGCTCTGTCGGCAGCTGTTGTCCAAGAAGCGTTATGAGATGTGGACAGTATTCGGTGGTCAGCCAATGAGGTTCTCTTTGGCGGAATTCGCAAGTGTGATTGGGCTTCACTGCGGCGAGTATCCGGAGGGATACGACCCCGATTGGTATCCGCCTACAACAAAGGGACCAGACAAGTGGTGGAAGAAGTTCATAGGAAATGACTCTCGGAGAACGCTCGGAGACATATCTAAATCTCTTAGGAATGGTGAGGTCGAAGACAGCGAGCAGAAGCTACGTTTGTGTCTAATCCTTCTTGTTGATGGCGTCCTCTGCGTTAGCAGCCAGGTCCACAGGCCAACGCCGAAGTATGTGGCTATGTTGGAGGACATCGATGCGTTCTTGGAGTTCCCATGGGGCAGGGAGTCTTTCATAAAGACAATAGCGACAATGGGCCCGCTGGTTGGGAAGGAAGAAGATCCAGTGGGGACGCTTGTGAAGAACCTTGGGCAGGAGTCGTTTAGACTGCTGGGTTTCCCGCTCGCATTGCAAGTGTGGGCGTTCCAGGCAATCCATGTGCTTTCCAGATATCTCCCCGCATCCGCTACAGATGATACTCTACTCAGCTCAGAGGGAGAGAAGTTCCCGCAACATCCGTCGCTGTCTTATGTAGACGTAATAAACGCCGAGAACCACCCTGATGTAAGAACCTCATCCTTCCCTCTCTATTTCGATATTTTGTTCGGTGTAACGCTTACTAACGCGGTTGTTGTACGGTCGTTGTTTCAGTTATCAGTGACTCCATTCATAGCTCTGGAACCAGAGCCGGGGTATATTGGTTGGGGTGAGTTTGCTGAACAAGAAGTCCAAGATAGGAAGGTCGCGTACCTGCATGAGCTACTCTCCAGAGAGCACAAATTCTGCAAGAGTGAATGGCCTGGTGGCTCTACTGAGTACGAACGGATTGAGCACCAGTACAAGCCGCCACAGGTTGCACACACGAAGCATATTTACAACCGGAAAAAGGGGAAGCGATCTCTTGGCGTCCGTTTTTCTCCTCCTGCTACACGGAAATCTGGTCGACGTAAGAAAAATGTTGTGGAATTAGATAACTCAGCGGGACCTGATGATTTGCTGGAACAGAACAAGTGGCTTTTAGATCAGGTTAAACTCCTGAAGGAGGAACAGTCGAAGCTTGCTGCCCGAACCACGGTACTTGAGCAGAAGAATCTGTTATACAGCGGAGGAATAAGGAGGTTTTCGTCCACGCAGGCGCGTTTCCCTCAGCGAAGGGCGTATCTACGTGACCAAGCCGGGTGGTCGAAGAAACGTGTGCATGTACGCATTCCATCTACGCGTTGCACTCCAGAGCCGTCGTGTGGTGGATCCCAGGGCGTGGAAGAAGATTCTGTTATAAGTCTGAAGGAAGGAGACAAGATCCCAGAACAATGGATGGACGACCCTTTCAATGATGAAGGAGGAATGAAGACGCCAGAACCGCGGGTATAGTTAATTCTGTAGTAAATGTGTCGCAACTTATAAATAAAACCTGGGGTGCAAAAAAGACATGTGTTTTTAAACAAATTATTCCGGTTGGGGAGACTGAAAGAGTTATGGAGGAGGCTGAATTCGTAAGTGTATTCTACTTCATCAAAAACTTTTTGTCGTTCATTTACAGACTAGAAACATAAATGACCGGTTTAGCATTACGAACGAACATGTGTTTTTATGGTGCAGTCGCCGAGTCTTAACCAAGGTGCCGGAAGGAGTGAAGATACGGAGGTGGTAGACAATGTACGTAGTAACTAATACGTACCTTCGGAACGATCATACACTGCTAACACAATGACGTGGTTGCAGGTGGTGAACTCACAAATCACTTCCGGTGATAGAGATGTACAGAAGCATAATGGTGAAGGAAGTCAGTCCGAGAAAACGATAGGAGGCGAAGAAACTACGGCAGAGACAGGTGGTGGGAAGGGGGTGGACTACCGGACGTGGAAGGAGGAGAGCACCGTGCACCAGTTGGACAGTCTAATGTGTTAATGGTTGACGCGGAAAAAGACGACGTCGATTGTGTCAGACCACATATCAGTAAAGCCAAAGGTGCGACCCTTTGTACAGATAGTGAAGTACGCGTAGGAGGTGGAGTGGCCTCTGACGTGGACGAGGTATGTGCTTATAGAATTATTCATGAGATGTCCGCCATACCATTTTCTCTTTACTTGTCTTGATGTTTGGGACGTGCATCGTGTATTCACTGTAGGGCGAAAATGCTGATGATGGGGATATGCATCTTCAATCGCTTATTGACGACATCGTCTCTGAGTCCGCTTCTCCAAAATCCCTCCACATGTTGGATCCGGCAAGCAGCATAGTTATGTCAAGGGTCACTGCCCCGGAAATCGGCGTGCCGTCTATGTATAAGGTTTGGCCCTCTGAAACGTCATCCAGAGAGGCAGCTGAGACGAGTTCCCGTGATTTTGTATTGGTAGAAAATACAAATGAATTTCCGAAGGTACGAACATTGTTCCGGTGCCGTGATGTTTTTTTATGTTAATTGTGTGGTTATTGACATGTGGACTGGAATGTCCTCATAAGACGTGTATGTGTTTTGTGCTGTTTGTTGCTGGATCGGACAAGATGATGTTGTTGATGAGTCTGTGGAGGAGAATGGCCGGAAGTGTACACGTCCTGTCGTGTCCAGTAAAGAAGTTTTGTCTGAGCCAGATGTCGTGGACGGGGAGACTTGTGTAAAGAAGAGTGTGGACGTTCGAGAGAACCCTGCCACAGAGAAGATGGACACACCGGATAGCTCGGGCGTGGATAATCCAGCTGTACAGGCAATGGTGGACGATCTGGATACAACTAATATTGCGGTGGTTTGTCGATATCCTTCTGTGTAGAAGCGTTTTTTGCTTATCTTTGTAATTTAAGTTGCCACGTTATGGAAAACAGATGGTCAGCGACTCCTCTCCACCGCCACGACGAACTGCACACTCTCCATCCGAGCTAGAGACTGCACTGGCAAACACACTAACTGCCTCTGAGCGACATGGACCTAACGTGCTTTTCCCGGAAGTGGATGGTCAAGCATTTGCGCTCTTCGAGAAAACACTCTCGGTGGACAGAGAATTGTATGAGTACCAACTTCTTCTCATGTCTTTGGTATTAGCTGTGTGATTGCTAACATGTCGATTTATTTCAAATTGTAGTTTGCACATCTCTCAGGACATGTATGATCTTGAGAACTCTTTCTTCCTTGATCTAGCGAGAAGCCAGGAATGGGTGTCCACAAAGGTACACACTTATGGATATTGTTTATTAGTTTCGATCTGCTGATATATATATAGTTGTTGATGGAGTAGTTATATTGTAGCATATGGAGGTCTTGATGACGTATCTAGGAACGAAACACGCGCACGTTTTGGCTCAAGAAAACTCCTCTTTTGCATCCCCATGGTTTGTAAACCACTTGCAAGGGAAGTACCGGAAGTTCAAAGCGGCTATAAACAAGAATATGGTGCGATGGGATGAAGCAATAACTAGCTACGTTATGTCACCAGGGAGGACGTGGCTGAAAGAGGTACACACCGTATACTCGCCCATGATTTGGAACGACGTCCATTGGGTTGGTTTGGCGATACATCTAGGGTCGCGGTATGTGGAGGTCCTGGATCCTTTCCCATCTCTCTATGCTGATCGAAGGGTGGACACATTCATGGCGCTTGTGGTGGAGATGCTTCCTCAGCTAATAAGTAGGTTTTGTCCTGCGGCTACACAAATCAACACATCTTTCAGTTATGCTTGGATGTCGAAAATTTATGAGAACAAGCGTGCTGGCGACTGCGGACCGGTGGCGGTGAAATTCATGGAGATGCATGCGTACGACGACCCCTCGCCTCACCTCGCTGGAGTTACAGATGCTATGGTTGATGGTTTCCGCAAGACGTGGGCGATGGAGTTATACAGGGATTTGGTTGTCCCAATCTACTTCCCGCCAGCGTCGCCCTAGTGACTAACTAAACTCTTCTGTTTTTACTATGATGCGAAACCCTCTATAATGTCTTTTTGTGGGTTGCATACATTACATATTCGGCGAGAGAAGAGTAACATATAACCAAGGTTACTCTTCAGTATTTACTTGTGACGGTGCGAAACCCTGCAATGTTAAACTTAAGTGGGTTGCATCTACTAAACTAGCGGCATTGGAAACATTTGTTAAAAGCTTTTGTTTGTCCAACTGAAGTAGGTAAAAATATTTTGGTTTGTTATGTAATCCTAGTAGGAGTGGATGAGATGGTCTGGATGGATTGAGTTATGATAAAGGGTTTTGTTAGTAATAACGCAACAAAACTTTTAACAAAATACATAATTGAAGCCATTATTTGTCCACATATGTGTGGGTGGATATAACCATGTGGACGAAAGATTTCCACAAAATATGTTCGGTAGATATGGGACCTCGTTCTAGGTGCCGTGGATGGGCCACGTGGAAGTATGAAACTGCGGAAGTGAAAAGATAGTTCGGGGCTTTATAGTGGCCCAAAGTCGTCGGTGTGGATGTGACCATGTGCCTTCGCGCGGCTGGATAAGATATAAACTTCCCAATTCACCAAAGTAACAGCAACCGTTGTTTTTCCGCCATACCATTGAGAGTATCCATTAGTAGATGTATTTTTGGATGACGCGTGTCTGGGTAGATAGAAACTGTGTAAAGGGGCGTGGATATGAGTTGTGGTCGTAACCGGATAGCCAAACTGTGTACATAAACCCTAGAGGGAAAAAACATAAAAATTGTGAACTCGATCCACTTATTGTAAAATTGATTTGGTTGTGTAGAACAATGAGCAATTTGTCTGGCGCATCGAGTGGTTCATCGAATAGCCGTTGGAGGGGAAGGGTTGTGGGAGTGCCAAGAAAAAGATGTTGGTGTGGGGAACCAATCCTGCAGCTGATATCGAGATCGGAGTCAAATCCGTTCCGGTGATACTATCGTTGTGGTTTTGCTGTGGCTACAAAGGTAATTGCTAAAATTCCTTTTCCTTGGTAATGGACAGTTCCCAGTCCTTGTAGTCTTACATAGGTTTTGGTTGAAAATGAATGTAGCTTGCAAACGATAATCACACTTTCAAGTGGGTTGATGAGGCTCACTTAAACGAGATTGAAATGCTGAAGGATAAAATTGCAAGGATGGAGGAAAAGCTAGAAGAGGCAACAACTGAGAGGAAGGAGTGTGATATAATCGAGATAGTGGAGAGGACGTATCGAGAATCATCATCTAACATGAGGAAAATGGTGATTGCTGCAGGCGTAGGATGCGTGTTCATTGTTGGAGTAAGTAGACTTGTGGGTTGAAGTTGTGAGTTCTGTTATGATGTAATATTTTGCTGGATGTGTTTAATTATGCTAGCAACAGTGATGTTTGGAAATGTGATGTTTTTAGTAGCTTTCTCGGACGGGGTTCAGGAAAATCGATATATTTTGGAAGGTGATGTTCTTAGATGTTATAACAGTGGATTGTGTATGGTGGCTACGGGTTTAGATGTGATGATTTTTTATGCTTTCTCCGATTGGTTTGTTGTGTGTTCGGGATAAATGATATATTTGGGAAGGTGAAGTTCTATCGCTTCCCCGGTTTATAGTGGATGGCCTATTGTGTCGTTTAATTTTGAATAAACTCTAAACGTAAAAAAAAACACGGGGGTCACATTGATGTTTGCTCGTGTACGAGTTTGTCTTTACGTGGCCACATATGGTGGGACAATATCATGGATGTTTGTTCGTGGACGAGTTTGTATGTTCTCTTGACGTTCTCGTAAATGTTAATTCGCTATTTCTCGGAGTTAGCAAGAACACATTTGTATCTAGTACACTTTGCTTCGTCCACATTCTGAGCTATTAACCATAGGATGAAAGATGGACGACGGTAAAACGTGCGTCATTCTTATATACGTAAACCCGAAAAGGAATTAAAGTGTTGCGGTGTACGAGAATAAATGAAAAAGGAGAGTCGCACATATGGTGTCCATGTCGTCTCGTACAGAATAACTCGCACAAACTAGAACTAGAGCTGGGTTAAATCTAGACTACCTCAGGGAGGCCGTAAGAGCCATGAGACTTTCGAGGAGACCACACGCCACAGCCAGCTTGAAGTGAAAGGCAGATTTGGCTTCACGTTTCCTGGCTGATTCTTTTAGCCGTTCAATCTCGCTTGCAAGTTGGTCGATACGTTGACCTTCCTGTTTAATGTAGATTAGCTGGGTGTCTAAGTCCGCAAGATCATCCTTTAACTCGGCCAACTCCTCGACAACTGCTTCGTCCCACCACGTTCTGAGGTGTGGCTCTCCGTCCTAGGAAATTAGTAATTAGTGTATGACCCCAATTACAGTCGAGGGTTAGCCATAGGGAAAATTTTACTTACCATAGTGTTACCCGTGCATACGTATAGTTTTTTTCCATCGTGTGAAGAGCGAAGAGCAACATCGCATCCACATCTACATTTTTCGGGAATGCCCACACGTCGATAACCTAGATAGCTCCTAAAGGTGGCAGGATAAGAGATGGATGAGTCGTTGTTGTTACTGTAGTCCATGTTTGACCTGTTTGCCCACCAAATATAGACATGTATAAGGAAAGTACGTAATCTGACGGATGGGAAGGAAGTAAGTCCTCCGAGATAACTACCAGTTGTCATAACTGGAAATCTGTACACTGCTAATGATCCATTGGAACGGGAAAATCCGCCAACAAGAAAAGCGCCACATGCTTCGACCCATAACCTAACGACCACTAGTAATCAAGGTGGATCGAAACAGAGATATAAACTGACCTGATTTGGACAAATAGAGATCTTGGCGTCCTTGGAGACAAATTTTCCCTCCTAAGTTTTCGATGTGAAACTATGAACCCTTTTCCGTTTCCTGGCTCATAAAGGGTAGTGTGGCAGCAATATCGATAATGTTTGGGTGTCCTGATTTGTCCGAGTGTCTCTCTGCTGACCGACAATCACACTTGCGTCCATGTGTGAAAGACCATGTGGCTATGACCCCAAAATTCCCTCATACTTTCCAGTTTCCTGACTCATGAAAGGGAGTGTGGCAGCAAAATCGAGAATGTTGGGTGTCCTGAGTTGTCCGACAGTCTTTCTTCTGTCCGGCGAACACACTTGCGTCCATGTGTCACAGTCCACGTCGTTATTTTCAATAGACGAAACGCATCGTTTTATTTTCCGTCATAGGGGTCCGGATATATGTTGAGCCAAAAGTGTCGGCGGATCTTAGTTTGAGGAGAAGGACTGAAATTGGCGCTTCAAAGGTTAAACACCGGAGCCGGTATTAGCAATATATCTGCTTCGAGTCCAGGTTCGTTTTCTTAACAACAGTTGCATGTTGTTGTTCCCCTTTTACAATTCGTCGTAATTGCGAATGCGCATACACGTGGGAACTGTATGGTTGATAGATATTGACATCTGGAAATATTGGTATAACGAATTCTGTCTTCTGTATAGAGAATGGCTTTCTGTCGCAACAGTGTTTACACCAGCGATTATGAGGGCATCGAACGCAACACCAACTTTAGAACATACCTTGGCAAGCGAGGGGTTGGGATTCCGAAAAGATGTCGATGTGGTGGGGACGTTGATCTTCGCACCGCTCATGATGGTAGGAAATTCTTCGAGTGCACGAATGACACCATGGTGAGGGTATTTGGCTTGTGATTGTGATCAAACTAATCATATTGTTCAATGGTGGGGCTGACCATAACATCAAGGGATGTATTTGTGTTGGTAGGATGGTCAGGCACACGTTAAAACGTGGTGGGAGGAAGCTATCACCGAGCAGTTTGATGAGCTTTACAACGAGCTGGATGAAAACAAGTTTTTTAGGTGTTTCAAACCCTTAATCCCTGCTCATATCATTGCAGCATAGTTTAAGGTTATCAATCCACTTTGAAGAGTGATTGGGACAAGAAAGAAAGCAAGAAACTTTTCAAGTCAAGAGCAAAAAGATTTGGTTTTGTGAAATCCGAAATGAACAGTAAAAATGCAGAAATAAAGGCAATAAACAGAGTTTGAAGCAATTTGAAATCAAGAACTAAGCTAGAAACCAAATTGAATCAAGCAAGTAGATGAATTCAAAGGAAGAAAGAGGTCTTAGGATGGGGTAATTGATTAGAGAATCTTAGAGGTTGATAATGATGTTTAGACAAACAATCCTAGGAAGAGAATTCATTAACCCATTTTCATGGTGAAAATCACAAAGCAAGAACCCAATCCAAGAGCTAACTTTCATTAGTGGAAAGGATTCAAGCCAGCAATAAGCAACAATTCTCCTAAACCAATAAGCTCTCTAAACATCACTATCATGAGCTAGAGAAGCAAATCTCCTTGTTGGTTGGTCCAACATTTCTCCAAACACTTTTGATGTGGAAAATGTTTAAAACCTAGATCTAAATTATCATTAGAGACCTAGCATTAAGAAAACCCAACAAGGAAGGATTGTATTGCGAAATTTAACCTCTAAACATCAAAATCAAACTCTAAAATCCCTAATCTATCCCATCCTCTAAGACCAAAGGGGTTTACTCACTAATCATGCTTAGAACACCAAATCCCATGGGGAAAGGGTCCTAATCATGATTAGAGAGATAAGATAAGAAGATTGTAGAAGGAAAGAACTTGATTTGATTAAAATACGAAGTTGGGATCTAACAAATTGTTTAGAACCCTAAAGAGGCTGTTTTTGGTGTTCTTGAAAGGGAAATTACAAATGCCTAAAATAATAGGACTTTAATCTATTTATACTTGGAGACTCCAAAACCCTTGGTCAACTCATTTAGCTTGACTTCTTCCTTCCCAAATGGTCTTGGCTCCAAACTTTGCGTTTTGGTCTTCATTTGGTACAGCTGGATAGTGGTCAAAGCTCAGTCAACGCGGGTCAACTCGTCCTCTGGTCAACACTCAGCTGAAAGGCGAGAAACAGGTTTCTGAACCTGTTTGACATCCTGGTTGCGAACTCCTGAGTATTCTTTTAATCTCCAACCTCCCATACTAGCTCCAAAACTCCTCAAAAGCACCTAAATACAACTCCAAATGCAGAATGTATGCAATGTATGCTCTAAATGGTATGAATGTATACAATGGAAGGTAATTGACCTAAAATGAGTGAAATGAATGTCAAGAACATGCAAATATGTATGAAATTATATGTCTAAATGATGTAAAATATGAGTACATCAACACCCCCAAACTTATCACTTGCTTGCCCTCAAGCAAGAAGAACAAATCTGAGAGTATTGGATTAGGAGAAAGACTCAGATTCCAAGGTGCAATGAGAAGAAATGAGTCAATGTCCTAGTTGAGAATTATAAGATGCAAGTGAGTTTGCTTTACTTCAAAAACTTTAGCCACATTCATCAAGCAGCAAAATGACACTAGACCCAATCTACACATGCATTCATATCACTCTCACCTTTTGACATTCAATTAATACAAACCATGAATCAAAACTCATGCACTTCAAGATTTGCTCATTTGGTTAAGGGTTTAGGCTTTTTAGGAGATATGAAAGGTTTCTCCAAAGTGGTTTACTCATTTTTAAAACAGGGATCTCTCAAAGATGGATTGAGCTTGGGCAAAATGCTAAGAGTCAAGTCCAAGGATGATACAAAGCTGAACTTCCATCTACCCAAAACAGAGCTGAGAACCCAAAGATACCCACTGAAATCCTAGCTACCCTTTTCTTCAAGAAAATGAAACTCAAATGAACCCAAATGACACTCTCTCTTTTCTTTCTTTTCTGGACCTTGAGAGGGTTATAAACTAGGACTTAAGGGAGGATAAACTTTCTTTTCAAAACAGAGGATAGACTTTTTTGAACTTTTGTGGCTTAAGGCTTTTCTTTTCTAGGCTTTGATTTTCTCTTTTTTTTTTTCTTGCCTAACTTTGACAACTTCACACAGCCACCACTCTTTCTTTTCTTTTCTTTTCTCCCATCCTTTCTCTTTTTTACTTTCTGCCACTCTCAAGGTCTCTTTTAAACTCACTCTCTTCCTCACAAACTCCCAACCACCCAATTCCTAAGCCTAGTCTAGCTCAAAAACGTGAGCTAGTTCTACATGGAAGCTCAAACTTTGTCGGTCAAGACTCAACACTTTTTGCTTAGCTCAATCTGGAAAAAGGCCTCACATCTCTCAGTAAAAGCTTTGGCTTGAAAGAAAGGTTTGGTACAGGGAGGGTTATCAAACAAACTTGGACACACAAAGAAGGATGAAAATTGGATAAAGAGTGTCCAAGGGAAACAAAATCCATGAGCAGAAACTTTTAATGCATGAGAATGATATTTAAGTGATCAAATTAGGTTCCAATAGATAAGGTGAGAGTTCAATTCAAAGCAATGATTCAACCAAGTCATGATGTCAAAATGTGCATTCCAAATGTGGTTCTATCTTAACTTCAAACTCACTCAATATGCACCAAATAATTAACAACTAGGCCATTGAAAACTTTTCGAAAAATCACACCTTTTAATGGAAATGATCAATATTTTTTTTCTTATGCAAGTGCAAGTAACTACATGAGATGCATCTAGACTCAATCCTAATGTGCAAATGCAAATGATGCTTTTCTTTTTGTGTTATGCAATGTTTTGAAAATTTTCATTTTTTTGGTTTTCTCTATGACATAGATGCAATGCACATGATGCATGAGACTCAAGGATGAAAATCGAAAATAAGAAAACAGAACACAAGGTCAAATGCTATGGACCTCTCCCCCAAACTTAAACTGCACAGTCCCTTGTGCAAATAAAAGCTTGAAGAAGAGACCCATCAAACAAAATGCAAAAACAGAGAAGACTAAAAATGCATAGTATTTACAATGTGTTGGAGTTGTACCTCTCAGGTACTCATGGAGGAGGAGGATGATTGATTTTCAAGGCTGTAAGATGCGTTGCTGTACTCCAGAGCTGGTGACCTCAAAGATTTAACATGGCTCAGACGGGAATCGGGTTGTTCTGAGGAGCAAACCTGTTTGAAATCCTGATTGCGACCATTCTGTCAAGTTTTTGCAATCTGATTTTTAGACAATCAACTCAGGTCTCTCAAGAACATCCCAATTCCTCATCCAAACAAGCTGCACCAAACCTACAACACAAAAGCACCAAAGGCAAACACAAAAAAAAAAAAATTGAAAAGCTTAAGTATATACAAAAGGATAAGCATGGGACTTCCTCCCAAGTGAGCTTGTTTTAGGTCCCAAGCTTGACCTTCTTTAACTCTTGCTAGTGAATGGTGAAGGGCTGCACGCCTTTGACAGTGGTATCCATGGCATGAGCAAGAGAACCGTGGGGTTTGACTGGATCACCTGGGGATGGATCAAGAGAGTGAGGATGTGGTTTCTCCATCTTTTTCTTTCTCTTAAGAGTGGCCTCTCTGCCTCTACACACCTCCTCCTTCTGAGCACGTCCCATGTGCTCACTAAACATATCAATGAGACACTCTCCATCCATAATATCTTCTCCACACTCATCAAGCACATGCACAACTTTGTCACACTCAACCTTGTCCTTCTTGAAGCTGGAATTGGCAATGGTTATGGTTCCACAATAACTTGTTGAAGAAACCTTCATTGGGTATGCAACCTTGCTGTTGATATTGTGGAGAGTGACCAGCTTCTTGTGAAAGTCAATTGAGGCTCCAACAGTTGTAAGGAATGGTGTTCCAAGGATCAATGGTACCTTCCTTATCTCCATACATACCCAAAACAGTCAGATCAGTTGGAACCTTGCAGTCTCCTATCTTTAAAGGGTAATCCTTGATTAGACCAAGTGGAGACTTAGAAGAGGCATCTCCAAACATGATAGAAGATGTAGGAGGCGTCATGCTCTTTATACCCAGCTGCTTAACCATGGCAAGTGATATCAGATTCACACTTGCTCCAGAATCCACAAGAGCATCATCAAGCTTCAAATCTCCAAGGGTGCAAGGCAATGTGAACTTCCCTTGTTTCTCAAGCTTGGGAATGGAGGTTGGCGTGATATGGGAAGGATCTGGGGGTGTAGAGAGCTCAAGAAGCGCTGCCACTCTCTCTTTGTTCACAAGAACATCTTAATCAGCTCTATTTGGAGGTGAGCTTCTTGCATATTGCCTATGTTGGGTAGATGAACACCAATATTGCTCATATCATTCCTGAATGTGGAGACTACCTTCTTTTGAGCTTTAGTGAGAACTCTCTCAGGAAATGGAAGCTCTGGTTTGTAAAGAGGAGGCTCAACCTTGATGGTTTCTTCTCTTGCAACAATCTTTGAGGCTTCCTCCTTGGCATTTCGTTTTTCAGCTTGAGAAGTCTCTCATTCACTGAAATCTCAACACTTGTACCATGAAGGAGCCTGTAAAGTTCTTCTATAGCTCTCTCATTCTCTTCAGTCTCAGCCACACCATCTTTAGTAGAGAAAACTGCATGACAATACTCCTTTGTACTTGATGATGAAGAACCACCAACTTTAGCTTCCAAGGTAAGCACTTTGGTAGTTAGAGACTCAAACTTGTTGTTTAGATCATTGTATGAGCAATCAACCTTATTGTGAATCTCAACCATCCTCTTGTTCAACTCTAAGGCACCATTAGCTTGTCCTTGGATTATCTGTTGCAATATGGTCTTCATCTCTGCCTCTTGACCAGAATTGTGGCTTCCTTGAGCTTGAGTAGACCCAAGATCTTGTGGAGAAAAACCGTGCTTGTAATAGACCCATTGGTTTCCATCTTGGCTGTCCACATAGTTGAGCTTTTTCTCTTGAATCTCCTCACCATTAATGAAGTGCACTTGCTTTTTCTGACCTGACAGTAGCTTGTCAAGCTTATCATTGAGAGTCTTGAGCTCCTTCTTGTGATTCTCTTCTTGAGCAAGACTGCCTCTCTCAGCTCTGTCACAATCTTCACCATAGCTTCCATCACTAGTGGCAACGTTCTCAACTAAAATCAATCCAGCATCAACATCTTTACCCATGAAGTAACCATTGCTTGCTGAATCAAGATGCATTCTGTATTTGGGTAATGTTCCTCTGTACAAGGTACTCAGTAGATTCTCTTTAGAGAAACCATGGTGAGGACACTGCATCTGGTAGCCCTTGAAGCGCTCATATGCCTCACAGAAAGTTTCTCCATGCATTTGCGTGAAACCGGAGATATCATTGCGCAGTTGTGCTGTTCTTGAGGTTGGAAAGAACTTAGCCAAGAAAGATTGCTTGCACTGTGCCCAAGTGGTGACTGATCCAGCAGGCAGAGATGCTTCCCAAGTGAGAGCTTTATCCTCTAGAGAGAAAGGGAAAAGCCTTAACTTGAAACCATCTTCAGAAACTCCATTGAGTTGCTGCAAAGAACAAATTCTGTCAAACTTGTCAAGATGCTTCAATGGATCCTCATCCTTCATGCCATGAAACACTGAACTCTCCACCAATGAGATCAAGCTGGTCTTGATTTCAAAGTTAAAGGGGACTGGTGGTGGGGTGATTCCGTGGCGGTTGACATGAGAAGTCGGAGTGTCAGCAGCTCCGATTTGTCGTGGAGGGTGTGGAGGATGAACTGGATATCCTCCATGCTGCTGGTCAGCTCCCAATGGAAACTCTGGGACCCCTGGTGGGTCTGCCATGCTCACAAGCTATGGTACATTGTTCTCTAGCTGCTGTTCAGCTCTCAGTTGCTTCTCAGCTCTATCTCTGCCTTGCTTTGACTGTTTCTCTTGTTCAGCTCTTTGAAAATCACTTGTCCAGAACAGAATGTCTTGACCACGTGATCTTGTGTTCATAAACCTGCAAAACCACAAAGAAACTTCAAGAACGGATGAGCAGCAAGCGAAATATGAAATAAAAACTTGATCTTGAAAAATTTCTAAATCGAAAATGTCCAATCAAATCTCTCCAAATGGCAACGGCGCCAGTTTGAAAACAAGATTTTTAGGTGTTTCAAACCCTTAATCCCTGCTCATATCATTGCAGCATAGTTTAAGGTTATCAATCCACTTTGAAGAGTGATTGGGACAAGAAAGAAAGCAAGAAACTTTTCAAGTCAAGAGCAAAAAGATTTGGTTTTGTGAAATTCGAAATGAACAGTAAAAATGGAGAAATAAAGGCAATAAACAGAGTTTGAAGCAATTTGAAATCAAGAACTAAGCTAGAAACCAAATTGAATCAAGCAAGTAGATGAATTCAAAGGAAGAAAGAGGTCTTAGGATGGGGTAATTGATTAGAGAATCTTAGAGGTTGATAGTGATGTTTAGACAAACAATCCTAGGAAGAGAATTCATGAAGCAAGAACCCAATCCAAGAGCTAACTTTCATTAGTGGAAAGGATCCAAGCCAGCAATAAGCAACAATTCTCCTAAACCAATAAGCTCTCTAAACAGTCATTATCATGAGCTAGAGAAGCAAATCTCCTTGTTGGTTGGTCCAACATTTCTCCAAACACTTTTGATGTGGAAAATGTTTAAAACCTAGATCTAAATTATCAATAGAGACCTAGCATTAAGAAAATCCAACAAGGAAGGATTGTAAAACGAAATTAAACCTCTAAACATCAAGATTAAACTCTAAAATCCCTAATCTATCCCATCCTCTAAGACCAAAGGGGTTTACTCACTAATCATGCTTAGAACACCAAATCCCATGGGGAAAGGGTCCTAATCATGATTAGAGAGATAAGATAAGAAGATTGTAGAAGGAAAGAACTTGATTTGATTAAAATAGAAGTTGGGATCTAACAAATTGTTTAGAACCCTAAAGAGGCTGTTTTTGGTGTTCTTGAAAGGGGAAATTACAAAGTGCCTAAAATAATAAGACTTTAAAGTATTTATACTTGGAGACTCCAAAACCCTTGGTCAACTCATTTAGCTTGACTTCTTCCTTCCCCAAATGGTCTTGGCTCCAAACTTTGCGTTTTGGTCTTCATTTGGTACAGCTGGATAGTGGTCAAAGCTCAGTCAACGCGGGTCAACTCGTCCTCTTGGTCAACACTCAGCTGAAAGGCGAGAAACAGGTTTCTGAACCTGTTTGACATCCTGGTTGCGAACTCCTGAGTATTCTTTTAATCTCCAACCTCCCATACTAGCTCCAAACTCCTCAAAAGCACCTAAATGCAACTCCAAATGCAGAATGTATGCAATGTATGCTCTAAATGGTATGAATGTATACAATGGAAGGTAATTGACCTAAAATGAGTGAAATGAATGTCAAGAACATGCAAATATGTATGAAATTATATGTCTAAATGATGTAAAATATGAGTACATCAACACCCCCAAACTTATCACTTGCTTGCCCTCAAGCAAGAAGAACAAATCTGAGAGTATTGGATTAGGAGAAAGACTCAGATCCCAAGGTGCAATGAGAAGAAATGAGGTCAATGTCCTAGTTGAGAATTATAAGATGCAAAGTGAGTTTGCTTTACTTCAAAAACTTTAGCCACATCATCATAGCAGCAAAATGACACTAGACCCAATCTACACATGCATTCATATCACTCTCACCTTTTGACATTCAATTAATACAAACCATGAATCAAAACTCATGCACTTCAAGATTTGCTCATTTGGTTAAGGGTTTAGGCTTTTTAGGAGATATGAAAGGTTTCTTCCAAAGTGGTTTACTCATTTTTAAAACAGGGATCTCTCAAAGATGGATTGAGCTTGGGCAAAATGCTAAGAGTCAAGTCCAAGGATGATACAAAGCTGAACTTCCATCTACCCAAAACAGAGCTGAGAACCCAAAGATACCCACTGAAATCCTAGCTACCCTTTTCTTCAAGAAAATGAAACTCAAATGAACCCAAATGACACTCTCTCTTTTCTTTCTTTTCTGGACCTTGAGAGGGTTATAAACTAGGACTTAAGGGAAGATAAACTTTCTTTTCAAAACAGAGGATAGACTTTTTTGAACTTTTGTGGCTTAAGGCTTTTCTTTTCTAGGCTTTGATTTTCTCTTTTTTTTTTTCTTGCCTAACTTTGACAACTTCACTACAGCCACCACTCTTTTTAACTTTTCTTTTCCTTTTCTCCCATCCTCTCTCTTTTACTTTCTGCCACTCTCAAGGTCTCTTTTAAACTCACTCTCTTCCTCACAAACTCCCAACCAANGAAGGTTTCAAAGTGAAAATGAAGAACAAACATGCATTTATTAATAACTGTAGACTAATCAAAGAAGTTTTGGTTTATTAACCCGTAAGGAATATCTCGATTTGCCATCAACTTAGTGAAAGATGGGTCCTCTAACTCTGGAATGAAAGGAGGCTTCTTCGTTTCAGCAATGTTTTTATATTTCGGCTCACTGTTTGGCCAAAACCAAATGATCTCATGCTGCACCACACTTGGATAAACAGCTACACACGCTTGCTTGAATGTGTGGACCTACAATTTTAATTCAATCATTGATCCAATAAAGACTCACTTTTTGACTTTATCTTCTTAAACCCAGATTAAATATTCTCGAAAGAAATGAGATTTTTAGATACCGGAGGTCCATCAGGAGGTGCTTGAGGTATGAGCTTGCAATCGCCGGATCCGTTGAAGCACCATCCATGGTACACACACTGTAGCCTCCCCTTTTGATCGATCCTTCCATCGGATAACGGAGCAAGACGATGAGGACACGTGTCGTCCATCACTTTCCATTGGCTCTCGTTTCGGTCCCACCAAATCACCAAATCAATCCCCATAACTTTCTTCGCGTGTGGAACCTTCTTGTCCAGATCGCAAATTGGCATAACCGGGTACCAATTAGCGTACCAATCGAACTTATCCGACTCGGATTCGTCTCGGGTTTCGGATTCCGGCGGAGAATTCGTCGGGGTGGCGATTGATGGTGATGGTGATGTTGATACTGCGGTTTTAAATCCATCGGATATAGGCTTCCGGGATTTGGAGATACAGGAAAGTAGAGAAATGGGTTTCGGATTGGAGAAGGAGCTTGTGAATCGAGGTTTAGTAGTGAGAGTTCGCGGCAAAGGAACAGCGAAAGCTGCAAGAGCAGCTTCCATGGTGGACTATTTGGTTGGTGTGTGGGTGGTGGTGAGAGAGTCTACGAGAGAAGGAGGAAATTGAACGGAGCTTGTTTTATTCAGTGATAAGTTTTAATCCAACGGTTCAGATTATTTAGTTTATACTTTACGTACACCGCGAAATTCACATGCAACGATGAGAAGTTGGAGCACGATATGTTTGAATCTCGATCGGATATGATTCACAACTCTCGGTATGATGTCTTGTTTTATTTTTAACATCCCGTGGAGTCTTCACGACTTCACCGTCACTTTTGGACTTTTGGATGTCACGCAACTGGCTGATTTAGAGTTATCAAAGAGATGGTAAAGGTCAATGTAGTTTTTTTTTTGACGGCAAGTTCAATGTAGTTTATATAGTTATATCATTAGTTTCATATTGCCCATTTTACAAGTACGAGAATATGACATCTATCAATTTCTTTAGTACCCCAAAATTTGCTACATTTAATAAAGACATGACCATAGGACTTTATTACTACAAAATTTAGCATGTCCATCAATTTCTTTAACATAGACACCAAAATGCTAGATATATTTATTGCACATTTTACATGTACGAGAATATGTCATCTATCAGTTTTTATTTATTTTTAATTGTGTGTAGAGCTGATACCAGAAACTGGTGGATAATGTGTTAAAAAAAAACATATACACCAAATGATCAAAAACCCAACTATGAGATCATACAGAAAATGCTCATGAGAGACCATAAATTAATTTCTACATGTGTTATGTACACCAATATCCATTTTTCAAACAAGAGCATGGTTGTAGTCATGGTACCGGAATGTCTTGTAGATGAAGTGTGATAGCCACTTCGAAGCCGCAAAACTTAAAACAGCCGCCACAACCACCACGATCCTTGCCACATTAGACAACGTGATTTGCTTCGCCACGGCCATAACTCCGATCAAAGCAACCGATCCGATTTGCAAGACCACCTCAAGCGCATTCAGATATTTGTAAGCTTTCTTGCAGCTGCTGCAGTTCTCAACATGCGACCAATACCTGAAACAAATTACACCACGACCAATAACTCCGATGATTCTTGTTTTTCTCTATTACATTTATCAGACATCTCAGAAAGAAGATAAACTAACCTGTCCAAGAGCTGTTCTCGAGGAGGCGTAGGAGGAAGAAGAGACGGATCAAACTTTCCTCTCCAATCGACATGAGCACCACCATGCTTGTTTAACCATCTCCTGAATGTAACTACAAGAGCGTCTGATTTTGTTGGGACAAAGCAAACTTTTTGCCAGTTTTCAGGACCCCTCTCCAGTATCTTCCGCTCCTGTACAAAATCCAAAACGAGATCGGTACATTGATCACAACAAGGTGTGTGGATAGTTAAGAAAGACCTGTAATAACCTCGACATGAAGCAAGTGCAGATCTGAGTCTAGAATCTTGTTTCCACCAATGTGGAACACCCATCTAGGCACAATCTTATCGATCATTACGCCAAAATTTCTCGGGAACGTCCATATAAGCCTACTGCGACCTGGACTGACCGGAATGCATATAAAGATCAATGACAATTTGCGCTTTGACGATGCCGCCTGGATATTGCAAGAACCATATGGTTAAGGAAACGATAGAAATGTGAGCCAAAACAAGAAAATCCAGATAGATACATGTTTTTGCACCTTGACCTTATCTTCAGAGTCGTTTTCCTGATCTGGTAGAGGCTCTGTGGAGGAGCGATACACGCATGGTGCCATAAAATTAGAATAACCCAATTCTTGTTTTGCAGAGAACCCTTCCTTGTCTACTCTTTTTACTGTGATTTCAAGTGGGCTTCCTCCTTCTCTGTCAACTCTCACTGCAAGAAAGTCTTGAGGGTTTGGTAACATAATCAAGATTCAAAAAACTGTTGGAACTGCAGAAGTTATTATTTGCCTTTTGGTTTCGCATTCCTCATTAGTCCATAATGTGCATAGGGAACATGAGCCGGGTCCATAAGGTTTTCCATCAATACATCATACCTGAAACATTTCACACGTTTCCAAAGTGAAAAACTGAAAATGAAGAACAAACATGTATTTATGATAGAGAGAAGTAGGAATTTTGGTTATAAGTTATAACCCGTAAGGAATATCTCGATTCGCCATCAACTTAGTGAACGATGGATCTTCTAACTCTGGGATGTAAGGAGGCTTCTTCGTTTCAGCAATGTTTTTATATTTCGGATCACTGTTTGGCCAAAACCAAATGATCTCATGCTGCACAACACTTGGGTACACAGCTACACAAGCTTGCTTGAATGTGTGGACCTACAATTTGCATTTATCATCAAAGTAATCAATGGTCCAACCATTTACACAAAAAAGACTCACTTTTTGACTTTATAATATAATCTTGAAAGAAGTGAGATTTTATTATACCGGAGGTCCATCAGGAGGTGCTTGAGGTATGAGCTTGCAATCGCCGGATCCGTTGAAGCACCATCCATGGTACACACACTGTAACCTCCCCTTCTGATCAATCCTTCCATCTGACAAGGGAGCAAGACGGTGAGGACACGTGTCGTCCATCACTCTCCATTGGCCCTCGTTCCTGTCCCACCAAATCACCAAATCAATCCCCATAACTTTCTTCCCGTGTGGAACTTTTTTGTCCAGATCGCAGATTGGCATCACCGGGTACCAATTAGCGTACCAATCGAACTTATCCGACCCGGGATCGGCTCGGGTTTCAGATTCCGGCGGAGAATCCGTCGGGGTGGCGATTGATGATGATGATACTGCGGTTTTAAATCCATTGGATATCAGCTTCCGGGGTTTGGAGATAAGGGAAAGTGGAGAAATTGGTGTTGGACTGGAGAAGTAACTTCTGAATCGGGATTTGGTTTTGAGGATTCGCGGCGATAATGGAACAGCGAATGCTGCAAGAGCAGCAGCTTCCATGGCGGAATATTTGGTTGGTGTGTGGTGGTGTGACGACTACGAGAGAGAGAAGGAAATTGAAATTGAAATTGAGCAGAGCTTGTTTTATTCATGTATTGATAATTTTAATCCAACGGTTGAGATTAATAGTTTTACGCATACGTTATTCCACATGCAAGTATGAAATATGCAACGATGACAAGATGGAGGACGCAGGCAGAGTTCGGACACAATTTGGCCAGGAAAGCTTAATTTATTAAAAAATATGTTTAATCATTCGATCAACATTATTGATACGATCTCATACCACAATCTTCGGACCCACGTTTGTCCATGGATTATTCACCAACAGTCCAACTCTTTTGACATTATCTGGGTGATTTGGAGTTATCAAAGAGAGAGAGATAAATAATCGAAGACATTTTCTGGTTAAATGAACAGAGAGAGAATCGGGTTAATTGGAGAAGAGTGAAAAGTGTCGACTTGTAGAAAACGGCGTCGCTTTGCTCGAACCATAAGTAAGGAAGCAAAAGAAAAAGCGAGGGCACAAGAGTCATTTCGCGGGATCCCCACCACCGGGCGCATCAGTTTCTTTTCATTTCCCACGTCTGGAATTGAAAATATCGGGAGAAGATAAACAAACTCGATTTCCCCTTTCAGATCAAAAATCTAAGAACAAGATTTGTTTTACATATAGCTTTCGGAGAGATCTGGATAGTAGGATTTGTAGAAGGAAACTGGATTTGGTACCAGTCTTTGGGTTTCCTTCTTCATCAAAGCTATAGAGGGAATTTGCGAGCTTTTTGCTCATTCTGGTAGGAATTGGGCTCCGATTTTCTCTGCTACGGAGGAATTATGGCGGAGGTTGTTCTGCACATATACGATGTGACGAACAGTGGATCGGAAAAGACTAACAACACCATTCTTCAGATCAACAGATTCTTCAAAGACGGGATTGGTCTTGGCGGCATATTCCACAGCGCCATTCAGGTACTCCACTGCCTCGATCTTCGTATCTAGTGCATATATGGCGATGATGTCTCTGTTTGGTTATGTGTACGTGAGTGGATTTGATTTGTGTGTATGTATGTATGTATGTATGAGAGAACATTTGGTATTTGATTGCATCGTGTTGCAAATGATGCGTTCTGGATTTTCCTGGATACTTTTTGTTTGATCTGTGAGATTCTACAGGTCTCTGTGAGCTTAAGTTTGCTTTTTTATCCACTCAGAGTCTCGGTTTACTTCGTAATCTTGGAAAGTTTTAATTGGATAATGGGTGCATAAATTCCTGAACGTCTCTGGAGTCTTTTGTCATATTCAATGATGGCTCACGTTTACTTTATTGATCTTTGACCTACGCAAAAGTAATTTATTTGAAAGACCACTTTCACATTTGAGTCATGACAATTTGGTGAGCTTAGAGGCCTCTGAAGAAAGCCACAGTTAATTGTATCGTGCTGAATTGTCAAAACTACCAGCAGTGTGACTATATGTCTTAGGCTTGTGTATATGTGACATTTGTTTTCATGGATTTTGTTATCTTTTTTCGTGTAGATGACTAATTGATTTGCAGGGAAGAGTAATTGACTGGCTTCTCTTATGAATTTTGTGCAGGTGTATGGAAATGATGAATGGTCTTTTGGGTACTGTGAACAAGGAACTGGTGTATTCAGCTGTCCTAGTAGCAAAAATCCGATGTACACATACCGTGAGAAAATTGTACTTGGGAAGACAGATTGCACAATCTTCATGGTAAATCAAATATTCCGTGAGCTCAGCAGGGAATGGCCAGGACACACTTATGATTTGTTGTCCAAAAATTGCAATCACTTCTGTGATATACTCTGTGAAAAGCTTGGTGTGCCAAAGCTCCCAGGTAAAGCCATTATTTGGGAATCCATACTGAAAACAAGTATGTGTGTGTGTGTGATGGTTTTCAAGGCTTATGTGACTGCTTGGGTTCTGTCTCTTAACAGGCTGGGTGAATCGCTTTGCTCATGCTGGTGACACAGCCTTGGAAGTGGCAGGGAACACAGCAATGCGGGTGGGTTCTCTCTCTCGTTTTTACTTCTCTGTAGCCTAAATGCAACTTCATGGGTGTTTAAGTCTTGTAAACTGGGATTTTGCAGATTAAGCAAGCCAAAACTGAACTGATGTCAGCTAGTAAAGTGGCTTATCGCTTCCTTTCGAATGTTACCTCAAACGTAACCAATGGCTCAAATTGCTCTCCACAACGCCCTGGAACTCTCAACAGCTCAGAGAATGGGAACTTGAGAATGCAAGGCACTTGGCTAAAAGGGATGCTTAACACTGCCAAACCGTCCACAAGTACAGAGAGAGAGAACAAAGATGAAGATGCAAATCATGCAATCAAGCAGAAACCAAGCCGTGACTCTGAGGTTCTACTGTTTCAGTAGTAACCGTAACCGATCCACCATAATGCATTCGGTTTGCTGTATATCCATCACTTTGTATCACCATTGGAACCCATTTCTCTCTATTTTGTTCTTTTCAGCAGAACGTGTGATTTTGTTAAGAATATATTTTCCAACACATTGTTACTAGCAAGTCTCAGCATATGTTTTGCATACCGTTCAAAGTATTTGTTAAGAAGATGAGACAAGAAGACTGAAACAAGTAATTATGGATACAACTCAAAATGCGTCTGCATTATTAGTATTACAGGAAAGAAAACAGAGAATAAAGGTCTAACGTCAAGAGAATAAACAGAGCATTCCAAATCGAAGCAAGCAAAAGGATTTTCTGAAACAAACAACAATTCAATACTTAGACCATAACAAATGCCTTCTGTAGCAGCCAAATTTGGGAATCATAGCGCATTTGTCATCCCCGGAACATGCCACTGAACACAAAGGCGTCACCGTCAGTGTTCTCAGATATCTTTAGCGACGAGACAGCCTGAGCAGCAATCAAATCCGCAGATATTCCCATGTTGCTATCCCAAGCATCCCTCAAGAACGGGGACCAACTACGCTCTCCTAGCCCATAACCGATCCCTTGCACCGCATAGCTACCACAGCTTTGGCGAGGAACATAGTTTCTTCTATCACCTCTAAAGAGATCCATTGTGAAACCCTTTTCTTGGCCAAGCATGACCCGAGATGAATCATCAGAATCTTCGCCCAGTAGGACGTGCAGAGCTACAGCCTCTGCAATCGCAGCTCCTTCTTCATCTAACCTTTGTTGTTCTTCCAGTTTCTTTTGCTTCTTCTTCTCCAGCTCAGCTCGAATAGCTGCAGAAGTAGCCAGAGCTTTCTCGAGACGTCTCTTCTTCTTCTCAGCTTGTTTAATACGATCAAATTCATCTTTACCAGGTTTCTTCTTCATTTTCCTAGTGACTGGCTGAGCTTGCTTGCACACAGTGTGATGATCCATACTTGCTTTGCTATAATTACTATAACTCTAACTATAATAACTGCACCTAAACTCGATGATGTCGCAGATGATCTCAAGTACTACACCCACTCAGGTATATAGGAATACCTCATAGTGCGGACGATACAATCCCAAAAAGAAACAACTGGAGACAACTGAAGCGATACGTTGTAAGAATTTGCAGATTTGTCGTTTGAGGTCATTCGTCCTACTTTCCCATACCCCTTAGACTCGCCCATTTTCTGCAATTGAAAACTACTTTATTAGTTTGAGTTGCATACGAGAAACACAGAACCCTAACATCGATCTAAATGAAACAACATGATTACAGGCTAAAACAGCAGCATTCAAACGTGTAGATGCAAAATATGCAGCTAAAACAACACAATTGTTATAGGCACATAAAAAGACACCAAGCGAAATAAGTAAAAATCAAATCAGCCAAAACTAATTTCCCAGAGAAAGACTAAAACTTTCAAAAAGGGAATCAACAGAAAGAGTCAATTCTACGGCAAACTTCATGACCTTCCTTAATAAACAAGCGAAGAGTCAATTAGTCGAATAGATCAATTTACACAACAGCCAGAAACCAGATCTGCCTCAGAAACTCAAGTCACATCAAAATTTAACAAGAACACAGCAGAATTCATCGGATTCAATCGACTAATTAGGTTTGAACCCATAAGAAATCACTAAATCGGATGAACAAATGAAGCTGATCGAAAAAAATTCCAGAACGAAGTCAATTCGGTTCAAATAAAAATCAACGGAAACTGAAGATAAACAGAGCAAAATGACGATGAAATTCGATCCAAACCTCTACAAAATGGCATAGAAGCAGCTGCTTCAAATAACTCCTCTGATTTAATCGGATAATGCAGAGAGAAACGAAAACGCTGAAACAAGCTGCTGTCTGGATGCAGATGAAAGTATAGAGAGAGAGAGAGAGAAAAAAAAATAGAAAATCAGAGAGTCGAACGAAAGAGAAGAATATAACAGATCGATCTTATTAAAAGAGACGAAGAAGAGAGAGAAGAGCAGAAGAGTACAAAGAAGGAAACGTAGTCCGTCTCTTTTTCATCCAATTAATAAAGACCACGTGTCGAATGATCTTTGACTTTATCTGCAGTGTAAGTTTTCAATTGGGACTTTTAGACTTGGCCGGTGCGACTTCGTCTAATCGGACCCAGCACTCGTATCAGGGCCATTCACAGCCGTTGGATTCGATATGGGCTTCCTTCTTTTCGCTGGCTAAAGATTATTACGATATCTACACTAGGTGAAAGCCCGCGCTCGAATGGTGATGTTGAAAGTGTATTTAACTTTTTAATTTATCTTGGTTGTCATGTTAGTGTGTTTGTTTAAAGTCATGTAGATTTTATTTTTTGCACTTATCCTATTGCTTACAATATGTGTAAGAAATTATCTATACAGTGGATAAATTATCTTTCTCTATTGTTAATGAATAATTGTCTATCTCTCTATCTTATATTGCTGTTAACTCATATCTTATACAATACTTTATTTTAGTATGTTGGGTTTTTAACTCATATTGAAAGACATATTATTCTCTATCATCGGTTCTCTATAAATTTTGCGTCAAATTGGAGTTTTCGAGTGGAGAAATAAAAATCTTTATGATAAGTTCTTATTTTTGGAATTGTTGTAATGACATCCACCAGGTTCATAAACATCCACCAAGTTCACTTTCTATTTTTACACATAGTTCATAAATTTTTCTATTTTGTATGTGTTTTGTAACTTTTGTTGATGAAACATACAATTATTTGTTGAGTGAATGAAATTTTACATTTTTTTTTATTCAATAACAATACATCAAACATTAAATACATGTCGTTGGAGGGGTAATGTAAAAAACTGACACAGTTCATGACCATGTACACATTCCTACAGCTTCTTCTCTCTTTTATTTCAATATTCAAAGGCTAATACCCTGCTTTGGAGGAGAAGAACCGGCTGATTCCTATGGAGGGTTTCCATGGTGTTGGATTTCCTGATGAACCTAACCTTGAGAGCCTTGAACCCACTTGTGATGGTGATACCATCACATCGCTAGTCTCTGAGTCAGAAGTGCATTTTGGAGATTCCTTAAACCTAGGGACCTCGTTAACCCAATTGTGAGGTGAATATCCTCTATCTACGGCGTTTTTCTTGGTGCCTAGTTCATCCTCAGAGCAGGATTCACTATGTCTATGTGGTGGCCCTATTTGTTCAGGTTGTGGCCGTAATGACTTCAGCTGTTTCCCCACAGGAATATGGTTTGTTGACATCTGCTAACTTCTCTGCTGCTGATGCTAAATCTCTCTCCTGTACAATATTTTCATGTTAGTTAGATTTTTTGTTTCCTCTCTTTCTCTTTAACTCAAATCTTCAAAGTTGTAAGGATTCAGGAATCAATGCATGTAGAGCCTATAGATGTGTATGCACCTAAAGTGATTGCATGTAGTATTTTGAACAATGGACATTGAATAAGAGGAGGATTATGAGCGATACTTGGATCAACAATCTAGAGGTATGAATTGAAATGCAGAAAAACAGTGAAGATTACATCAGAAATTCTGAAATATAAGAAGCAAAAACATGATTAGCACTGAAATAAGATTTAGAAAAGCATTGCGGAAACATTACCTATTTGGTCCTGATATCACCTTCTTCCTCATCCTCAGCAACCAAAGAAGTGTTTCTGTTTCTAGAAAAAAACGTAAAAAGTAAGTAAACATCCAGGCTACTCAACACTAATCTGGATCATTAAGTGGGAACAATCAAGCTCTGCTCACCGTTGAATATGTTCTTCGAGCTCATGACACAGCACAATGGCTTCTTGGTGGTTGCGTTTTTCATCTCCGAGCTCATTCTCCAAATTCGGTACCTTTTCCTTAAGATGGTTCACATCGATCTCCAAATCAGCTGCAGGTGTTTCAAGTGATCTATATGACTCAATCATACATCTGAGCTCTGTATCCGCCACGCTATTTGACCTCCGAGTATAATCCAACTGTGATCTAATGTCAGCCAACAGCTGCTCAGATTCTTGTAACTGAAAGAATCCAGCTACTCGTCAATATCCATTGCCATCTTTTCTTTCTCTGATTTTAGTTCTTATATTTCCTATAGTTTGGAGTCTGATTCATACTCCACAACTCTGTTTTCATCACTTAGGACCTATGGGTCGTTGTGGACACATCCATTTAAAGGTTATAAGCCAAAAATGTAAGATTCAGTTAGGTAGACGTTCGAGTACATGAACCAGCTACGCCAGCTGGTAGAAACAAACAAAAACATCTCTTTTTGAAAATAAGCAAGAACACCTGGTATTTTAAAAGTGTAAACCACCTGGAGTTGTGAATTCCACTTTTCCAATAGTCAAAAACTTGAAAGTCATAAAAACCCAATCGAATATGCTGCAACCTGCAAAATTTACAAAGGCATTAGAGCATTTACAGTTACAACCAACCCAATCTATGAAAAAACAGAAGATCGTCATCTTGACTCTTTCTCTAAACTCAAAATTGAATATTAATAAAATTTGCCACTATTCACAACTTCAAATTTAAGGAAGAGATTCATAAAAGCAGGCATATATTCATAAACTATCAATTTTTTCTTGATACTGAAAAACATATTAGAACAACATACCTTCACTTCAATCGATTTTTAGACCCACTCTTTCTTTCTGAACAAAACACAATAATAAACCATTTGCTGAATAGGAGACATAAATGTGAGAATTCATTCCATTTCGTAGACTACATGAAGGCTAGAGTCATACGAATATTAGGAACAATCAAATGAGTTACGAACCTGTGTAGAGTTTAGGAGCCGGGACAACCAGGTCTTAACTTCATTATATTCCCAATATATCCAACAATGCAAGAGAAACCAGACACATCAACGTGAAGCCATGCTCCCAATGCTACATCGTCCCCGGTAATGACCTTAGTTCCGACCATATATTTCTTGTATCAATCACCATCTCAATTGCAAGTGAGAAATAACATACCAATCGATTTAGAGAAAGTGGATAGCAGAGCAAAGCATAACACAAACAATTATCTCTTAACTACTCAGGAAAACAAATTCAGAGTGGGAACAAATGACCGGATTACCTCTGAGTGGATCTCCATACCCATAAGCACGTTCCTGGTTTGACAGAGGAAGAATGAGCTTTAGATGCCATCGGAAAATTTCGGAACTGCTTCAGGACGAAGATGAGCTGCAAAGTTAAGATGCATCTCATGGCTGGGAATTTTGTGGGTTTTATAGGATCCCAAAGAGAGGATTCCGGTTACAGGTCCCATAAATTCAAAAGAGAAAGTGGACATTGAAGAGGAGTAACCGATGAGAGAGGAATCGACTCAAGGTGGAAGAAGAAGAGTTTGAAGAAGAAAAAGACGACGCCCACGAAGAAGATGAATCAATTCACGGATTGAGTTTATGGGCTAAGAGATATATGACCTCACAACAAATGACTGAGGCCCAATTCGTTTTTTTAATTTTTTCTTTTACTGAAAGAGGTGACGTGGCAGCAGCGTATGAGAGAAGAAAAAGTGCTGAGTTGGATGCCTTGAGAGGCCCCAGGCACCTCCTTTAAAGTATTATAGATTTTTATCATAAAAGTTTTGGAATTTTGCTATGGGACACCCTCTATTGTACAAGTGTCATGTTTAGCTTACATATACAATAAAAGCTTCAACATTTTCCTTATAAAAAAATTCGGGGTTAATTTGCATCCAAAGCTATCAATTCTGACATCAGCTTCTGTACTGTTAAGATTTTACCATTCAGTCAACCACCAAGATGAAACTCGAATGTAGTTTGATAATACAACAACCATAATAATATAACGGTCATGACTCATGAACAACCGTTCACTATTGTAGTTCGATAATGTTCACTTGTCTTTATAAAAAATCTATAGAAAGATCAATTAACCATTTTATGACTCCATTTAACGGTCATGAACAACCGTTCTTGATTATGGTCTTATTCAGTGACCATGACTTGCTTTATCCGCAGCCGCTCATGAGCACACATAACAATCATCATTGCTAAATCCGTAAAAGGCCAAATTTCTTTAGTAGTAGCCATTTTTGGACAGTGGTTATCACAGCGAACAATCACAACTTGCTTTACTTGAATGTTAACTCGAATTCATATTATAATTTTTTTGGATCGAAAGTGATGGCTCAGTCAAAAAAGATACTACAATCCCATTTTGGACACCTCAAAGTCATCCATGGACCATTGGATTGATCTTAGTCCATCCAGATCCAACACCCTTATCTTTTGTGACCAAGACTATAAATAAGTCATCACCTTGTTTAGTCCACTAGCCCTGGGCACGGAGCAAATACTAGGCAAAAAACAGGTATCCGTGATCCGATCCGATCCGTCCGGATATTTGATTTTCTGATCCGATCCGATCCGAAAATTTTCGGATATCCGAAAATCCGGATATTCGTAACTTTGTTTAATATCCGCGGATTATCCGCTCCGATCCGTTTGATCCGGATATCCGTAACTCTGTTTAATATCCGTGAATTATCCACTCCGTAAATATTTTAAAAAATATTTGTATTTAAAAAATTTCAGAAAAATCAATTTTTAACACAAAAATATAATTTTAATTAAAAAACTATTAGTAGTTATTTTGTTTTAATTTTTTTTAGTGTTTAAATAATCAATTTAATGAATATAGATTTATAAAATTTAGATATAAACATAACAATCATCCAATTTATATATGTAATTTTATATATATAGATATATCTATATGTATAACGGAGCGGATCGGATATCCGGCTTTTAAAATTTCAGTATTTGTGATTTGCTCCGGTTTTAACGGATATTAATTTTTAGTATTTGCTTTGCTTTGTAAAATTACGGTTATCCGGATTTTTCGGATCGAATCGGAACGGATAACGGATCGAAGCAAATATAACGGATAATTTGCCCAGGCCTATAGTCCACTAATATCCTTACTACTAGTTGAGCAATTTTCCGAACCAACGACTTAGTGAAGATTAAATTTTATATAACGACTCGATTTATTCGGATTAAACATTTTGAGTAGTGGAATTGTGCGTGTATGCGAGTCCTAGACGGAAAATAAAAAACTGTTATCCGGTTGAGTGTGTGCAAGTAAAGAAAGATGCAAAAATCTGCAAGAGAAGCGAGGGCAAAAGAGTCATTTCGTGAGATTCCCACCACCACCGCCGCACCAGTTTCTTCATTTCCTACGCCTGAAATTGAGAAATCGGGAGAAGATAGATAAAAATTAATTATGCTTTAAAGAGTCACTTTGTGGAGATCTAGTAGTTGGATTCGTTGAGCGGAAGTGGATTTGGTACGATCCATTGAGTTTCCTTCTACACCGAAGCTACACAGAGAATCTGCTCATTTTGGTAGGAATTAGGGTTCGAGGTTTTCTGGGAAAGAGGAAATCATGGCGGAGGTTGTTCTCCACATATACGATGTGACGAACAGTGGATCAGAGAAGACTAACAACACCATTCTCCAGATCAATAGGTTCTTCAAAGACGGGATCGGTCTCGGCGGCATATTCCACAGCGCCATTCAGGTACTCCACTGCCTCCGATCTTCGTCTCTACTCTATCAATCTACATTTCCTCATGTATCGATGATGTCTCTGCTTGATTTTAAACTTAGAGTAGACTTTGATTGTGTGAGAAAATGGAGAATTTGACGGTATGATATGCAAACGATGCGTTGAGGAATCAGAATTTTTCGTGCTACTTTTTGTTTGATCTGCGAGGTTCTTAGTTTGATAGATTATGGTCCTGCAGGTATCTGTAAGATCCGGAACTTTCCATATCTCTCCACTCAGGAATTTTTGAATTTTTTCTTAAAAAGTCTCTCGAGAGACTCGTCAAAATCAATGATGTCTCACGTTTACTTCGTTGATCTTTGACCTGGGGAAAAAGATCAAAGTCCACTTTCCCATTTGACTCTTGACAATTAGGTGAAACTTAGAAAGTAGGTCTGTGCAAAATCAACAAAAACTTGACTTTTGCTTTCCATGTTTGTGGTCATGACTCTATGCCTTTTAGATGACTTATTGACTTGCAGGGAAGAGTAATTGACTGGCTTCTCTTATGAATCTGTGTAGGTATATGGAGATGATGAATGGTCTTATGGGTATTGTGAACAAGGAACTGGTGTATTCAGCTGTCCTAGTAGCAAGAATCCGATGTACACATATCGTGAGAAAATTGTTCTTGGGAAGACAGATTGCACAATCTTCATGGTAAATCAGATATTGCGTGAGCTCAGCAGGGAATGGCCGGGGCACACTTATGATTTGCTGTCCAAAAACTGCAATCACTTCTGCGATTTACTCTGTGAAAGGCTTGGTGTGGCAAAGCTCCCAGGTAAAGTCATTATTTGGGAACCTGTATTGTGTGTGTGTTGGTTTGCAAGGCTTATGTGACTTTTTGGGCTCTGTCTCTTAATAGGTTGGGTGAATCGGTTTGCCCATGCTGGTGATACAGCCTTAGAAGTAGCAGGAACCACAGCGATGCGGGTGGGTTTTCTCTCGTTTTTGCTTTTTATCTGCAACCGAAATGCAACATATTGGATGTTTAATTCTTGCAAACTGGGATTTTGCAGATCAAGCAAGCCAAAACTGAACTGGTATCAGCTAGTAAAGTGGCTTATCGCTTCCTCTCGAATGTTACCTCAAACGTAACCAATGGCACAAACGGCTCTCCACAACGGCCTGGAACACTCAACAATACAGAGAATGGGAACTTGAGATTGCAAGGAAGTTGGTTCAAAGGGTTACTAAACACTGCAAAACCCTCCACAAGTAGAGAGATGGGGAACAAAGACGAAGATGCAAATCAAGCAACCACCAATCAGCAAAAGAACCAAAACCGTGACTCTGTACCGATCAACCATAGTGCATTTGATTAACTCTGTATATCCATCGGTCCAAAAAGTTGCACATGGCGTGTTGTCCTCATCTGTATCCATTACTTTTGTACCATCATTGGAACCCATCTTTATTTCTTTCAACAGAAGGTGTGTGATTTTGTGAAGAAGATTCAACATTTTCAAACCGCTTTAAGTATTTTGCAAGGAAATGTGATAGAATCCATTACAAATGAGGAGATTCAAAAGCCAGAACGCATTTTGCATTGTTACAAATTAAGAAAGCAGAAGATAACATATGTTCAACTATCAAAGAGAAAGAACAACGATTTTTGACACAAGAATGGCTTGTCTAGTTACGAAAATTTTAGTAACCGAAATTTGGCACCATGACAATTTTCATCCTCGGAACATTCTATCGAAGACAAAAGGGTTCCTGTCAGTGTTATCAGATATCTTTAGCGACGAAACAGCCTGAGCAGCAATCAAATCCGCAGATATTCTCATGTTGTTATCCCAAGCACCCTTCATGAATGGGTTATACGGTAATGGCACTGACCAGTAACTATCTCCTAGTTCATAACCGTTTGGCACAAATCCATTCCCTTGAACCGCATAGCTGCCACAGCTTTGGCGAGGAACGTAGCTGGCTCTCTCACCTCTAAAGAGATCCATTGTGAAACCGTTTTCTTGGCCAAGCATGACTCGAGATGAATCATCAGAATCTTCGCCCAGTAGGACGTGCAGAGCTACAGCCTCTGCAATAGCAGCTCCTTCTTCATCCAACCTTTGTTGTTCTTCCAGTTTCTTCTGCTTCTTCTTCTCCAGCTCAGCTCGAATAGCTGCAGAAGTAGCTAGAGCTTTCTCGAGACGTCTCTTCTTCTTCTCAGCTAGTTTGGTACGATCGAACTCATATTTCTTCTTCACTTTCTTAACCACCGGCTCAGCTTGTTTGCACACCATGTGATCCATAATTGCTTTGTTGTAATTCTATAATTCTAACTAAATAACCAAACTAAACTCGCTGCTGTCGTAGAGGATTCTCAAGAACTACACCCACTCAGGTATATAGGAATACCTCATCGTTCGGACAATACAATCCCAAAAAGAAACAACTGGAGATAGCTGAAGAGAGACGTTGTAAGAATGTGCAGATTTGTCGTTTGAGATCATTCGTGCTACTCTCCCATACCCCTTAGACTCGCCCATTTTCTGCAATTGAAAACTACTTTATTAGTTTGAGTTGCATAGGAGAAACATATAAGCCTATGCATAACATCAATCATAGTTTTAGGCCAAAACAATATCATCTAAACTTTAAATTACACGAACCCAGCAGAGAAAGAGCAAATGGCCACATGATTTGAGTAACAACCAACTCTTGTTCAAGGGACTTTAAAAGGAAGATACATCACACAAACTAAAGCCTGATCCTTATGATGAATATTGAAATCCTAATTGCCAAGAGTACCAACAAACTTCCAAAAACTAGTATAAAAGAATCTGCGCATACAAAGAGCATGCACGGAAAGAGTAAATTCTTAACGTCAATTAGATCAAATCACAGTAAGGGATACAAATAATGGATCAAAGTACAAGCAATCAAGCAATATAAACAAGATCTGCCTTAGAAACTCATGTCGGATCAAAATTCAATCTTCAATTTTGGTTTTTATCTATCTATAAGCCTTAATTCAGAGGAACAAAATCAAGTCGACTTTTAAGCCAATTCGATTGAAAAGATGTACGGAAATTGAAGGTAAAACAGAGTAACAAGATGAGGAGATTCGATCCATACCTCTAGATAATGGCATAGAAGCTGAAACCTCAAGGAAATCGCCTTAGATTATAATCGGATAATTCACACAGAGGGCGATGTAATTTGTAATCTGGATCCAGAAGAAAGAACAGAGTCGAGAGAGATGATGAAATTACCAACGAGAAACGTAGACCGTCTTGTAATCATCCAGTGATATTAGGCCACGTGGCGGGTGATGTCTAAAAGGCAAATTCTACAATGATATTCGGACAAAACCGGTGTAACCGTGCAAACCTCGTCTGTCGATGTTTCCTTAGTAACAGAGCTATTAACAGCCGTTAGATTCAATCTGGCTTTTTGTTCGAACGGCTGGGATTTCGGTTCAAACTTTGGTAATGTCACCCTAGAAAAAAAAAGCTTAGAAATTCATCCAAATAATGAAGAATTGTTAATGTAACGAAAGAATTGATAGTGAACTGAGGTTGATGTTGAATTCGTAGCTTTGCTAGATTTTATGAAATCATTGGTCCATTTTCTCAAATCTTCAAAGAATTCTCAAGTAGTCAAGTTACATAATTTTTTTCAAAAAAAACAACTCTTCACTCTTTAGAACAATGTCTTTGATAGTGCGTAAGATTTTTTTGGGACCTAAAGCAACTTTTCAGTGGATTTCTCAAGCTTAGGTGTTTCTAAGACACGTAGCAAAATTGATCACCTGAATTAGTTAGTTGTCGATTACGAAATGGACATTAACAAAACGCGTGAGTTTTTTTATACTTATCGTATTGGGATAGTCAAACATCGTCATTTTGGTTACCTTTTAACATAATAATGGTCATTTAGGTTGGTGGAGTGGCCACAAGGCCTAGCATTCGTCCACGAATCAATCTTGACTTTACAGAAAATAATATAAAGCAAAATCTTTATAACAAAATGTATGATGCTTGGATTGGTTTAGTGCGTTGGGTTATGTTGGAGCTTCTTCGTCAAAAGCGTACCCAACTTCCTATTTGTGCTAATATAAGGTATTATCGACTTTTCTATTGCACTTTTGTGTCATTGTCGAATTATGCCTTCACGCCACCTCATACTCTCCCACTTTTCACCATCTCAATTATAGATAATCGCAATTCTTTTTTCCTTATCTCTAGGGATATAATTGGATAGTGTCGTTAGAGTGTACATAATAACTTCCACTTAAGAGTCGGTGAGCATGGGGGAAATATTGTGATGTACCCACTAAGTGAAATGAAAGTGAGTTAGTTATAATGGACAAGCTTGGCACGTAACACGTATCCATATCTTTACCTTTAAAAGTCATATCCCTTTTATGATCTCACCCGCAAAGTTATTTTAATACAGAACTCGAGTGGCTCATATTTGTAATGGCTTGTTAATATATAGTATTTGATATGGCAAACTATTTGTATAGTTGATGAAAGCTTTTCACTGTACAAGTAGCTCGGATGAACCGGTTTAAGCACTCTAAAATCTATCATAGATCTTAGTTTTTTTTCTTACGGTAACATTTTGAAGAAATGTCAAGTATTTCTTTTAACGGTTTAGATTTTGCATGTTGAGCAAGTCCTAACTAGTTATCTAATATAGATAAGAGCGACCNGTCTTCTTTCTCGTTTGTTGTTCTTCACACCTTTATTCGCATCTTCGGATGCTACACTGGTTCCAGTGCCTTGCTTTAAAAGCTCTGAGCTTTCACCTAAGATAGCCTTTGCCTGCTCCTGATGCTCTTGTTGAATTTCAAAAGGCTGTGAGATAGAAGACAAGGATTTGACAGCGGATGATAGCTCAGTATGAGAAACTATATTCGATATGTCAGGGGAAACTAAAACGGAAAACACACCGGCAAATGATATAACGAATACTGCAGTGTGTCATTTAAATCTCGTTATGCATTTCTTAACAACTAAAACGAAGAGAAGCCTCGAAACCAAAAATTAGGCCAAAAATCACTTTTCATATAATTCATTATATACAGCTTAAGCATCAGACTTCTACTTTCTGGGTAATTGCTAAATAATTGCAGTTTACACAGATTTTGAAGAGAACCTGAAAATTATGCAAGCGCTCATACATCCGGCTCTCTATCAAACAAAAACCCAATCTCTGCCACTTGGGAACACACACGAAGCGGAAACGAAGCAGGAATACGATTTTACTAGCCAAATTTTGAATTGATTTCATAACCGTCAAATTACCGACTCGAATCCTCTCCGAAATTACTCACTGAGCAAACGAACCCTAGATAATGCATCAAATTAAGGTATCGAGCAGATTAAGAAGGAAGAACTTACCATAGATTCAAGGAGAGTGTGAGTCTGCTGCAGATCGTCTGATTGATAATTGGGAGGAGGAAGAGGATTCGACAAGGATTTCAGCGTACGAGGAAACAACGACAGACCTGAGTAAGCATGTAAGGGGTCCTCCTCTAAATTTGAGCTCCGGCTCAGATCAGCCATCTAAAATACCGGAAAATTCTCGGCCGATTGGACTTCAGTTAGACGCCGAGAGAGATCGAGAAAGAGAGAGAGAGAGCGAGAGAGAGAGAGACAGAGTGGTTTGGGTTTTGAAAATTGAAAATTTGGGTAAAGCGGGATTCGGTATCAAATGTATCAATTAATAAAAGTTTTAGGGTAAAATATAGGCGGGACGGGAAAAAACACTGGACGAGAGTGACGACAAAAAGATGAAGAAGAAGAGGATAAAAATAAGACAATTATAAAAACGTGAACGGCAGGATTCGAACCTGCGCGGGCAAAGCCCACATGATTTCTAGTCATGCCCGATAACCACTCCGGCACGTCCACTGCTTTGAACTTTCAACTATCAAAACTAATGATATAAGGTACAGACCAATTTCAAACCGGAAACACGATTCGGTTTGATATGGCCATAATTTTATAAACCTTTTTCATGCTCTTAACACGATTAAGTTTGATCTGGCCATAGTTTAGTTTTGAGTTTTTGACGTCGCTCAGCGATTTTTCAACAAGAGATATTTTATTAAATGACACTTTCTTTTATAACAAAAGAGACTTTTATAGATAAAAGCTCAAACTCCATCAATGGAGCAAGAGTTTACACGCATGACGCAACAGAGATGATTTAGCTAAGCTATCAGCTGAAACATTACTTAAACGGGGGATAAAAGAAAAACATAGAGTAGTATTACATTTCTTGAACAAAATAAGCAAGAAATTAACAACAAGCATGATCCATCATGTTTATCCGCGGATACGCGTTCCATTGGGTGTAATATATACCCGAAGGAGGCTGATACATAACGCCATAGACATACAGCAACACAGCGCTGCAATTATAAGATCAAGAAGCACATATCGGATGAAGCTGAAAGCAAGGAATGCCACACTTAACCTGCAAGAAGATAAATGAAATAATAAACGTTAATTATATTAGCTAGAGAAGTGGATTATGTTTTTAATTAGGAGATATAATTGTAGAATTTGTTTACCAGAAGAGTGGACTAGTATGATCTAGAGATGAGTAGTTGCTAACAAAAAACCATAAGAACACCACAGACCAACCCAGGAAGAAAATATCAATAATCATCCTCAAAATTTTCGTCACCGAGCAGGTGCTGCAAAAACCATTAAAACCATTAACGCTTTTGGTTTCTAATAATGCGTTATGAAAAAAAAAAAAAAACATAGTTTGTTGTGAAATGAGAGAATGAAGGTTGTCTTATTCTATGAGGGAAGAGCTTTTTATATAGAGCACATAGTAGGGTTCCAAGGGAAATCAACATTGGGGAGAAGTGGGCCTAATGGACATCCACCTATGGAACTAATGGGCATCCACTTACCCATAACACTCCCCCTTGGATGTCCATTATACAAAAATATATTCTAAATACATAAGGTGCTGCCTCGTTAAAACCTTTACTAGGAAAACCCTAAGGAAAAACCTTAGCTAAGGAAAAAGAGTGCAGCGCATAATTACTCCCCCTCATGAGAACACCCGTCTAAATGTTTGAGACGACATAATCCAACAAGATGAACTAACTCCTTGAAAGTAGTCGCTGGAAACTCCTTGTTTAAAGAAATCTTCAAAATCTTCACTTGAATAATCTTTAGAATGTTGATATCGCCATTCTTCGTCAGTGCATGGATGTAGTTGATGATTCATCTTGAATCATTCTCTTTGTTTCATTTGACCTCATAAATAAATGACAAAGACTTTGGAAAAGGAGATAGACTATCATCTTTAGACTTCCTTTAGATGTTTTCTCATTTGTGTGTTCTTTGTTGCCTCATTAAAACCTTTCATGGAAAAACCCAATGGGATAAAAACCATGATAAGGAAAAAGAGTACAACCACACATATCATCATATATCTTCCCTTTGGAAGCATCTTCTTCAAGAGATGCATTCCAATAATCAATGCCAACTTTTGGAGATTACTATGAGTATAACCTCAGTTAATAAACTCATATGATTATCTTATAATCTTCTAGGTCATTTAAACTTCTAGTCTATGATATTTTTTATAAGTGTATTCTTCAATATACTTCTATTATAAGTAATTATTTCTTGGTCTATATTTGGACTTCGGGCCAAACTTCCCTTCTACATAAATTCTTGTGAACATATATCTTGTATATATAAGTTATCTCATGCTCATTTTGCTTATCTTTGAAAGAGACCAACACATTTCTCAAACATAATTTAAAGTATGATACTTCAAGACCAAATGTGAGCATTCTTTATGTAAATCTTCTAAGGATCTTTTGAGATTACATCTTTTTGTTAAACTGTGAATATGAGATATCTTAAGACAAATTTGTCTTTCCAATATCTTTTATCTAATTTCAACAATTCTTCAGGAATTTCGATGATGTTTAGATTAAAGATCTCTTCTGATCCATAAATGTTTTATAAATATACACTGGGTAACACTTTTGTGATTGTACCCCAATGAGACGTATTTCTCTTCATTTGATCAAATAATTAGAGTTTTTTGGGAACATAGTTTTGATATCATTAATCCTTCAGGAATTATATCCTTCAGGGACTTTTATAAAAATGTCATTATTTAGTGGGTCTTAAGACTCAAGTTCTTCTTTCATTGCCACACTTAATGAACTTGAAAATTGCATCCACCACATGCCTATTATAACCCACTTGTTTTACACTTTTAAGATGTAAGGACTTCTGGTCCAAAATACATTTCTCTTTCTAAGAGATTTTAGTTTTGCGTCTATTGCTTCTTTTCGATTTGGCCAAATCATTACTTTGTGTACACAATGCAATAGACTTTGTTTCATGATCCTCTTTCTCATCTTTAACATCAACTGCTATAATGCATGCAAATATTTTATTTACGACGTCGATTTGCTTTTATGGTTCCATTTTATTCCATACATGACATAATTAATTCTCGAGATCTCTTCTTTGTCTCAGGTACCTGAATTTCTTTCTTGTCATGTTTAATATCTCTTCTTGAGATCATTTCAAAAACATTTGTTTCCTCGGTTTAACCATTGTCAATTTATGCTCATTTTACTTTACCGAGGTCACTAATATTTGAAACCAAGAAGTCTATCACACTTCATGCGCTCTTTAGACTTACTAGCAGTTTGATATTGTCCTTCTGGGAAATCAATTATTCTTAGAGCATTTACAGCTGGTAAGTGACTCAACACTATATTTGGGTCAGTAATTGTATCTGGCAATTGATACAATAAGTTTTGTGAATGAATTATCTTTTGGAGACTTTTATTTCACATACTATCGTCTGAGGATCAATGATAATTCATTCTAACTTTAATCTTTCTCCAGCTGTTTTATTTTCTCCCCCTGATGTTGGAAAGACTGAATCACTAAAATGACAGTCTACAAATTGAGCCATATTTAAATCCTTCATGGATAGCTCTAAATATTATCATAGGAGATTAACATCCAACATACATTTACTATCTCTTTCGAGGGTCCATCTTATATTGTTGTGGTGGAGCATTATGGATGTATTCTGCACATCCATAGATCTTTAGATGGAAAACTTTGGTTTCTGACCTAAACCAATTACGATGGGGAGAAATTTTAGTTATTCATTGGCTTTATGCGAATTAATGCTTTTGCATTATGTGTAATTATGAACATTTGCTACTGGATGTTCAACATTTATTCTTACAAACATGTTTTTCTCAACAAAGATTTAAGATGTGATTTCACTAGCACTACCAAGTAATCTCGCAAACTTCAGGTTGCAGATATGTAATATTGATACATAACACTTGTTGATATATTTAAGAAACACCATAACATTTCTCTTACTGGATGATCAGTCCATATAATGGTTTATTAGACCACAAAAGTTTCTTATATTCTTTCTACAAATTGGATACATTCCAAATCTATTTTGGCTAGTTGGTAATTGTATAATCATAATGTCTTATGATTAAACATCACATTATAGATAATTAAGAAGAATCTTCAAGTTCTTCAATAAATCTTTACATGATGTATTTTATTTCGCATAATTCTTGAACCGAAATGGTCTAACCAGCTCATGCCAAACTATGTTATATTCGGTAAACTTCTAGTTTACTACATAACATTTACATCTCCTATTTAATCTTTGTCTATGATGAGGCATTAGATAATGTATGTTATTTTTTCAAAATAATTTTACACTATTGAGTTACATTATATATGATTCATCAGGATTATTTTTAGTGTGAACATAATCTTCTAGATGTTCCACTTTCTAGTGATTGAGGGATTCATCCATTCTCCCCCTCGAGATGATGTCACTTCATGTTCATCAATCTCGAATGGAATCCTAGTATAAAATCAATAATATATCCAACTTGAATCATGTTTTATATCTTTGATTCTTTAAACTTTTTATATTTCTATTATGTGTTTGATTCTTTTCACTTCTGGGATTTCAAAGATATAATGCATCAAAAATTATTTACTATAAGCAAATATAAATTTATATACTCTTCTGGAGATGTGTATCTTTTATTTGCTGTCATCTTTATTTTCTCACTTCTTGTGAGAATTTGAGTTCTTGAAATAAAACTCTTTGGTTTTGACCTTAACATGAACTATAAAAGATTCATATTCATGTCTATGATCATATCTTTAATCATTCATATCACATTCACTTCAGGGAATGGATCAAAACCAATTAGACAAGATTCAAGATTTTCATTAGTAACTCATTATTTTATCAAAATAATTTCTTAAACTTTCTTCAATAATATTTTGTCAGCTGGACAATATATGCCTTTTATCATCATTGATTTACATTATCTTCCAGATAAATAAAAATCATTTATAGACTTCAAGTCTTGTAATCTTAAATGCAAATACAAAATATTCATATAGAGGATAATTGAAAAATAAATAAATATTATCAAACATATATATAAACAAAATATAATAATATAATAAAATAAATAATTAATATAAATAACATTACCTTTTTATTA